TGAAAGAGTAGGGTCTTCGGAATACTAGGACGTCGAGGGAGGCCTTTTACGGCGACTAGATTGGACACAGTGGCCACCCAAAATCAGCAAAATCAGCAAATTTCCGAGATTCGACCTCTTTTTGACCAACTTGGTCGGAAAATCGTTGCGGTCAAAGCCAAAATCGTTGTGGTCAACGTCTTCCCGATACAGGGCATGAAAGAGTAGGGTCTTAAGAATACTAGGACGTCGAGGGAGGCCTTTTACGGCGACTAGATTGGACACAGTGGCCGCCCAAAGTCAGCAAAATCAGCAAATTTCCGAGATTGGACCACATTTTGACCAACTTGGTCGGAAAATCGTTGCGGTCAAAGCCAAAATCGTTGTGGTCAACGTCTTCCCGATACAGGGCATGAAAGAGTAGGGTCTTCGGAATACTAGGACGTCGAGGGAGGCCTTTTACGGCGACTAGATTGGACACAGTGGCCACCCAAAATCAGCAAAATCAGCAAATTTCCGAGATTCGACCTCTTTTTGACCAACTTGGTCGGAAAATCGTTGCGGTCAAAGCCAAAATCGTTGTGGTCAACGTCTTCCCGATACAGGGCATGAAAGAGTAGGGTCTTAAGAATACTAGGGCGTCGAGGGAGGCCGTTGGCAGCAACTAGATCGGACGCAGTGGTCGCCCAAAATCAGCGGAAACGGCTACTTTCGGAGATTCAGTCACTCTTTGACCAACTTTGTGACGGAGCTGGTCCCAAACCCGAAGGCCCCTGCAGATTTTTCTGCCTGTCTGCCCTGGCCAGCCCGAGCCTGACTGTATTGCGTGCTCTGAGGACAAAAACGAAATAAGTTATCCGAGTGAAAACTTAAATTAAGACCCATGTATTTTCTTCGTATTTTTCTTCCAATATCTGCACGTCTCGACACCCTCATCTCTGTCTGTCTGTCGTCTGTCTATCCCTGTCTGTCTGTCTGTCTGTCTGTCTGTCTGTCTCCTCGATGTGATGAGCGTCATGTCGACTTGTCTAATCTCCCCAATGCGAAGCGCTACCGCTCACTCAACACTGGGACCTCCCAAGAACACACGAAACCGACGAGTGTGTGTGTGCGTGTGTGTGTGTGTGTGTGTGTGCGCGCGCGCGGACAGCGACGCGTGAGGGGGAAGTCCCACGGTGCCAAAGTTGCGTCGGGACACATTTTGGCACGGCGGACCCCTGAAAAGTCCAAGTAACCGCACGCACGCTGACAACTTTCCCGCTAAGCAGAGCTCGAACCGAACGTGTGACCCCACCAATGGATTCCTCGTTCGAAGAGCAATCCATACGTTCGTTTCGGGTCCCATTTAGCGACTCCGGATTTTTGACCGCCTCCACCGGTCTTCTGGCCCACTGTAAGAGGGCTTCCCCCACCACTTCCGTCCGGTTCCTCCTCTTCGGAAACAAGAAACAGCGAAGTATATCGGAAACGCGGCGGCGGAAAGTGCGGCAATTTGTCGGGGCGAGGCGTCGATGCGCGGCGGCGGGGGTTGGTTGATGACGGCGGGGGAGGGGAGGGGAAGGGGAGGGGAAGGGAAGGGGAGGGGAAGGGGAGGGGAGGGGGAGGGCGGGAGCGAGGGCTGGATTACCGCGAGGGCCATCTCACCACCGGGACCACCCAAGACGCGGGCCAGAGGGGCGGCAAGCGGCAGGCTGATTCCGAGAGTCGTTCTCGTCGCTCTGTCTCTGTCGCACGCACACGCAACGCCCCCGGGAGTGCGAGAGAGACAGAGCGACGCCGGAATCAGCCTGCAGGCGGGGCCGTCCGGCCGCCACCGCAGCAGCCTTTGCGCAGCCTCACTATAAATTTCTCATCGCAATCAAGGAGCGATCTCACACAATTCGCGCGAAATGAACTCATGCGACATTTGTGATTTTCTGCCGGTTGGACGGTTGAATGTTGACGTTGGATCACTCCGGTGGCAGACGAAGCAGGCGGCAACTGAAAGAGGCAACCCGCTATTCCACCAGCAGAGGCAAGCAGGCAAACAGATGCAGGCATACGGGGCGGCAAACAAACAAAGCAGGCTGAAGCAGCCGCCACGCAGTGTCGTCGCTCTGTCTCTCTCGCACCCGTGCGGAGCGGCCCGTGGGTGCGAGAGAGACAGAGCGACGAGGGCGACTACTGTGGGAAGGGAAGGGTTCGGAGGAAGGGCTGGAAGGGCCGGCAGGGGCAGTGCCGGCGGACTTCCACCGCACAGTGGGCCAGATCCGGTGGAGGCGGCCAAAACTCTAGACGCGTTTTGAGCTCCAGAGTCGCTCAATGGGACTCGAATCGAACGTGTGACCCCACCAATGGACTGCTCTCCGAACGAAGAATCCATTGGTGGGGTCACACGTTCGGTTCGAGTCCTGCTTAGCGACTCTGGAGCGCAAAACGCGTCTAGAGCTTTGGCCGCCTCCACCGGTCTTCTGGCCCACTGTGCCGTGGCCACGCCACGCCCCCGTCGCCACGCCGCGCCGGCTCGGGGCGTGGGGGCGTGGGGCAGGGCGGGAGCCAGGGCGCCCTCCTGGAGCCCGAGACCCAGACCGAGACGGTCCGAGAGCCGATCCGGCCTACGGCACCGCAGCCCCGGCCCGGCCCTCGCTGGCCGGCTGGACACCACTTGGGTGGCCGTGTGGCCACAGCGTGGCCCACGTTGTCGTTACGCGTGTAGGTCCAAACGATGTTGATCTTTGCTCGGGTCGGGGAAGTCCCCGCACAGAACGGCGTATGTCACACGGCCACTCCGCGGCGGTCTGCACGGCCGAGGCAGATACGCGCTTGTCACTCATCACGGCCCAAAGTGGCTCCCTCGCTCTGTCCTTCTGGCACTCGTGGGGCGTCCCGCAGGGGTGCGAGAGAGACAGAGCGACAGCCGATATCTCCATCGCCGAAGGGCAAGGGCGATTCAATCGGGGGAGTGTGGCTTTGTGTCCTTGGACGGTGTCGGCATTGAGTCATTCGTTGGGGTGACGACTCTAGCACGAGTGTGCTTCTCTCTCCGTCGCACTCGCGGGCCGCCCGCAGCGGTGCGAGAGAGACAGGGCGAAGAGGCACGCTGATTGGGCCAGCTTCCGCGAAAGATCACGCCGGGCCCGTAATCCAGTCTCTCTCTCTCTCTCTCTCTCTCTCTCTCTCTCTCTCTCTCTCTCTCTCTCTCTCTCTCTCTCTCTCTCTCTCTCTCTCTCTCTCGTGGAACTCCCCCTCGGGTGCGACAAAGACAGGCAGACGGGCGCCTGCTCTCGGAATCAGACTGCTGCGACTTTCCGGGGCCACGAGCACGTACGGGAGCTGCAGGGACCTCTTTTGGAACAAAAATAAAACATTCAAAGCATAACCGTACTGAAGGGGCTTGGCTGCATGAAAGAAGGACCACTAGTGCCAACATTTGCGGCGGAAAAGAAAGGGATTTGAGACAGTAGACTCTGCAGCTGAAAGAAATAGTTCAGAAGTCGCTCCTCGTTCCCCCAGCGCACTCGGGGATTTCAGAAATTCGGGAACTTGTTGACGCGACCCGCCGCGACCCGCCACACCCCGCCGGAACCGCGCGACCCTATCTGCCCCACCCCGCCTCACCCCGCCCCGCCCCGCCCCGCCCCCGCCCGCGCCCCGCCCCGCCCCGCCCCGCCCGCCCCGCCACGGCTGAAGTGCGCGGGGAGTCGTCGCTCGCCAAGCCCGCCTTCCTGTGTGGTCCCCGTCTCGGCCTGGGTGGTCTCTTCATCGTCCCTCTCTGCTCCTATCTCTCTCTGGCTCTCTCGCTCTCTCTCTCTCTCTCTCTCTCTCTCTCTCTCTCTCTCTCTCTCACCGCTGCTCCCTGCCGGGCTCTCTCATTGCTACCCTCTCATTCACACCTCCCCCCTCCCCCACTCCGCCACCTGCTGACTTGTGTCGCCTGCAATTACAATCAAGGGGACCGTCTACAATTTTCACGCGAGGACGAATTGATGGACAGTGGGCCGGAAGACCGGTGGAGGCGGTCAAAATCCCTAACGCGTTTTGAGCTCCAGAGACTCGAACTGAACGTGTGATCCCACCAAAGGATTGCTCTCCGAACGAGGAATCCATTGGTGGGGTCACACGTTCGGTTCGAGTCCCATTTAGCGACTCTGGAGTTCAAAACGCGTGTAGAATTTTGGCCGCCTCCCCCGGCCCACTGTGCGGCCTGTCGAGGTCCAGCTGGAGGGCCCACTGTGGAGCCCGAGGTGGAGCCCCTGCAGTGGGCAGCATAGGCATCCCCTCACACGCGCAGCCTGGCACACTGGCACAGCCCCCCGATGCAGGATGGGTTGCCGGCCTGCACGGCGCTATCCGTATCGCACTCTTCTGGTCCCCAGCTGTCACCGGTTGCATTGTTTCGTTTATTGTGCAGGACAACATGCTATCAATTATGTATACTTTTTCGTACAGTGTAGTCGCTGGTTGTGGGCAATATTGCCGCTGACCTGATCAGCATTTTGTCAAACAGCGTGCCATCGACTTCGGCCGGGTCGGATTACAGGAAAACGCATTGCAAAGCCACATTAAAAAAAAGATCGTGTGATTTATTTCTATGTAACAAAAGACTATTTACAATGAGTATGTACAGTTATTTTCGTGGCACTCTCTTTCTCTCCATCGCGGGACAATGAGTCCAAAACACTGGCGGGCGACGACAGTGCCCAAAAAGATGGCTGGCAATTTCCTCAACGGAAATAATGATAACAAGTTGATCCTACAGACCAGACTAGATAAAGGGGCACTACAGCGCCTACATAGGGACCGTCTGCTGGGGCACTCTCGCGCACCCTCAGAGGGCACCCATCACTCGGTGGGCCAGAAAACCGGCGCCGGCGGCCAAAACTCTAGACGCGTTTTGAGCTCCAGAGTCGCTAAATAGGACTCGAACCGAACGTGTGACCCCACCAATGGATTGCTCTCCGAACGAGGAATCCATTGGTGGGGTCACACGTTCGGTTCGAGTCCCATTTAGCGACTCTGGAGCTCAAAACGCGTCTAGAGTTTTGGCCGCCTCCACCGGTCTTCCGGCCCACTGTGTGACGCCTCAGCTTTCGGAGTGGGAGGGGTTCAGGCGGCCGCCTTCGGCCTCCGCGGCTCCAGCTTGACTCGGATGCCCGACTCTGGCCGCAGGATGAGGTCGATCATGAGGGTGAGGTCCTCCAGGCGCTCGGCCGAGTGCACGCGGTAGTTCCGGAGGATGTAGGACAGCACCGTCTTCTCCTCCATCAGGGCGAACTTCTGACCTGCAAAGAGAGCAAACGCGTCACGTAACAACGAAGGCGTGATCTCTCGCACAGCAGGCCAGAAGACCGGTGGAGGCGGTCAAAATTCCGGACGCGTTTTGAGCTCCAGAGTCGCTAAATGGGCCTCGAACCGAACGTGTGACCCCACCAATGGATTCCTCGTTCAAAGAGCAATCCATTGATGGGGTCACACGTCCGCTTCGAGTCCTGTTTAGCGACCCTAGAGCTCAAAACGCGTCTGGAGTTATAGCCACCTCCACCGGTCTTCTGGCCCACTGTGCGCCCTATGCGGCTCTGTGCGGCGGCGGACTTACCTATGCAGTTCCTGGGCCCGGCGCTGAAGGGCACGTAGGAGTAGGGGTGGCGCTCGGCCACGCGGTTGGGCAGGAAGTTGTCCGGGTCGAAGGTGTGCGGCGACGGCCACTGGCTGGGGTTGCGGTGGATGTGGTAGATGGGGATGTTGATCATGCAGCCGGCGGGAACCTTATAGCCGCCTGCAAAGAGAACCTCGCATAAGTTTTCACACTCACAAAAAAGAAAACCTGACCAATTGCCAAAAAAAACGACTTTCGAATTGAGCGTGTGACCCCACCAATGGATTCCTCGTTCGGAGAGCAGTCCATTGCTGGGGTCACACGCTCGGTTCGAGTCCCATTTAGCGACTCTGGAGCTCAAAACGCGTACCGAGGTCGACGTCCTGGAACACCTTGCGGCCGATGAAGGGCACTGACGGGAAGAGGCGCAGGGTCTCCTTGATGACGCGCTCCAGGTACTTCATGTTCTGCAGGTCGCGCACGGTGGGGGCGCGGTCCGAGCCTTGGAAGATGGTGTCCAGCTCGTCGGCCGCGGCGTCCTGGGGGAGGAGGGAGAGAAGGCAGCTTTGAAACGGACGTCGAAACGGAACAAATCGTAGAGCTATCTCGATTCATATCAACGAGTATCAGAAATAAAGTATCGGAGTATCAGAAATAAAGTATCGGAGTATCGGTACCAAAGTATCGGAGTATCGATACCAAAGTATCGGAGTATCGATACCAAAGTATCGGAGTATCGATACCAAAGTATCGGAGTATCGATACTCATTTATCGGAGTATCGATACCAAAGTATCGGAGAATCGATACCAAAGTATCGGAGTATCGATACCAAAGTATCGGAGTATCGATAACATCGGGAATCGGGCAGCAAGCTCACCTGTACGCGCGGGTTATTTCCCAGCAAGAACAGCGCCCAGCACAGCCCGGCGGTCGTCGTGTCGTGGCCCTGCGAGTGGCAGCCGTTAGTAACAACAACAACAACAACAACAACAACAACAAAAACGGTGACAAAACACAAAAGAACTCGGCTCACCTCGAACATGAACGTGTCGACCTCCTCCCTGAGGTCCTCGTCGGTGAGCTGCGCGCCGGCCTCCCGCGCGTCCAGAAGCAGGTCCAAGAACGCCGTCCTCTTCTTGAGTCCTGCAGGCACCACACCGTCAACGACATTGTCAACGTCAAAGTCAAAGGCGTCAAGCTGAGGGCTCTGAGAAACCACAGCCACAGTGGACTGGAAGACCGGTGGAGGCGGCCAAAATTCTAGACGCGTTTTGAGCTCCAGAGTCGCTAAATGGGACTCGAACCGAACGTGTGACCCCACCAATGGACTCCTCGTTCGGAGAGCAATCCATTGGTGGGGTCACACGGTCGTTTCGAGTCCCATTCAGCGACTCTGGAGCTCAAAACGCGTCCGGGATTTCGACCGCCTGCACCGGTCTTCCTTGGGCAACCGTGCGGCGGGGCGCCCGACGAAAGGGGCATAGGCAACCCCGCGGACACGCGCGCTCGACGGACCGGCCCGACTCGAAGGGGCTCTCGCGACTAGTTCAATGTTTGAACAGCTCCCTCTCCCACACTCACTGACACACACTCTCTCACTCACCCAGGTCGTCCTCCGTGCCGTCGCCGCTGACGGGGTCCGGCTGGGCCTTCTGCGAGGCGCGCAGGGCGGAGCGGTCGCGGATGACCTTGTTGGTGAAGCCGTGCAGGATGGAGAGGCAGCGCTTGTAGCGCCGGCCCATGTCCGTCAGGTAGAACGTGGCGTTGGGGAAGAGCCACGGCCTCTGCGCGCGCTTCAGCGTCAGCTCGCTGATCCTGCAACCGGCCGGCCGGTACACTGTTTAGACATTCTGTCTGTCTCTCTCTCTCTCTCTCTCTCTCTCTCTCTCTCTCTCTCTCTCTCTCTCTCTCTCTCTCTCGCACTTATTACTCATTGGCTAAGTCCACGAGGAGTCAAGAGCCGAGAGCAGCCGAGAACCAGGTGTCTTGCTGCACAGTAGCCCAGTGGGCCAGAAGACTGGCGCAGACGGCCAAAATTCTAGACGCGTTTTGAGCTCCGACGTCGCTAAATGGTTCTCGAACCGAACGTGAGATCCCACCAATGAATTGCTCTCTGAACGAGGAATCCATTGGTGGGGTCACACGTTCGGTTCGAGTTCCATTTAGCGACGCTGGAGCTCAAAACGCGTCTAGTGTTTTGGCCGCCACCGTCGGTGGCCTCCCCTACCCTCACTAAGTCCGCCCCTCGATCTGCCACCACCGTACTCACTCGTAAATGGCCGAGACGTAGTCACTCCTCTTCTCGGTGCTGTCCTGCGCGTTGATCTTGACTCCCATGGCCGTTTCTAGAAAGAGAGCGAATGATGTCAGACACTAACCTCTAACCATCACACAGTGGGCCAGAAGACCGGTGGAGGCGGCCAAAACTCTAGACGCAGTTTGAGCCGCAGAGTCGCTCAATGGGACTCGAACCGAACGTGTGACCCCACCAATGGATTCCTCGTTCGGAGAGCAATCCATTGGTGGGGTCACACGTTCGGTTCGAGTCCCATTCAGCGACTCTGGAGCTCGAAAGGCGTCTGCAGTTTAAGCCGCCTCCACCGGTCTTCTGGCCCACTGTCAGCCCAAGCACGCCACAGCACTCACCACAGATGATGTCCAGGGTGCAGTGCGTGATGAAGGGGTACATGTCGAACTCGGTCTTGCCGTCGGCCACCCTGGCCAGCTTCTGCGCCAGGATCTCGCACTTTTCGACGAACACGTCGTGGAAGGCCTCGAGGATCTTGAAGTGGAACGTGGGGGTGATCATCTTGCGGTGCGTGTGCCACTTGCTGCCCGTGCTGGTGAGCAGCCCGGTGCCGAGCCAGGGCTGGAGGAACCGGTACGCGTTCGACTTGGTGATGTGCTTGGAGCTGCTCAGGATCGCCTGCGTAAATTAAAAATCAAGGTTAAAAAAACTAAAATTTTTACAAAAATAAAAGTTTAGGTATCATTTATTTGCTCGTACAAAATTTGTACAAAGACATGAAGCGCGTAAACAGGTTTGTAGTGCTCCGGAAGTTGCGATAATTTTTATCTATTTGAGTCGAGCAGGCTCGTCTTGTACGCACCTCTACTTGTTCAGGCTCCTTGAGGTTGATCTCGGCGTACGGTCCGATCCAGGTTCGGAACAGCGTGGCGTTGGTGCGGTGTCTGCGGTCCCACGCCTCAAACATTTCTGCAAAGGAAGGCTTCCATATTATTTTTCATTTTTTACTGGAACAATTTAGTTTTTCCGTCAGTGATCCTCAAAAAAAACAGAGTGGGGAATAAGATTGAACCAAGTAGAGTGTTTTTTTTTTATTTTTCTGGAATTCTCCAATTGGTTCAATCTGTTCTCAAAAATAACTGCACTGCAAATCAGATAGTGCGACTGATTTAAACGTTTAAACGAACTCAGAGAACAACTGTACAATGCAAGCCGGAGTCCGGCTGCGCTCAAAGTGGGCACTCTCATAGACTCTTATAAGCCCACGTGAGGGCTTGTTTACGCATTTTGCCCACACGAACGAGCTGGCTCGCGGGTAAAATACGTAAACAAACCTTGGAGAAAACGTCTATAATCGCTCATCGCAGTGTTGAGGATTTGGTCAGCGATAGTGATATTTGCTCTGTTCCTTCCATTTGCCTTAACGGTATACAGGGCCAGAAGACCCGGGGTTGGCCAAAACTGTAGACGCGCTTTGAGCTCCAGAGTCCCTAAACAGGACTCGCACCGAACGGTTGACCCCTCCATTGGATTTCTCGTTCGGAGAGCAATCCATTGGTGGGGTCTTACGTTCGTTTCGAGTCCCATGTAGCGACTCTGGATCTCAAAACGCGTCGGTATTTTGACCGGCTCCACCGGTCTCTGGCAAATCCACTGTGCGGTACTCACTGTTCGGAGGCACCATGAGGTCGGGCACGTTGCCGAACAGGGGGTGGGGCTTGGGCCCGGGCAGTGCGTTGACGGCCTTGACGAAGTACCGCCGCCTGGACACCACGATCAGGACCTGGTACACCAGCACCAGGAACATGGCGCCCCCCGCCAGCAGAGTCACGCTCAGCTCCATCCTGGAAACGACGCACACACTAGGAGAAAGAACTCGAAAGCCTCGAACCGGACGTGTGACCTCATGGATTCCTCGTTCGGAGAGCAATCCATTGGTGGGGTCACACGTTCGGTTCGCGTCCCGGTTAGCGACTCTGGAGCTCAAAACGCGTCGGTGCCGGTCTTCTGGCCCACTGAGCAGACCTTACCTTGCTGCTGTTCCTAGTCAATCCACGGTGTGATAGCGACACTGGAGGGCGGCGGAGCAGTGTGCCAGTCTGCTGGACTCGGTGCACTGGTACGTCGTACCGTCGTCACTGGTACACTGGTACAGCGGGCCGTCGTCGCGTCGTCGCGTCGCCGAGGGCGGTGCCGTGGAGCGTGCAGACTGTCCACGGTGCTTCCGCGGTGTGGCGGTCTTCTCCGGGGCGGTGCGGAGCGGTCCGGCGTGACTGGCCGCCTCGCCCCGCGGCGGGCCCCTTTATCGCTTCGGCCAGCTTCGGCGAGCGTCCCTAGCGCACCCCGGCTGCTAGCGGTCTCTCTCCGTCTCTCTCGCACCCTTACGGGGCACCCCAAGAGTGCGAGAGAGACAGAGCGACGACACCGCGGTTCGGAATCAGCCTACCAGAAGCAGCGCCCCTAAGGGGAAGGGGAGGTGGGGAAGTAGACGGGGCACGTGGAGGGGGAAGAGAGGGGTAGTAAGGGTGTGCGTGTGTGAGAGAGAGAGAGAGAGAGAGAGAGAGAGAGAGAGAGAGAGAGAGAGAGAGAGAGGGGGGGGGGGATGGGCAGATATTGAAATTAGGGGGTGGCCGCAGCGTAAAGGGTGACGCGAGCCAGTCTGGTTTCTGGACACACCCACGGAAGCCATACCACAGTGGACCAGAAGACCGGTAGAGGCGGCCAAAATTCTAGACGCGTTTTGAGCTCCAGCGTCGCTGAACAGGACTTGAACCGAACGTGTGACTCCACCAATGGATTGCTCCCCGACAGAAGAATCCCGAGCCATCCCGTGGCTTGCGACTGCGAGCCCCTTACTTCAACTTGAACAGCCCACGGACACGCGTAGCGAGGACGCGTGCCGAAGTCGGAGCACCTTCCCAAGGGTGCACACCATACAGTTTTTACTTTCAAGAAAATTAATTTTGCAAAAATCATGTTTTTTATGACTGTACAAGTGCGCAGCACTTCAAACTTGAACTAATTTTACGCCAGCGCACCGAAGCCTGCTCCTACGAGCCAACTTGGATATTTTTTGTTATACATGAGTGCTTCCGGAAATCCCGAAGAGAGAGAGAGACAAAAAAATGAGGGGGAGGCGCACTAGAAACTTATCGGGGCGTCTTCTTGTTTTTCAGTACTTGCGACTAAAGGTTGTTCTTGCAGTAGGGTTTGTGCTGGGGTGGACTTCGTTCTGCGGTCCAGTACAGTGCCGGGCCGTGCCGGGCCCGGCGGGGACTGCAACGGGCCGACGCACGCCGCCGCACGTATGTGTGTTTGTGAACGCGTGCGGAGTCTGTGTGTCTGCCCCACTGTATTTGCAGTGAGCACCTTCGGGTGGCGCTGGCGCTGCACAGTGGGCCAGAAGACCGGTGGAGGCGGCCAAAATTCGAGAAGCGTTTTGAGCTCCAGAGTCGCTAAGCAGGACTCGAAACGAACGTGTGACCCCACCAATGGATTCCTCGTTCGGAGAGCAATCCATTGGTGGGGTCACACGTTCAGTTAGAGTCCCATTTAGCGACTCTGGAGCTCAAAACGCGTCTGGAGTTCTGGCCGCCTCCACCGGTCTTCTGGCCCACCGTGCGGCGGGGAGGCATAATTTTCGTGCCTTTGTCTTTCCAAAATAATAGTGCTACTTTTCCATTTTTGATTAGGAGTGTGGTGTGCCAAAATGGATTAAAAATCTGCGGGCCATGGAAGAAACCTGCGCTCTGCAAAACAAGGAACAAGGAACGGAAGAATACATGCGAGCCCTCTTGGCCCGCTCAAATACCCGGCTTATCCAGGTAGCCACGCTTGGCCACGCGTGGTGTACACTGCGATAGCAGCGGCGCTACGCCACTCTTCCATCGCTCTGTCTCTGTCACTCTCGTGGGCGTCCCGTCGGGGTGCGAGAGAGACAGAGCGACGAGACGACCCCGGCTTTCCCGCCAGACCGCCACCGTCTCCGTGTTTTTCCGGCCCGATTGACCCTTGGCTGTTGCCTTGGCTGGTCCAAACCCGATCGACGGTCGGCACACTGATTCCGAGAGTGGTTTTCGCCGCTCTGTCTCTCTCGCACCTATACGGGTGCCCCATGAGTGCGAGAGAGACGGACCGCGTCTCAATCTACAGCAGTGACGACACGCAAAACGAGTGCGGGGGCGGAGGCCGATGTCAACAAACTGGGATGGGCGGCACGCTGCAAGCCCCATTCCACACCACATAAACACGAGGCGGTCAAAATCTCGGACGCGTTTTGAGCTCCAGAGTCGCTAAATGGGACTCGAACCGAACGTGTGACCCCACCAATGGATTGCTCTCCGAACGAGGAATCCGTTGGTGGGGTCACACGCTCGGTTCGAGTCCTATTTAACGACTCTGGAGCTCAAAACGCATCGTGACTTTTGGCCGCCTCCACCGGTCTTCTGGCCCACTGTGCGGTGTGGCGGGGCGTGGCGGGGGGCGGGGCCTTCTCGACGTGACGCCCGCGACGCGGCGGGGCGCGCCGCCGTCTGGTCCTAGGTCACTGTCTCAGACTGTCTCAGACTGTCAGACAGAGAGCGAGATAGTGGCGTGACGTCACGACTGCCGCGACGCCTTATCGTCTGGCCGAGCCCCTTTCGCACGGCGGCACGATGACGCGTCCGTGCCGCCTCTCTCTGTCTCTCTCGCACCCCCACGGGGCGGCCCACGAGTGCGAGAGAGACGGAGCGACGGCAGCGATGTGCGGAACCGATTGGCAGGGCAAGGGGGAAGTCCAACTGCCAAATCCAGCTGGACACTTAGCAGGGAAGTCCTGGATTTGTAAAGTGCAAGTATAAACCTGGTAGATTTTCCATTTCAAGTTCAAAGTGCAAAAATGTGGCACGCGCGAAGCTTTTTGCACTGCAAGAAAAATTGTGAATACAGTGGTACAAAAAAAGGACAACGAAAATGGGACTCGAACGGAACGTGTGACCCCACCAATGGATTCGAGTCCTGCTTGGCGACTCTGGAGCTCAAAACGCGTCTGGAGTGTTGGCTGCCTCCACCGGTCTTCTGACCCACGTGAGTGCGCCGCACAGAGGCGGACTGGACTGCACTCATCATGCCGGTTACATTGAACTTTGCAGTAGTACAACAATTGTAATTTGAAAGTACAATTTTTTTTTTGATTAAAAAAAAAATGCCAGGAATCCTGTTAGGTTTGTTGTGTTTTTATCTTTTGGCAGTGTGGCATGTGTGTGGCTCTGTGAGGGTGGTGGACCCGCGTCTGGGTCCACCGACAGAATCCCGTCTGATAAAACGTCGCGGAGAGGGAAGCCACCCACGCAGCAGACGACAAAAACAAAGGCAAGAGCGCCTTGATTGATTGGACTTTGACAATTTTATTGAGTCTTTGGACTCCCTCCAGTAAGCGTTATGCCTGCAAAGGTTATCTCGCGGGGGAGGCACGGGCTTATCATGGCGTCTCTCTCTCTCTCTCTCTCTCTCTCTCTCTCTCTCTCTCTCTCTCTCTCTCTCTCACTCATGGGGCAGTCCCGTAGCGCCGCAGGCGTGCGAGAGAGACAGAGCGACGAGGCGCTGCACGGAATTCGGAGTGAACCCGCAGAGGAAGATGAACTCGAACTCGTCTGCAGACTGATTCCGAGAGTCGTTCTCGTCGCTCTGTCTCTCTCGCACTCATGAGGCGCCCCGTATGGGTGCGAGAGAGACAGAGCGACGAAGAGGACTCTCGGAATCAGTCTGGCGGGCAGCCTATGGCGCGAGAGGAGGGCACGCAGGCCGAAACAACCCTAAGTGCACAAAAAAAAAAGACGGGACCTTATTGGCACGGCGGGAATATTGTCTCAAGTTACCCCGCGGTTCACGGAACCGGTTCCAGAGAACGTCGCTCGGAAAATGGTCACTGACAAAGTTGCGCACAAAGAAAAGGAAATGATGAGTTGCCTTCGATTGGCGTTTCAAACAATGCACTGTGTAAGGTTGTCTGGGCGATCAGGGAACTCTCCCTATGTCCACCGCCGAGCGATTCGGGAGAGTTGCTTCGTGCTTCGTCGCTCTGTCTCTGTCGCACTCATGGCGCTCTCCGTGAGGGAGCGAGAGAGACAGAACGCAAACCGCTCTTCGCTCGGCTGTCGTGCCGCGCAAGTTAGTTGCCACCGACAGCCGGCAGATAGATTTTGAAAAGGGAGAGGAGCTCTGTCTCTCTCGCACCCATTCGGGACGCCCCATGGGTGCGAGAGAGACAGAGCGACGAAAACGACTCTCGGAATCGGTCTTCAGTGCCAAGCGGTTCAAAGGTTGCTCAGCGTGTGCTGCATGGACAGCAGCAGACCGTGTAACGATACGATAAACGAGATGAGAGCAATTTGCCCCCAGTCTCTCCCCCTCCCCCTCTTTTTCCCTGTCGATACAGAGCGCCGCACAGTGGGCCAGAGGACCGGTGGAGGCGGTCAACATTCCGGAAGGGCTTTGAGCTCCAGAGTCGCTAAATGGGACTCGAAACGAACGTGTGACCCCACTAATGGATTGCTCTCCGAACGACGAATCCATAGGTGGGGTCGCACGGGTTTTGAGCTGCAGATCTCCAGATTCGCCAAATAGGACTGAAACCGAACGTGTGACCTCACCAATGGATTCCTCGTTCGGAGAGCAATCCATTCATGGGGTCAAACGTTCAGTTCGAGTCCTGTTTCGCGACTCTGGAGCTCAAAACGCGTCTAGAATTTTGTCCGCCTCCACCGTCTTGTCCCACTGTGCGGCGGCGCCTCTGCCTGTTGGCACTGCCGGTATGCACTTGCCCAAACACGCTACGTTCCCGGGGTTTGCAGAAGAAAGCCGCAGGCCGAGCTGATACCGTAACAGTAACAGTACCGGCCGTCGACTATCAGCCGTGGAAATGTCGGCACGGCTATCGATCGGCTATCTCTCTCCCACTCGTGGCGAGCCGACGAGGGCCCCAACGGGTGCGAGAGAGACAGAGCGTGCGGAAGTCGCGGTATTCCTCCTCCCGCGCTATCAGCCCAGTCCGTCGCGCTATCGCCCCATCTACCTATCCGCCCATCTTTCTTCCCACCTGGACCTACCTTGCACTCTCCGGCTGTCTACTGTACTTACTGCTGCTCAATTGCGGACGTGAGGCAATTAGAGCGTGGCCGTTCACAGTGGGCCAGAAGACCGGTGGAGGTGGTCAAAATCCCTGGCGCGTTTTGAGTATCAGAGTCGATAAATAGGGCTTGAACCGAACGTGTGACCCCACCAATGGATTGCTCTCCGAACGAGGAATCCATTGGTGGGGTCACACGCTCGGTTCGAGTCCTGTTTAGCGACTCTGGAGCTCAAAACGCGCGTGGCGTTTTGGTCGCCGCGCTGGTCTTCTGGCAAAGCCACTGTGCCGTCGGGCCGTTCAAGGGCGACTCGGGGCCCTTGCCCTTTCCCACCTTTCCCTTTCGCGCGTGGAATGGTACAGCGCGCAGCAACGGCAGTGGAAAGCAAATGGTGGAAAGCCAGCGGCGTCCGCTCCCGCCACTCCGTCCGGGAAGCGGGAAACGGGAGCCACGATCCGCAAACAGAGTCGTCCCCGACGCTACCTACTCCGTCTACACTGCAGAATTATTATTTACTTTTTTGAAAATGAAAAAAAAAGGAAGTTGTTGGGAATCTTGTTGAAGTTGAACGCTTGGCCAGTATTTTCTTTCTTTCAGCAAGGAGCAAAATTTGAACTTGTTACAGAACCTGGTTGCAGCGGACAGCACAGCGGCCTGTTGACTCATTCCGAGCTCTGCTTTCTCTCTCTCTCTCTACTCTCTCTCGTGAGGCGACCCGTAGGGGTGCGAGAGAGACAGAGCGTCGACTTGAGTCTTCGGAGTGGCTCGGCAGGTACTAATCTGTTTTCCGTGGGCGCGGTGCTTTGTTGCAGCACTCGACGGAAGCCCTCCATTGCCTTGGGCCTTCCCTACGGCCTGTCTGCACTGCCCCGTCCCGAAGCAGGCAATCCCGCCAAGACTTTCCACGCCATCAACCACTGCACAGTGGGCCAGAAGACCGGTGGAGGCGGCGAAAATTCCAGACACGTTTTGAGCTCCAGGGTCGCTAAACAGGACTCGAACCGAGCCGTAGACCCCACCAATGCATTCCTCGTTTGGAGAGCAATCCATTGGTGGGGTCACACGTTCGGTTCGAGCCCTATTTGGCGAATCTTGAGCTCAAAATCCGTCCGGGATTTTGACCACCAGCACCGGCCTTCTGGCCCACTGTGCACTGTGCGGCCAGTCCATGGCATGGTTGATCGCGAAAAACACGTGCAGCCGAACAATCGGACAAGATCCGCCCGTTGCATCAATGTTACATTACGAGGGAGCAATCGTATGTCAAGTTGCCTATCAACAGGGGCTTTTGTACCCCGTTACGTACTTTCAAGGGGTGTAGGATAGGGGGCACCTAAGTCAGTTGACTCATGGAAAGCAAGCAAATACGAGAAACAGTAAGTTTTAAATGTACGTATTTATTTAAACTGGATCAATAAAATACTCAGTTTATTGTTTAAGTTTGACAAGATAAGAGACACTCAACAATTTCATTGGAAAAGTTTGTTCTTGTTTTTATAGAGGAAAATCCAATGCACCCTCAATATAATCACTATCCTCCTCAAGTTTAACGTTTGACCGATTTGGGTTGACATCTTCGAAAGTTATATCAAAATCAGTGTTTTCTAACATTTCGGGTGGAAGGTAGGAGGAACCTTTGCTGTAGCTGGAAGCACTATTTGTTTGAGGTAAGGTAATGTCATTGCCGTTTTGCACAACAATTATTTTGTTAATATCATTACTAGATACAATAGGGATATCTTCGCCATCCTCACAGTCAAGGGGGATCATAAGTTGATCTGGACCATCGAGGTTACTATACGAGTCAAACTGATCGAGGGACATTTCGGTGTCAGTAGAAGGCTGCGCAGCCCGACCAGAAGTTCTTCTAGGTCGCTTTGAGCGAGTATCACTTGACTCCTCTGTAAAATTTCTGCGTGAGCTGCGTCCAGGGTCTGACCTCCGCACTCTTCCAGTTCCATCATATTCAGTATCATAAATGTTTTCGAAAACACCTTCATTTTTCCTCTTCTGCAGGTACCCTCGATTTAAATTGATGCATCTGTAATAGCGCTCAATGGGTTGAGCTAAGTCTGGGTATTTGTCATTCGTGTAACCTGAAATTTGGTGAAATATACAAGAATTACAATTTTATTGAGAACAAATCAATTGTTAGCTCATGTATGGTATGATGCTTACCAACTACTGCAGACAGCAGACGGCGATTGATTTTCTCAGCAGAGGTTTCAATGTATCTTTCAATTCCAAGGAGATGAGTTAATAAACTTTTTACTAGTGTTTGATGTGGAGGCTTTTTAGTAATTTCTGCTTGTCCAATAATCTTTTCAAGTTTGATGGCATCTACCCAGACACCAGAGCCTTTCCTCAGCTCAATCTAAAAAAGACAATTAAAGTAGTGATCTCATTTAACTATCCAGCAATTGCAAAGCAGGAATTCATACAAACCTTTTCCCGAGAGGCCCACTGCCATGAGTTCAAATTCTTGCCCATGTTTGTCTTTTTAACAGAATCAGGAACTACAGTGTTTTCTGTAGCTCTCTGGAATTGCTGAAAATATTCTGCCAAAGACACTAGAGCAGTGATAAACCCATCTGGAACTGGAGAGAATTTTTAAAATCAATGCGGTGCTGACAAAAAGCTGATGCCAAATGAATCAAGTGGAAGAGTCAAATTACGTTTAGGGAATGGTGGCAAAGTTCCACCGCAGCAAGACACACATCCATGATTACATTTAGACGCCTCTTCTAAGGTGAGACGTGTCTGAGAAAACAGATCTTCACTAGCTTTCTTGGGTTTCGAAATGTCCTTATCTGGCTTCTGATCCTCGGCGCCTTCATCAACCAATTTACTCTTCTGAGCCAGCAAGTCAAGAGGTGGTGGCTTAGACCCAAACATAAGTATTTCTCCTTCTTTGGTTACCAGGAGTGACTCTAGGTGCTTCTTGGAGGCTGCAAAAGAAAATTTTGAATTAATGATGGTGAATGATAGGAACAAGAAGAAAGAGCAGACTAAAATCTTTAAGCACATCTACGAAGGAGAAAATTGTGCATTTTCTTGTCACTTACAACAGATTCTAAGAATTTTGGCTTCATGTTCCTTGCCTCCAATAGAAACCATTCGAAAAGTTCCTTCACTAAGAGGTATTTCATCTCCATTATCATCAAAAGACTTAACAAACGACCCTTCTAGTACAATGTTTATCTTTTTCGACTTGGTCCAAAACACCAATACATATTTTGAAGCCATTATTTTTTTTGTTGAAACTCGGTTCACAACACAGAATCACAACATTACACTCACACACACACACACAAACACAGACAGCAACAGGTGATTGTGCATGTGTGTGTGACTCACAGCCTTCCTCAACACTTCAGAGCTACTAGGCTGCAAACTTTGCAAAAACTAAGGGTAGTATTCAAACACGTACAATTTGAAACCAAAGCGTTACATTTGTTCAAACCATTTAAAATTAAGAAAAGAAAAAATTATGGTTCCTGCCAGAAGACATATAAGACTGTCAGTCCGATGATGAAGTATGAAATTAAATCATGAATCATGTTGGATAGTATTATGAAAATTTACAAAAACCTTTCAAGTCCGCGCCGCGCCGTACGTCAAGAGGCTGCTGCAGAAAAGATGTTCTAGTCAGATTGCACTCGCTTTCTGTGGCAAATCCATTTCGGTTTGGATCTTGGGCATTATTTTGTGGCCTCTGCTAGATACCGAACAGCTGACAAGTGGTACTTCTCGGATAATACTCAACAGGTGCGTGCAGGTTATGTGCTTATCAACAATCGTGTTCTGGTTTTGTTATTTATTTTCGTTTACTCTTGTTCTTTCCCGACAATGTCGTAAATTGTGAAGCTGCTCTTTAATCATGTACTTCTTCTCGCGAGCCACTGCGGGTGGTTATTGCATCTCGTCACTTGCAGTGAAACCTAGTGAAACCCATTGCCTGTGTCGTTTCAGGCACAACACTTTTCATGCTTCCAATTGTTTTGTTTCTGCAGAAATGGTGAAGCGATCTGCCCGTGCGGCAGGCCGACGGCCAGCCACTCGTCGCCGAGTCGATCCTGTCGTCCAAAGCGATGCTACCAGTGGGGACTCTTCGGATGAAAGCGCTGCGGAAGCTCCACTCAACCAACCAACCGGACAGGAAAATGACGAGTAAGATAGTGTATCATTCCTCATCTCAGTCCTTCTTCTCTTTGACTAGCTCTGCTAAACATTGATTATCTTGCAGGGAGCGTTCTCATTCCACTCCTGAACCTCCAAACCTCACTGCTGAAGATGAACTTGAGACTGCTGAGGATGCTGAAGAAGTTGAGAAAGAAGTAGAGAAAGATACTGAAAAGGCTGAAACTGGTTTCGGCAGTACTCTGTCAGATGACGCCATGTCAGATGATGGAGGTGCTTCAGTGCACTCAAGTAAGTATCTTTGTTGTGTTGTTTGGAATAATTATTCTGACAATCCATATTGTATCAGTCTAATGGTTTTGAATCTGAAAACAGTTTCTTACCATTTTCCATTTTTGTTGTGCTACTCTTACAGGTGAAGGAAGTTCTTTAGAAGATCCGGATGAAGACGGTCCCTCTACAGCAGCAGCTTTACAGAAGCTGAATGCTTCCTTTGAAGAGCCAGCATTTGATCGTGACTCAGATGCAAGTGACAATGAGTTTGATGATGACTTAGATGACACAGATCCATCACTTTATTTTGGTGCGCCCATCACTCTCAATGAAAGCATGCTGTCCATATTAACTTTAGCTTTCTCCCACAATCTGTCAAGATCTTGCTTGGATGACATTTTGCAGTTAATTTCTATTCATTGCCCCCCATCCAACCTGTGCACAAATAATCTACGGTTGTTCAAAAAGCATTTTGCCAAGAGTAAGTCTCTGGTTGTTCGGCACTATTACTGCACAACTTGTTTCGAAAGTTTAAAGAGTAAGACGCAAGTGTGTGGCCAGTGCAATCAACGGAGAGGAGTTGCATTCTTCATTGAAGTTCCTGTGCTTCCTCAGCTTGAAGCACTATATGGCAGAGCGGGCTTTCACAAGTTGTTACTCCAAAGACTAAACAGAAATAAGCAGGGAGTAAGTACTTATGATGATATATACGACGGTCAAATTTACAAGAATTTGAGTGCCAGGGGCAACATACTTGCTGAACCTAACAACATTTCCTTCACCTGGTACACCAAAGGAGTGAGCATTGCCAAACCATCTGACAATCAAATTTGGCCATTTTATTTAGTGATCAATGAATTGCCGTTTGTTGAGAGATCTAAACCAGAAAATGTGATACTTGCTGGAATCTGGTTTGGGCCTCGCAAACCTGTGCCTCATCTTTTCCTGAAAGGAATCCGAGAAGATTTCCATTCCCTGAACAAAGGGGTGCAGTTCAAGGTTCCCGAAAAGTCCGACCCTGTGTTAGTCAAAGGGATCGTCATCTGTGGCACCTGTGATCTCCCCGCCAAAGCGTTGTTTCTCAATTTGTCGCATCACACCAGTACCTTTGGATGCGCAAGGTGCAAGGTAAGAAGTGTCAAGGAGAACAATCAGGGAATATATAAGTTTCAACGGTACCCTCAGAAGAGAACTTATGATGAGACTATTGTGCATGCACAGAAAGCAATGAAAGCAAGAAGATCGGTGTATGGAGTGAAAGGCACTAGTGCTTTATCGTTTGTGCATCGCCCTATTGAAACAACAGCAATTGACATGCATGACACATACATTGGAATCTCAAGACTTTTGAACAAAATTCACTTCAGTGAGGACAATCACAAGCACCCAGCTTCCTTGTTTGGGTTCTTGCCGCTGTATGACCGCCGGCTTTGTGCAATCAGACCACCATACTATGTTGAAAAACTTCCCCGATCCTATGCTACTTATGGAAGTTCATGGGATGCCTCTGAGCTGAAAGTTAATTTGATGATGTATTCTCTTCCACTGCTGCAAGATATTATGTCTGTGTATCATTTTGAACATCACATGCTGCTTGTGTATGGCTTGTACTTGTTAAACAAGGACTTTGTGACTGAGCAAGATCTCGACTCAGCTACTGAAATGCTTACAGATTATTGTAGTAGGTTTCAAGATCTGTATGGAAGTTCTTTCATGACATCTTATGTTCATCTACTCATGCATCTTTCTTCTGTTGTGAAGGATTTTGGCCCATTATGGGTCACTTCATGTTCTCCTTTTGACAGGCTGAATGAGACATTGAGAAAATATGCTCTAGGTAATCAGCAAGAAGACTTGCAGGTTACATCAGCTGCTTCACTGTTTCTGCATGTGTCAAAACTTAAGCCTGTGCAAGCAGGTGCTGGAAGACCAGCTCATGTGTTTTGTGAAAAATTGTCCAGGAGTGGGAAGAAGCTTGAAGTTTCTTGTATGTATGGGCATTATGGTCTTGTGGGGAAACTTCACCGCACTTCCATTTTGCCTGAAATTGTGTATGTTGCCCTTGCCCCTTTAAAATTAAGTAGTCACAATTTTTATCTGTTTGACAGAATATTGAATACTCGTAAGAACACACTGTTCTCTTCTGTTGCTTATGATGAGGGTTCTAAAAACATTTCATCTTGTGTCCGCTATCAAAAGAATAATGGAGTATTTTATGGCAGAGTTCATACATATTTGAGGGTTTCAGATTGTGACTGCGATGATCTGTGCACTGATTGCAACCCTAGTTTCTTTGCAATTATTCAGAAACTGCATGTGCAGCCTGCATACCGCGCAGAGCCAGGTGGATTTATTCCATTCATCCATCGATGTGCGGATATGAATGAGTATGAAGCGGTTCGTGTCGAATGTCTGTCATTTGTTTGCTTCTTGATTGAAATCGAGGACAGGCATGATGCGTTCATTGTTGAACCTATCACTACTGGCTGTGTTGATTGAAAGGCACTTCATGATTTTTTTTTAGGCCTTTGCTTATTGTGTTTTATATTTTCTGAAAGGATTATTTTATCAATATCATTGTAATTTGTTTTTATCAAGAAACCAATTGTTTTAACTTTTAAGAGTCATGTAGTATTTTTTAAAGACGGCCTTCAAAATAAATGATTTAATTATACAAAATGCTTGGGGTTTCTGAATTTCCTGTTACACCTTCGCATGAAAATGACGGCATCGGCAGGTTGTGGCTGCTGAGCAGCGTTTGGCGCTCTTGGCCAGTGTGACAGCTTGGAGGAGGGGAGCTCCGGAGGGTCTCCAGTCATCCGAGTGCCTGGCAGGCGGGTGGGGCACTGTCCCAGCACACGATCACGATACCACATTGAACCCCTTGGCACAGACCTCACATTTCCCAGCGACCCTAGTATGGACGGCCGGGTCTCGTTTTGCAGTGCAGGCGAGCTTGTGTCGGGCCCGAAACGGCATACGATGACGTGTGGTCTAGCCCTTAATGGTAATGGTAGCGCCTACCCACCCGGCCCGCTACACACCGCAGTGGAGGCGGTGGCCTACCCTGCCCCTGCCGGTATAGCGCCTGCGAGGTAGGCCACCCACCCGGCCCGCTACACACCGCAGTGGAGACGGTGGCCTACCCTGCCCCTGCCGGTATAGCCCTTAATGGTAATGGTAATGGGAGGTAGGCCACCCACCCGGCCCGCTACACACCGCAGTGGAGGCGGTGGCCTACCCTGCCCCTGCCGGTATAGCGCCTGCGAGGTAGGCCACCCACCCGGCCCGCTACACACCGCAGTGGAGACGGTGGCCTACCCTGCCATTACCATTGCCATTAAGGGCTAGATCACACATGATCGCATGCCATTTCGGGCAGCGGCTGGACCCGAGGGGGTAACAACTGGTAAATTTCGTGTCAGCCGGATTACGGATTACCTCCGGATTACTACAAAACTTTTCCTGGATTACCTTTGGATCACGCAAGATTACCCCGGATTACGTCAAAATTTTGGGGACGGAATTTTGGACTCGGGACGGGACTCTTGGCGCGTCCTCCCGGGGTACAAATTGCAATCGCTGAGGTGCCCAGCGCAGTGCGCACCGAGACACCGCCGCCCTGGTGGAGGCGGTCATAATCCCGGACGCGTTTTGAGCTCCAGAGTCGCTGAATGGGACTCGAACCAAACTTGTGACCGTACTCCGGTTTTGCGTGGTCTCGCGCATTGCCCCCACTGACCATTGGCGTGGCAGCCCCCTGATTTTGACCACCTCCACCGGTCGTCTCGCCCACTGTGGCAGACTCCACTCCATCAGACCGTCACGCTTTTGTACAGTGCCATTGGCGTCGTGCTGTCCCGGAGGCCACGAGCGCCCAAACACAGCGCGCAGTCACACCGCAGTAGCGGCTCCAGGGGGAGCCGCGGGGGAGGCGCCCGCTGCCCCAGCGGCAGATCTGGTCTCGGCCTGAAGGTAGGCAACTAGCCCAGCGGTTCCCAACCTTGGGGTCGCGACCCCAAATGGGGTCGCGAAAAAATTTCGAAGGGTCGCGGCGAGGTGGTTGGGGTCGCCTGGGGTCGTGGCTGTTTCCCGGCTGGCAGAATTGTTCAAAACGGTCGAAAATGACTTTGAAAACTCGTGTTTTAGGCCGACTTTGAGCAGCAACTGCGTCTGATCCGAGGCGGTATTTCGTTCTCCCTCAGCGGGCATTTGGTCTTTGGACCTTCCTTTAGCATGCCTTTGTTACGGAGTGCGATTATCGGCCTTAGTTTGGGAGCAGTATTGTCTCAAAGTTGATGAAAACAGTATAAAATGCCTTTGAATGTCATTTTGATCCACTTTGAGACAATACTGCTCCCAAACTAAGGCCGACAATCGCACTCCGTAACAAAGGCATGTTAAAGGAAGGTCCAAAGACCAAATGCCCGTTGAGGGAGGACGAGATACCGCCTCGGATCAGACGCAAAGGCTGCTTAAAGTCGGCCCAAAACACGATTTTTCAAAGACATTTGTGAACGTTTTGATCAACTTTGTGGCAATACTGCTCCCAAACTAAGGCAGATAATTACACTCCGTAACAAAGGCATGCTAAAGGAAGGTCCAAAGGCCAAATGCCCGTTGAGGGAGGACGAAATACCTCCTCGGATCAGACGCAGAGGCTGCATAAAGTCGGCCCAAAACACGATTTTTCAAAGACATTTGTGGCCGTTTTGATCAACTTTGCGGCAATACTGCTCCCAAACTAAGGTGAATTATCGCACTTTGTATCAAAGACATGCTAAAGGAGGGGTCGCGTGGGGTCGCGAAATTTTTCCTGGGGGTCGCGGAAATTTTTTGTATCAAATTTGGGGTCGCGAACCGAAAAAGGTTGGGAACCGCTGAACTAGCCCCATGGGCGGATCCAGGGAAGGGTTCAGGGGAAGGGGGGGGGGATGTCGCGAAAGTAGCCTACCTACAGGGGTAATGTGCGACTTCACAGAATCACACAATTGTTGCAATGTAGGCACAATGTTGTGGCTCGGCCTCGCCGTCTGTAGCAAGGATATAAACAACGTGTTCGTGGCGTTCCTCCCGTCGCTGTCTTTGTCGTCTCGGCCCTCCGCCTCGTCACTGGACGCGGCGCTGACCACACTGGTAAGTGAACAAAAGGGCATGTGGCTCTGCTGAACCTTGGCTGCCATGGCGCACTGTGTTCCAGAAGACCAGTGGAGTCGGTCAAAATCCCGGACGCGTTTTGAGCTCCAGAGTCGCTAAATGGGACTCGAACCGAACGTGTTACCCCACCAATGGATTGCTCTCCGAACGAGAAATTCATTGGTGGGGTCACTCGCTCGGTTCGAGTCCTGTTTAGCGACTCTGGAGCTCAAAACGCGTCTAAAGTCTTGGCCGCCTCCACCGGTCTTCTGGCCCACTGTGCGCCTGGTACGCTGTGGGCCCGTCGTGCCACGCAATGCTCGCGCGACATGCATGCGCGGCCGCGCGCTGTGGGTGCGAGTGAGAAGGCCGAGTTCATTTTCACGGTCAGCGGTAGCGGCGCTTGCGTGACCGCTTCATACTTGTGCAGATGTGGGCTCATTCGTTGGCCCGTCCATCCCAAAAAAAAAACAAAAAGCAACCGCAAAACTTGACTTAAATACAGAGAAAATAAATTGCAGCTTTGTCCAATCGCGTATCTAGAAACGTTGAGGGGGTCTCAAAAGTTGCCTACTTACAGGGGCATGCCTCTCAGGTGGGAAAACCTTCTCCTGGGAATGAACCGGTATTCCTGGAATACAGCTTTGTGTTTTACTAGGGAATAGTTATGTAATACAAGTGGACAATAGTACAAAAGGAACCTTCGTATTGCGTGACTGACTAGTACAGAGTTTTATTTAGGTGAAATAGAAAAAAGAAACCCTTGGTAGACTTTTGAGTAAAAGCGCTTGTTCATGGCATGAGGTCATGCTTCCCCTCGTTAACCATTCCCGAGATACCACGTGCTCATGTGTATCAGTGTATCGGTGCAGGACTTCGTTCAGCAAACTTGTGTCTCAGGCGTTGCTATCGATTAGACAACAGATCAAATCAAGGCACTATAGAAACCGATCTGTCGACTGAATGACGCAGATGCACACCATAAGTTGTTGTTGTTATTAAACACAATATTTTGCTCAATTTCTTGCTCCAGACTTTTACTTTTCTGGACGAAGGTCGGGAAACACTTTGAAGTGTTGGTCCGTGTGTCTGCTCAATTGCACAATACGGTTACTTTATTAAATTTTCATTCAGGAAACGATAAGTAAAAGTTCTCCACATCTGTTGGAGCGGTTAAAAAGAACACAAATTAAGACAATTTGTACCGAAAAACTCCTTGTGAACTCCTCTACGCCATCTCCCAGGAACCTGCGCCATTCTGCGTACAAATTTGCCCGAAAAATTTCGCATGTTTCAGTTGTGGGGGACCACGCACCAAATTGTGCAAACACATTAAGTGTGTACGAAGCGTCATAACCCAATAAGAACACGAAACGCTCACAGTGACGTCATTTTGATGTCAATATGACAAATTTTTGTCAAAATTTCGACAAAATAAGCATCATTTTGACGTCATTTTGACGTCCTTTGACTGACGTCATTTTGACGTCCTTTGACTGCTTCGTGAGTGTTTCGTGTTCTTTGGGGGGATAATTATCATTCCTTTTTCTTCGCAGTGTACCAATGGCGCTCACTTAGAAACAGTTTACTGTTTTGACAATCTGTGTTCAATCAAAGCAGTGCTGGCCGCTTGCCTTATCTGCCACTCGAGGCCGAACCCTTGATGGGAGAATAAAACGTGAACCCGTCGCGCGGACGGGTCTTGTGGCAACACAGCTGTCGTCCAAGATGGCAGCCGTCAGCACCATGCTTCGCGCTGCAACCCTCCTCGCCGTTCTGGCGATTGCCTGTGGGGCGTTCACCAGGTACGCAAAGCATGCATTGTTCGCTTGGGGGTCATTCCGCCATTCCAGCACGCTATCCAGCTCGAGAGCGCTCCAAATGTCTTACAATGAGACTTTAGCTACGTTACAGTGAATTCAGAGCAAGCACACTGTGAAAATTCGAGTCGTCTCTTGATGACAGTTTCAAGGCTAATTTTCCTCACAACAATGTCTTCAAAGCAAATGATGACATTGTTGTCACGCCCCTCCCCAGCTTTGATAAAAATGTCATCAGTTTGTGATGAGATTGCGATCATTTGAAAGTGATATGAAAATATCATCCACGATTTTGTCATAAAGAGACAACAAATTTTCACAGTGCATAATACGAAGCAATATTTCTTCAAAATACAATTTTTTTTAGTATTTTTCTTGTAAGCTACAAAGAAAAGTCTTCGTAATCCGAAGAGAAAGTAACTTCGTACATATTATGCTTGCGCCATTTCTTTCGTATTGTAGGAACTTTCTTCACGAGACATTTTGAGTGATGCCTCGGGTTGAAGCGTGCCACTCCACCTGGAGAGCACGCCTGGTATATTCAATCAAACTCCACCTGGAGCGTGGCTGGTATTTACACTCCACCTGGAGCATGCCCGGTATTCACACACCACCTGGAGCATGCCTGGTATTCACACTCCACCTGGAGCATGTCTGGTATCTATACTCCATCTGGAGCATGCCTGGTATCTATACTCCATCTGGAGCACATGCCTGGTATTCACTCTTCACCTGGAGCATGCATGGCATGCATACTCCACTTGCTAGAGCACGTGGCATGCACTCCACATGGAGTTTGTCTGGGCGTGTGGATGTGGACACCACGTGGTGCATCTACATGTACCCCGTTCCTTCTGTTTGAAGCAAAGCAATTGCAGTGTTCATGCAGGTATGCGCAACGGAGTGCACATACCGCATGCTCCTGAAATAAAGTAGGGAAAAAAGGGGGAAGCGCATTGACGTATGAACAGGAGTCCACCCTATCAAGCTCTCTGAATCTGCACATTTCCTTCATTGCAAACTACTTAAAGATTACCTGAGCAGATAAAAATCCAATTGACTTTTGACCTTCTGTATTAACCTGTTACTGATGGGTTCCAAGTCCGATATCCTCTAGATAAGCTCCACACGACGGTGTGGAATCGCGCTTTCCGAACAGAGCACTTCCATTAATGGTTAAATTTTACTGGCAATATTTTTGTCAGACTCGTTCTTTTTCAATTTTTGAACGATCTGATTATATTGTATAGTCGCATGTGGGCGAATGTGACATGCGCGTTGTCACGTTATGGCGTCACAGTCGGGAGAGAACGCGCCTGTCATCCGGCCCACTGTGGGAGTAGTTCTCGTACTCGCCATCGTATCGTCTCGATGCACTGTGACCATCAGCTGTGTGGACGTTCGGGGCGTTTGCGAAAACCGCTGCGTAGTGACAATAAGATTACTCACTGATTAGGCTGACAAGAGTGTTCCTCTCTACGTAGAATGCGTTGAAGGGTTGCCTCATACCCGCAGCCAGAAACCGTACAATAATCTTGGCCACACATCTCTGTGTACTTTTTGGTACACATCTAGGAGTAAGATAGACACGCATAAATCATGGAATTCAGAAAATGAGATGAGGGGGCGCTTTCTACTCTGCACATCTGTGGGAGAGTACTAGAAAAGTATTAAGTACACTCCTATAAGAGTGTACTGAATAGGAGTGTACTAAGTACACGTTAGATCTTTTAGTGCAGGCACAAAAGAATAAGAAAATCTCTGCTTCGACTTGCGTAACCGTCTTAATTTTTATATTACAGGGTGCCCTTGTACCGCACGGAGTCTGTCCGCCATCAGCTCCGTGACGTCGACATTTCGTCTCAACCGCTTCAAATGAAGTATGGAGTTGCGTCCACCCCATCGGGCCACGTCTCTCTTTCCAACTACATGAATGTAAGTCGTTTCTCGGGGACCACTCATCAAAGTTGACACGTGCATCTTCTTGCTTGCACTGGTAACGAAAACCACACCTATTCGAGACATAAATCCGTTTTTGTTTTCGATGCCAGGCCCAGTACTTCGGACCCATCAGCATTGGTACTCCACCCCAGAGCTTCCGCGTCATCTTCGACACTGGCTCCTCCAACTTGTGGGTGCCCTCCAAGAAGTGCCACTTCTGGAACATTGCCTGCCGTGAGTAGACTTCAACTTTACCGCTTTTAACCAACAAAAATATGAAATTTGAACCGATACGTAACATGTTCATTAAGGCTCCTTAACTTACTGCATGGGCGTCATTTGTCATCAAATGTGATATGACATCCTTTTAAGGAAAGGTTCAACTTGTCATCAAGTGACGACTAAAATTTTTACAGTGTGGATCAGTTAACCCTTTAAATTTTCTATGCTTCAGTGATGCACAAGAAGTACAACAGCCGCAAGTCGAGCACCTACAAGAAGAACGGCAAGAAGTTCGCCATCCATTACGGATCTGGCAGCCTCTCCGGCTTCTACTCTTCTGACACAGTGACCGTAAGTTTTCTGTCCCTGTCACAATTCACACAGAGCCGCTCACGACCAAGCAGGAGATTCGCGAGGAGATTCGCTTTCGAACCGAGGCCTCTCAAATGTAGTAATCGCAGATTTTTTGCTGTGTGACTTGGGAGACGGCTTCACGAAGAGGATCACTGTTTAATTTTCACGGTTTAAATCTTTTGTAGATCGGTGGCGTCTCGGCCAAGGACCAGATCTTCGCCGAGGCCACCAACGAGCCTGGCATGACCTTCGTCGCTGCCAAGTTCGACGGCATCCTTGGTATGGGATACAGGACCATCTCCGTCGGCGGTGTCACGCCCGTGTTCGACAACCTGGTCGAGCAGGGAGCCGTTGACGACGCTGTCTTCTCTTTCTACTTGAGCAGGTCAGTGATCATTTTCGCTGTGTGCACTGTAGAAATTTTGGCTGTTACTGATGTCAAAATTTGTGCGGCTAATTTGCGTCACAAGAATGTCATCGGGCTCGTTGATGACATTGGCGCGACGCCCTTGCAAAAGTAGAGGAGTTTCGATAGAAATGTTATCAATGTGTGATGATGCACTTTGGAAAACTAACAATATAACTATATAATAATATAACTAATAACTAATAGCATATATACAAGCTTAAGAAACTGCTTCGTAATTTGCGAACTGACTTTTCGAATGAGAATCTAAATAGTTTGAGTATTACACATATGCTTGAAATACTTCGTGAGTTTTTCATCGTGTGGTATTCACAGTCCTGAACTAGCGAAAAATTTTCACAGTGTGGCCGGTTATGACGCTCCACTTTGCCTTCAACACATTCACTCTCTCTTTTCAACTGCAGGGACGCCGCCTCTGGCGACAAGGGTGGCGAGCTGATCCTTGGCGGTTCCGACCCCGAGCTCTACAAGGGCAACTTCACCTACGTGCCCGTGACCAGGCAGGGCTACTGGCAGTTCGCCGTGGACGGGTAGGTCTTCTCTTGTCGACTTTCTGGAGTGTTTGACTTTCTCGATCACTGATCGAACTACAAAAATGGCTATACTGTAGATGCAAGTAAAAAATCTGCATAACTTTAGGGAGGAAAGCTGTGGAATGAAGCTACTAACGTGTGAACAAATGAGACGATGACCTATCTTAGAATAAAACAATTCCTTTAAGGCTGTTGTAAGATTAATCATCTTTGTCTCACGCCAATAAACCTGTGTGGGGTTTTTCATTTTTACTGATCTTTCTTACTTTTGAACAAATGAGACGATGACCTATCTTAGTTAAAAGTTCTTGAAAAACTGTTATTAAGATTAATCAGCTTTGTCTCACGTGAAAAATAAGCCTGAGAGAGTTTCTAATTTTTTCTAATCTTTCTTACTTTTTGACTTGATACAGCATCTCCGTCCAGGGCAAGACCTTCTGCGAGGGTGGCTGCCAGGCCATCGCCGACACCGGCACCTCCCTCATCGCCGGTCCCGTCGCCGAGGTCAACAAGCTCAACGAGCTCATCGGTGGCACCAAGATCGTCGGCGGAGAGTACATGGTGCGTGGGCTGTTGCACTATGCACAGTGGGCCAGAAGACCGGTGGAGGCGGCCGAAACTCAAGACGCGTTTTGAGCTCCTGAGTCGCTAAACAAGATTCGACCCAAACGTGTGACCCCATCAATGATTCCTCGTTCCAAGAGCAATCCATCCATTGGTGGGGTCACACGTTCGGTTCGAATCCTATTTAGCGACTCGGAGCTTAAAACGCTTCTAGAATTTTGGCCGACTCCACTGGTCTTCCGGCCCACCATGCACTGTTTGGAATAAATTGAAAAATACGAAAATACCACATTCCGTTCCGAAACTCCAGTTGAAATTTCTAAAGGCTACGTTGTTAAAAGGATATTTTAGTCCTTTAATCCGTAGAAAAGCTCAAACGGGATAGAAAAATTGAAGTTTTTGGAATTTTCTCATCAAGATTAACGGCCATTTTTATTTTTTCGAAAAGTTCTCCGGGAGTTTTTCAAAGCTTTCTTTAGCAGTGTTTAAAATACTGGTCTAATGTCAGCCTAATGCGACCACGTATAACAATTCCTTCTTACTTTTCCCCAGATCGACTGCAGCAAGCTCGACAGTCTGCCCAAGCTGGACTTCGTCATCAACGGAAAGACCTTCACCCTGGAGGGCAAGGACTACGTCCTGCAGGTAAATGTGGTTCCCCGGAAGTGTGGGCTGTACCTACGTTGCAGGTCCACTGTTGAAGTCTCCAGCATTTCGCGATGAGTCTTGCACTAATCCATTCTCTGTTTTCCTTAGATCTCTCAGATGGGCCAGTCCATGTGCCTCTCTGGTTTCATGGGTATGGACATCGCTCCCCCCGCTGGTCCCCTGTGGATCTTGGGAGATGTCTTCATCGGCAAATACTACACCGAGTTCGACATGAAGAACAACCGCGTTGGCTTTGCTGAGGCCAAGTAAACGATGTCTTTTCTGGAAGACGTTGTGTGTACATAAATAACGAGAAACGACAGAATTTGTGATTAAATTGTGATCAACTCGTAATGTTCGTGTAGTATTTTACCCAAAAAATTTAAACGGTCGAAATCAAACGTGTTCCGTGTTCTTTTCCCAAAATAAAACAACATTTGGGAACATTAAAATGACCTAATTGACACTCTCAGCCTCTTATTGACCTTGTCGTCAGCAACCAGGTAAAGCCTAATGGTAAAAACACGTAAATAAACCTGCTTGCCTGGACTCTGGAGCTCAAAACGCGTCTAGAATCTTGGCAGCCGGCGCCGCACAGTGGGCTGAGAAGCAAAAAAAGCGATAAAAATTCTAAACGACGTCAAAATCGCTACTCGGGGGTTTTTGGGTCCGAGAAACTCAAATCTGACGAAATCAAAACCCGAAAACGACCGGCAGGGGCGGATCCAGCATTTACGGGAGGGGGGTGGGGGAGTAATTTAGAAAATGCGTCCCTGAGGATTTTGGGTCCCCGAAAATCATATCTGACAAAATCGAAACCAGCAAACGACCGGCGACAGCAGCCAGCCGCCCGGCCGGCCCGGGCGCAGAATAGAAGAAATTAGCTATATAGGTATCACAATCTTTATTTTAAAATGTAGAGAATGTACAAATCAACGAACTAACGGGCTACCAAAGAGAATAAACAGTCTTGAAAATTTTATTTTCTCCCTCTCATTTTAGTTGGTTTGTAGGAATGAATGGCACTCTTTCAAGAGATCCTGAAGATCTTGATACTTAGCCAGCTCGCATGCCCTGTTGATCTCTGCCCACTCGAAGGCTTGGTGTTCCTTCGAAAGCTTCACTTCCGTCTTCGGATCCAAGAGTTCGGACAGCCAATAAACGACCACCTTGGGCTTCCCCTTCACTGGATACTGACAAAGGATTGCATTGACATGGATCAATTAAACTAGTCTCACTCAGTAGACAGACATAGTAGACAGAAATGAAAACTACATAGACACATACATGAAGCTCTTTCCTGAAGCTTTCGACGATCTTGAATTGAGTGTCTTTTAAGCCAGCTTCCTCCTCAGTCTCTCGCAGCGCAGTTTGGAGATCATTTTCACCGGGATCGACGTGGCCTGAGGGGAAAGCCGACCAGGATTAGGGTCTTCGAGCAGCAATTACATAACGTTATGGGGCTTCCGTCACCAGCACAGGGAGACTCGGGCCGAGCGTGTCAGCCCGCCAGTGGATTGCTCTCCGGACGAGGAATCCATTGGTGGGGTCACACGTTCGGTTCGAGTCCTGTTTAGCGACTCTGGAGCTCAAAACGCGTCTAGAGTTTTGCCCGGCTCAGCCGGTCTTCTGGCCCACTGTGCAGGTTACCTTTGGGAGGCGTCCAGTGGTGCTCGCCGTACGACGTCTGCATCATCAAGTACTGGATCTCGTTGGCCACGCGTCGGAACACGACGAGGCCGGCGGCGCGGACAGGCATGGCAGGATTGTCCTTTCTCGAGAACAACTTAAACGAACGCGTAAATCCGCTTGCTTCTGTCGTCTGCTGTCAAACGTTGTTTGTTGCCGCAGCAAACTTTCTCATACGCACAGTGCGCGCGCGATCACCACTGCCAACCCTCGAAAACAAAGGGCGGGCCGACCTTATTTTCACAAGTTTACGGTCAAAACGTTCGGATTAATTCAGAATAAACCGTCTATTTCATTTAAAAACTTTTATTTGTGTCTGCGGGACGGGTGAAAACAGAAAACTTGCAAGGCATTTCAAACCGCTGGAGTGGCGCACCTGGAGCACAACAAAAGCCAACAGTTTGTCTGAAAGTTGAATTATAACGTTTTCCGTTACTTAAATCCCCCCGAATCGTTTCGTATTTCGATAAGCGAATTGTTTGAACGTTTCAAGAGACTCGCGAGTCCCGAAAAGTGTGCATTGTGCGGAGCTGATGAGGTGATCGGAACCGGAAACCGACTCTGGCAGCGCCGCTACCCAACAACACCGAGAATTCAAACAACATCAACAAACGCCCAGCGTCAACGGCCCTTGCGAGTTGCCTAGCGCGAGCGTCTCTTGCGACTTCATCGCCCGGAGTGTGTTTACATCGTTGGAAATGGCATCTTATGTCGTGTCGCCGTCGCCGCAGTGGAGGTACCCCGTGGAGAACGAGCAAAGCCGAAGTGAGTACTCGATAGAGAGCATTGAGATGTCCCGATAAGTCCAAGGCGTCCTCGGTCGGTGCAGTCTCGGAGGCCGGTTCTGCATTGTTGCGGCCGCGGCGTCCCCCGTGTCATTGTAACCTCTGTTCCGGCGGGGTTGATCTGTGCTGATCAAGGATTTTCTTCGTCTCCTGTCTAGATATGACGACCCTGAGCAGCAACAACTATCCCTCCAGCAACGGAAATTACCTGAGACCGAGGGTGGTCTACAGCAAAGGGCCCTGCCCCTTGTCCATGCCCAACCTGTCGGCCCCTGCTTCGCCCCGGGCCTCATCCCTATCCAACATCATGATGGGCTTCCAAGAGAACCAACGGTTTGAAAAATACTCCCGTAAAGTGTTCATTGGAGGCCTGCCTCCTGACATAAATGAAAGTAAGCGTGGTTTCTTGTTTGCTTTTCCAACAGCAAGATATTTCAGTTTCGATCATTTTCGTCCTTCAACTTGTGTTAATATTTTTTTGCAGAGGAGATTTACTCAGCATTCAGACGTTTTGGTCCTTTGACCGTCAATTGGCCTCAGAAAGGAGAAACGAGACCCCATTACCCACCTCGAGGCTATGCATTCCTCATATTCCAGGTAATAAAAAAATTCAATTCACAGTTATGTTGAAATTTTACTAGTTGAAATATTTTTAATTGGCCTGTTTGTCCTCTTTGGCTTGGTAGGAAGAAGAGTCTGTGCAGCTGCTCATTGATGCCTGCATACAGAAACCTGCTGAGACGCCTCGTATGTCAGAGAGGTCCCGCTTGCCCCTAGTAGCGCAAGCCAATGGCATTCCACAGAGGCTCCAAGCGTCTCAACCACCCGTTGTCGTCCAGCTTCCTGTGCTCACTCTGCAGCCCCAGCTGTATATCAGTGTCTCATCACACCTCCAGCCCAACAAGCTTGTGCAAATCCGACCATGGAATCTGACTGATGCAGAATACACTTTGGATGACTCTGTGCCTCTAGATCCTCGCAAGACAGTCTTTGTTGGAGGTGTTCCCCGACCCTTCAAAGCAGGTATTTTAAGATTTGGTCTCTATGTTTGCCATTTAAAAATATTTTTTCATGTTAAGAACTGGTGTTAATTTCACTCATGTTTTCATTTCAGTTGAACTTGCTTGCTTGATGAATGATCTCTTTGGCAATGTCTGCTGCGCTGGTATTGACACTGACCCAGACTTGAGGTATCCCAAAGGAGCTGCCCGGGTTACTTTCACTACCCGTGAGAGCTACCTCAGAGCTATTGAAGTGAGGTTTGTGGAAGTCCAAATGCCAGATCAGAGGAAAAGAGTAAGTGTTTGTCTTATTTCAGTTAAAATATTCTTAAGTTTTGTGTTTTAAGGCAACTAATTTTGGTTTCAATTTCAGATGGAAGTGAAACCATTTGTCCTGGATGATCAGTTATGTGACCAATGTATTGACATTGACAGAAAAAGTGGCCCATACTTTTGTGGCAATCTAATCTGCCTTCAGGTAAGACATGAATACTTCAGTTAAAAATGTGTAGTGTGCTGCACCAAAATCCTTTTGTTTTCATAAAATTATTTTTATTTATTTTTTTCAGTACTATTGTGAATTTTGCTGGTCTCAAATTCATTCTGAAGATGAAAAGATGTTCCACAAACCCATTGTGAAGGAGTGGGCTGACCGCCCCAGAACATTAGCATACCGTCGTTGCTGAGAGTGAGCTGCTGTCACATCCTGTCTGTCATCAATACCATTATGAACTCTATGTAGTTGGCAGGAGTATATTACATTGTTTTATGTGTATTTGTTGTTGGAGGTGACTTTCCACCTTAATTTCATTGTTTAGCTTCTTGTTTTATTTTAATTAATTTTCTACATGTCATGGAAGCATTTAGTCCCCTTTTTAAAAAATGAATTTCCAGCTGTACCAGAATTGAAATGTTAGTTTATTTATCTTGCATTCTATTCACTTATTTTGGCCAAATGTTAGTAGGCTTCTACCGTTCTTGAGATGCCTATGCCTATATTGTTAGGATTGTCGCTCTAGTCCTGCAATTTCTTCACATTCAAGTGCTTTTGTTCCTTTCGTTGTTGTTTTTTGTTTTAAGCTTACAAAATGGCAGTCAGCCTATTTATGTTTATTTATGTTACCATAATATTTTAATGAATTTTCCCATCTCTGTAAGTGTTTGGAGTAAGAAATGAATTTTCTCTGACTGGCATAAAACTTCCTGCCTGTGAAGTTACAGAGCCTCTAATGAACTATTGACCTGTAATTAATGAACTACATGGTGTTACAAAATGTATCCCAAGTACAGTGTCAATGTTATGTTAATGAACTAATTTAAATTGAGTCAGTATTATAACTACCTGTTTCAATGAATTTTAAAGAGTTATTTAAATGTTTGTTAATCTCAAATACCTTATATTGAATACTTTGTTGTATCTTAAAAGTTTATTTATATATTGTTTATTCTAGTACTCCTGCAATGATTGATAGTAATTGGCTGACATGTTGAATTTTAAGAGGTAAAGTGAGTGCTGTGTTCTTGATTCTCCAGCAAGGCTTTGCTCTGTAATTGTGGTGCGATGGGTTCTTCCTCTCAGTTATTGTTTCCATCAAAGCTAGTCCCCATGGATGTTGCTTAGCAAAAACTTTGTATGTTCCTTTTAATAACATGATTTTAATTCGTTTATTGACCAACCCATTTCTACTTCTGTGAAAAATGTTTCACTTTTGACTCGATTTCCTGTTTGTATTTCAAAATGATTGGACTGTCTCCAAGATATTGTTTTTAAAAGTCCGTTTTTTTTTGCACTGCTCTTTGAATGAGGTTTTAAATTTAATGACATTTCCTTTACTTTCCTTAATTTTGTAATTTTTCAATTGAATGTATGGTTTGTCCGTGTTTTTTTAAAAACTTGTAAAGTGGTCTGGAATCTTCTGGAATGCTGCAATCAACATCTTCTTCCTCTGTCTGTTCCAATTAATACTATTGTCTTCCAACTAGGATAAGTTTCTTCATTTGTGTATTTGCAGATCGTTTGTTTGATTGGTCGCACATGCAACTCACTAATAAGCCTTTGTAATAAAAAAGGAAAATTGACATTCTGCCTGTCTTTTATTGTCTCCCAGATCAAAACCAGTCACCCCACTTACGCCTTGATTCAAACACATGACGCTTATCATCGGTTCAAAAAGGGGGGAGGGAAGGAGGGGGGGCTTTCCATGCCCAACTGGCGCCTGATAGGGAGGCAGCTCAGCAGCATTTTCCGGCTGCGAGGAGACGCACGGGCAGAAATTGCGACACAACAACTTGAGACCAGTCATCCACGCCACTGCCCTTGAGGGACACTCGGGTCGTTCTGCGTCCTCCAGGAGCGTGCAGATGCGCACCCATGTGCAGACGGCCGCACAGTGGGCCAGAAGACCGGTGGAGGCGGCCAAAGCTCTAGACGCGTTTTTGAGCTCCAGCGTCGCTCAATGGGACTCGAATCGAACGTGTGACCCCACCAATGGATTGCTCTGCGAACGAGGAATCCATTGGTGGGGTCACACGTTCGCTTCGAGTCCTGCTTAGCGACTCTGGAGCTCAAAACGCGTCTAGAGTTTTGGCCGCCTCCACCCGTCTTCTGGCCCACTGTGGGCCGGTACGGCGCACCGCTGATGCCGAAGCGTCGCTCCGTCTCTGTCGCACTCACGGGGCGTCCGGTAGGGGTGCGAGAGAGACAGAAAGTGCGCGGGGCCGCGAAGCGCGATGCCGCCCCCGAAATGCGGCGCCACATTAAATGCGTTTCTGCCGGCGCATACACGGCGCGACAAGTGGCCACGGCGAGGTGCGTCTCATGGAATGGCATTCACGGCCAGTCGCTCTGTCTCTCTCGCACTCGTGGGCCGACACGCGCGTTCCGCGGGGGTGCGAGAGAGACAGAAGACAAGGGCGCTCGTTCGGGATGTGACTGCAGCCGCGACAGCTTCAGCGTGCTTCAGCGCCAGAGAGACGGGGATCGGTGTATCATTCGACTGCTGGCGTCGCGTCCGCGGACTTGGTCACGGTCCGCACTGCCGCGGCACTGCCCACACGCATCCGGTACACCGGTAGTGACACCTGTTGAGGGCCCCCACGAGGTGAGTCGAGTCGCCAGCAGTGTAGTGGTAGTGTTCGTCCAGTTCGCCGGTCAGAGGCCCCCGGCTCCAGCAGCTCCAGCCCTGCTCCAGCGCATCGCGGGCCAGAGGACATGAGTGCGACAGTCTTCGTGCGGTCTGCCGAAGAATCGTTTTTCTTCGCTGCCTTTCTCGCACCCTTAAGGAACGCTCGTTTCTTCGCTCGCTCTCTCTCGCACTCCTGAGGAACGCTCCACAGTGTCCCAGAAGACCGGCGCCGGCGGCCAAAACTCCAAACGCGTTTTGAGCTCCAGAGTCGCTAAGCAGGACTCGAACCGAACGTGTGACCCCACCAATGGACTCCTCGTTCGGAGAGCAATCCATTGCTGGGGTCACACGTTCGATTCGAGTCCCATTTAGCGACTCTGGAGCTCAAAACGCGTCCGGGATTTTGACCGCCTCGACCGGTCTGCTGGCAGGCCGGCTGGAAACGCCCGGCGGGTAGGCTGTCCCGTCGAGCGCGGGTGCACTGTGGGAGCTGCGGTTGCCTAGCCAGCACGGCGCTCTAGCCGCCGAGCCGGCAGCAGCGGCCGGCTCGGGGTGGGAGTGAGTCATCACAGCAGCAGCGGGCAGCGTTTGCGATCGGTCAGCACAATTGCAGTTTCTGCGAGGCCGAGGGGCGAAGCACAGTGGGCCAGAAGACCGGTGGAGGCGGCCAAAACTCTAGACGCGTTTTGAGCTCCAGAGTCGCTGAATGGGACTCGAACCGAACGTCACGGTGACCGTGTGACCCCACCAATGGATTGCTCTGCGAACGAGGAATCCATTGGTGGAGTCACACGTTCGGTTCGAGTCCTGTTTAGCGACTCTGGAGCTCAAAACGCATCTGGAGTTTTGGCCGCCTCCACCGGTCTTCTGGCCCACTGTGCGAAAGCCAAGCGCAACTGCTGGCAGTTCAGTTTTCTTAGTCACTCTCGGTTGAGTCAGGCCCCACGCGTGCCTTGAGACTGCCGTTGCGTGACAAACGGGACGAGCACTGAGAGACGGTCGGTCTTTCCGCGGACCAATTCGCCCATTTTTGCCTGTTTTTGTTTTAGAGTGTGCCGCCCTGGTCCTTGGAAAATCCCTCCGGTGATGCAAGCGCGCTGCGCTGCGCTCAAGGGCCGTCAGAGCCGCGCCCCGAAGGGCCGGGGCCACCGCAGACTGATTCCGAGAGTCGTCTTCGTCGCTCTGTCTCTCTCGCACCCATGCGGTACACCCCACGAGTGAGAGAGAGAGAGAGAGAGACAGCGCGACGAAACGACTCTCGGAATCAGCCTGCAGGGCCAGAGGCACGCCGCGGCGTGTTTACACAGCGTTAATGGATTCAGCGCCATATCAATGGAAAAGGGGGGCGGGGCACAGTGGGCCAGAAGGCCGGTGCAGGCGGCCAAAACTCTAGACGCGTTTTAAGCTCCAGAGTCGCTAAACGGGCCTCGAACCGGACGTGTGACCCCACCGATGGATTCCTCGTTCGGAGAGCAATCCATTGCTGGGGTCACACGTTCGATTCGAGTCCCATTAAGTGACTCTGGAGCTCAAAACGCGTCTCGAAATTTGGCCGCCTCCACCGGTCTTCTGACCCACTGTGCGGGGCAGCAGAGTTCGTCGCGGTTGGCCGCGGGGAAACCCGGTATCCCTCTTGACCGACCCGAAAGGCTTCGACCGCGAGGAAAGTGTCTCGAGAGCTTTGCCCTCCCGGACCGTAATGTTTCGGAAAGGGCCGCCGATGCCGAGCGGTGCCGAAGGATCTCTCTCTCTCTCTCTCTCTCTCTCTCTCTCTCTCTCTCTCTCTCTCTCTCTCTCTCTCTCTCGCACTCATGGGGCGTCCCGGAAAGGTGCGAGGGACACAGCGCCAGGAGGGAATCGCTCGCTGCTGAAGACTGATTCCGAGATTCGCTTCCGTCGCTCTGTCTCTCTCGCACTCATGGGGCGTCCCCTGCGGGTGCGAGAGAGACAGAGCGACGAGTCTGCTGGACGGTCTGCGCGTCCCGCCGCGTGGCCGGATAGCATAAGTACTACAGCACACTTGTTTGAGACGGTTAGATCGCGGAGCGGTCTAGCGGTGTGCGTCGCGGAGCCGCCGCTCCACTGTATCATCGTCAGCGGACAGCACCGCCATGGGCACCCCAGGGGCGTCGTCGGCGTCCTCGCAACCGTCGGCCCGCCTCGTCGCCGTCCTCGCGATCGCAATGCTCGCCGTCCATAGTGCAGGTACGTGCTGGGCCGCCGTTCGGATCCTAGGCTCACACAGTTGGCCAGAAGACCGTTGGAGGCGGCCAAAATTCCAGACGCGTTTGGGGCTCCAGAGTCGCTAAATGGGACTCGAAGTAAAGTTGTGACCCCACCAATGGATTCCTCGTTCGGAGAGCAATCCAATTGGTGGGGTCACACGTTCGGTTAGAGTCCCATTTAGCGACTCTGGAGCTCAAAACGCGTCTAGAGTTTTGGCCGCCTCCGCCGGTCTTCCGGCCCACTGTGCGATGGTCAATGGATTCGGCACTGAGATCGTCTCCTTCCTCTGAAGGCGCAGCGAGCGTCCTTCGCGCGGCACCGAGGGCCGCCTCTGCCGCCGCCGAGCCGAGCGCTGCGACTGACTCGCCGCTGCTGGAGTCGACGCTGGCGACGCTGGCGACGCAGGGCGAGGAGCTGGACGCCGCCACCCTGCAGGCCCTGAGCGCCCTGAGCAGGCTGGGCAGCCTCCAGGACGACGCCGGCACGCTGGAGATCCAAGTGCCCGGCGACGTGTGGGGCCTGGCGGACTCGCTGCTGCGCGACGGCAACAAGGTAACAGTGGGCCAGAAGACCGGTGGAGGCGGTCTCAACCCCCGACGCGTTTTGAGCTCCAGAGTCGCTAAATGGGACTCGAACCGAACGTGTGACCCCACCAATGGATTGCTCTCCGAACGAGGAATCCATTGGTGGGGTCACACGTTCGGTTCGAGTCAAGGTGGGCGTGACAGGGGCAGGGTAGGCCGCCGTCTCCACTCCGGTGTGTTGCAGGCCGGGTTGGTGGCCTACCTGACAGGCGCTACAGTGCCCCTGCAGTGCGTTGCCCCTATCTCTTGCGTAGTGCTTTGTACATTGTTTCATGTCAAGATTTTGACTCTGGCTCTTGCCTCTCCCCAGCCAAGCGAACGGATTTCCGTTCCATTCCTGCCGTCTATTCTGCCTCACGTGAACACCTCATGCTCCTGCCAAAATTGGCAATGTAGCTGCTGTGCTACGGTGGAAATCACTCCTCTGAAGAGAAACAAAACAGGTCCGAGTCCATGACATTGACAGGTTGACACTTTCGGTAAAATGATTCAATATTCACTAGTTTGAATTCCTTGGCAGGGTGTGCAACTTTGTCTTATGTAAAAGACCAACTGGCGGTTGTTCTTCGATTGTCACTCAATAACAGGACTCTAGCTGAGAGAGAGTTGATATCAGGTAATGTTCAAAATTTTCGTCATCAAAGAAGAAAGCAGGGCGATAACTTGCTATGTTTTACAGGATCGCATCCTCCTCCATTCTGCTTCCCAGTGCCCCAGCTACCAGTCATTACAGTGTGTCTGCGTTTTAGCAATATCAGCCTAACAAATGATGCTAAAATTCAGGTAAACACGTCGCATCCTTGAATCTTTACTGGTAGCTTTCTGAATGAAAAAAAAAATACATGTTAAAATTATTAAAAATTACAGGCATGTGCTGCAGTAGAAATGGGGCTTGTCTTTACGTCTCCCTTGATTCGGCTCCGATTTGGATGTCTTCGGATTGGGCCAGGGGGTGTTGGCTGGTCTAGCAAACCTGTTACTCATTCATTGAACTCAGGGGCTGATATTGAAACAGATGCATTGCAGCAATTCGCAGCTGCTATAAATGCCACAGACAAGGATCAGCAATTTTTACTTCTCCAATCTATTTTAAGGCAAGACAGTGGCGTGTTTAGTGAACCTCAACCGGTTCAGCTCTCAAGAAGTTCCAAATCGACATGGCCAAACTATCAGCAAAGAATTCGGTACAGTTAAACAGATTATTTGTTATAACATTTGTGTATATTATGTAAATTTGAAACCTATGATTGATAAATTGTGCTAATAAACAGGATGATACCTGACTAGAAGAGCCCTTCCAACAAACTTGATAGGAAATAGCACAAGAAACAAATTTTCTTAACACATTTATTCTTGTGAAATTTCATAACAAAACAAACGTGCTCAGTAAATAAATATTTTAAAATCACAAACATAGAAAACATCTTCCAAGAATTATCAAAAGTTTTATAAAATTGTGCATCACACATTACATTAAACGAGAACAAGATCAGAAAGACAACCACTCTGTGCATAACCGTAAGGCACTGAAAGCTACAGGGGTAGAATACATTCGAATAAAAGCACAACCACACATAAGGCACATTATTGATTCAAAATTCAATTATTTTGGTTTCAAAATAAACCTGGGAAACAAGACAAGAAGACTTTTTCCTAAGCCACTTTGTTTGACTAGTTCAAATTTCCTTAAATAATGACTAGTAAGAAGGGACAAATGCAGTGCTGTAGGTCTGCAGGCTGCACTATTTGCTGGCATCTTGAGATCCTGATGTTAGGTTCTGAACTATATTACTCAAGCTGGCGACCTGGAAAACAAAGATGATAAACAACAATGAAATTGAAAATATCAGAAAAACAAGTAGAGTTTGGGTGTTTAGGAAAATTTGGTGGTGGTGACTTACCTCTTTCTTATAGATAGAGTTCAAATTAAATTGAACTCTGAGGAGTTCTCTGCATTTGTCCAACTCCCATTGGGTGTCACTGTTTCCAGAAGTTACTTGAAATTGAGGACTTAATCTGGCATTGGCTACAGAAGCTTCTGGAACTAGGGCTTTATTTTCTTGAGCTGTATTTGGAAGACCCTAAAATATGAAATTCTCTTAATTCAAGTAACCCTTCTCCTTAATTCACATAAAAATGGGACTCTGATTACCTTGGTAGTACTCTCTCCCTCGAAGACAGATGGAGGAGGCACCGGTGTAGAGGAGGAAGACACTGAGCTGGTAGGAATGCACAACTCTAGAAATCTTTCCTGAAGAGAACAGTGAGACCCCAAAACTCCGGGAAAAGGAACTGAAGGTTGTCGTATGGCAGTTTGCTCCAACAATGCCAAGCAGGCATCACCGACTCGAGGTCGAGGGGTACTTGGATGCGAATGCGGGTGAGTCGGGGTCAAGAACTGACTTGTTCTTGCTGTTAGTTGGGGAGTGTGGAATACAGGCCGATTTGACAAAGGAAGAATAGGAGATGCAAGAAGGTTGCTTCCATGAGTACTGCTGGACATCTCTTTAAACTCTGAACCAGCCTTTACTTCCTGTTAATAAAAAGAAATAGAACTTTCAGAAAAGGAACAATTAGAACCATTATTATTAATTTTCTAATGTAATTTTCTAACTTGTGATCTTTGTTGCAGCTGCTGTTGCTCTTGTAACTTTTGTTCCAGATCAGATTTAGATTTGGATAATTCTTCTGCGAGACGATTGCATTCACTACGTACTTCAATCAACTGTTGACTCAATTTCTTGCGCTCTTCATTTGGATCACTGAGTTCCATCCGCAACTTCAAACATTCACTTTGAACTTTGGTGTGCTCATCTCTTAGTGCATTACGTTCTTCTTTGGAATCAAGAATTTTTCCTCGCAGGTCTGCAACTTCTGCTTGAGTATTGCTGATCTCATTCTGAAGACGAGACTGCTGCAGTTTCAAGCTTTCCAGCCTTTTCTCAATCACAGAGTTCTCTTCTGAAATGGTTGATTCTTCATGCAAACTGACCTGAGATTTTAGGTTTTGCTTCACCTGCGAACAGATTACACAATGCTTTATTGGTCTTTACACCATATTTTAATGTCTAGTAAAGGTCTATTGATGGTGTATGTACCTCATTTGGGTCACCTCTGAGGCTAGTTCGAGGATCTGCAGCTCCCGTAGTTAGTTGGAGGAGACGATTACTATGCTCCTTCAATACTGCATTTTCTCTCTATTCAAACATGTTAAAATTATTGTTTCAATATTTAAAAAAAGGAAAAATCTAAGAGAGAAAGCAAATAGTGAAAGCAAGATTATTTTACCTGGGCATCATTTAATTGCTCTTGAATTTCTCGCATTGAAGAGCAAGCTTGAGTCAGCTTCACTATCTCCTGCTGCAAGTTTGTGCTTTTTTGTCTTTCTTGCATGAGAGTTGAACACATTTCATCTGAGAGAATGTTAATACACTTTATAAGAAAAAGGTATGCAAAGCAAATTGGTGTCAAACGAAGTACACTGTACCTTGATCTCTGGCAGCTAGGGTGAGAGCTGATTTACAGGCCTGAAGTTCTCTCTGAACTAATTGGTATTCTTGTTGGAGTGAAATCATGGCACCTTCTTGCTGCTTATTAATTCGACGAGCTTTGATTAATTCAACATTTTCTGCAGTTTCTTGTTCTAAGTGAGCTCCAAGTTCTCTTTCCAGCTCAAGTATTCTCTTTTGACTCTGTTCACTTGCAGCCACCATTTCCTTTTGAAGAGTGCTTATCCTTTCCTGAAGGTGAGCCACTTCTTCACGGAGGGCAGTGTTTGCTTTGGTAAGTTCATTTTGAGTCTTCTGTGCAATGCTTGCACCTACTTCTCTTTGGTTACTGGTGCTACGGCTTGTACTGCGGTGGCGACTTTGACTTCGACTCTGATTCACAGAGTGACCAATGTCAGACAGAAAATCTTCATCCCTCCCACAGATATTGTGTCTGAAATATAAAACAGAATTCAGTTATATTTTCTATGAAACAACAGTTTTCTTTTGAAGGTTTGCCAGGTTTGGAGGACTTACTCTGCATGACAACTACGACTACATCGGTGAGATCTGGGTCTTTGTGCTTTGGAAAGAGCTGCTGAATGCAAACGCGTATGGGAGGTGAGTTGACCTCTTAATACAGTCAGTTTAGAACGAAGTGCTGTTTCGTTTTGTTTGAGCTGCTTCAACTGTCTTTGGTCTTCTTCTCGATCAATGGAGTCAATACATTTGTGATCTCTGGACAGTCTCATAACTCTTGTGGCCATGCTGCAAACAGAAGAGCCAAGTGTTCAAGATACTGTACCTAAATAAAGCAGAACTAAATAAGTAGATACCAAACTTACACTTTGTATTTGCTATCCAGATTATTGAACTTTTTTTTAATGTCAATGTTTTCATCGTGTAGCTGATAATACAAATCTTCTAAGTCACTTCGACTCAGTTTGGCAACATTCTGCAATTGATTGCAATGCACATCTGTAACAAACGAAAACTCAAGAAATTTTAACCACTCTTAAAGGAGGCGTTGGGAGACGCAGGGAAAGGAATGTTTTAAACGAGGAAGATCAAGTGATTACCTTTAAAATCACTGCCACAGTTCAATGAATGGGCCGACGATTGGTCGAAGTCGATACTGTCAGTCATGATATACTAGAGCTACACAAAGCAAGCAGAAATACCATTCGAAATAAATAATCATGCCCCAGCATTGTTGTGGACTAGATGCTCCTGAATACTACATTGGTTTATTTCTAGCATAAGTACCTTTCTACTCAAAAACAGTAACAGTACATCTTCGAAATGCAGGAGGCTGTAACACTTTTACGATGATTCCCGTCGTACATTTCGAATCTCTATTTCCAGACCTTCCTGCAAGTTCCCTTGAAAGATTTGTTTGTTTGTCTGGAGGTTCTGGTTTGTTGTTGTGTCGTCTGTCGTCTGTCGTCTGTCCGTCACGGCCATTCCGATTCAACCGGTTTTGATTTTCAGTTTCGGGTCCAAAGACTAGCTCAAGATGTACGGAAAAATATTTACATTGAACTTTCTCGCATTCCGTTCTTCAACCTGCTTCAAAACAGTCCGTCAGGTCAAAAACTGGTCAAAAATAACAACTTCTTTTTCATTTTCTGGTGAAATGTTGGTATCTGCTAGGAGCGACGTTCACTTGTCGTCAGTTCGATTTTCGAGTTGGCGCGGTCCGCACTGGCAGTTAGCATTTCGTCTCCAACCATCAACATTCCGGACAATTCTACGTTGTTCTCGTTCAGAGATTGATGAATTAACTGTATTTCGAGCCTCAAGATGTCTCACAAGGACATTTATTACTCGGAGAAGTACAACGACGACCACTTTGAGTACAGGTGAGGACGAAATGGGGTGGAAATCATTGAATGTGGGTGGTTCTTGGAGGCTACGAACCTACCGGCGTCTTGCTTTATTGTCATCGAAGCAGTTCTAAACGTTACCGCTGTAGTCTGGACTTCAACTTAATTGCGGGCTCGATCCCCTGTCATGTTCAGACCATGTCCATTCTTTCAGAATTAGAGCTTTAGTGTCGCCAAGGCACGTTTGTGTGGTGAGACCTTACCATGCCTCCTTTGTTTCAAGGACTGGCTTGTTTTTCGGACGGGACGAATTGATCGTCGTTTCCACGTTTTCTCTCAAGCATTTCATGTTTTGTCGAGGTTTTGGATGTCACGGCAGTGTTCGTGAACCGAAGAAGCCTTCTGGAGCGTCCCTAGCCGCTCCTCTTTAATCAGTACTAAATTTGCAAGGGGTTAAGTCGCGTGCACGGGCAACTGCACCTTCATTCTACTACACTTCATTTTCGTTGTTCAAATTCCGTTCAGATGTGTTTTGTTGGCATCTGCATCAGCTTGTTAATTAGTGTGTGGGACTCTCCATTCTTTGGTCTTGTCGCTGTCTCATTCTTTATTCGCTCGTTGCAGGCATGTTGTGCTACCGAAGGGCATGCTCAGTAAAATCTCCACAACTCACCTTATGTCAGAGGAAGAATGGCGCAGAATTGGAGTACAGCAGAGTCGAGGGTGGATCCACTACATGATTCACAACCCAGGTATGTAGCTGTTTTCTACCTGTGCAGTATATACAGAACTCAAAATTTCAGTTTTGCTGTTTCCAAAGCTATTCATGAACTGTGTTGGATCACTTAAACTTAGCTCTGCCAGGCTCTTCTCCTGATCTTACAAGTGTTCTCGGAATCCTTTGGGAACAGATGTGCATTTGGTTTGCTTTGCCTTGCCTTCATTTTGGGTTGACTGAATTTCATTTTCAGTAAACATTCCATTCTCAACTGAATGTATTCTTTTTTTTTTTTGCAGAGCCCCATGTTCTTCTTTTTAAACGACCACTTCCAAAAGATGAACAAAAGTAATTCTGCTCTTCTTTTCCTGTCCAATCACATTTAAAATCGCAGGGTTTTCTCAATTGTACAAATCTTCACCCTCACTTCCCATTCTAAACTTATCCTGTATTAAAATGTGCTTCAGTTCTTTTACTTCAGAGATTTATGTGTTTTTTAAAGTTTTAAGGAACTAATTTTATTACCATGTTGCATTTTAAGTTATCAGTTACTTTTATCCAAATTCATGGAAAGATTCTCTTTGAATGAGTGGTTTGTGACAGGAAATGGAAAATGTACATATCTATTTATTTTTGACAACTGTGCCCTGCTCCATTTTGTATATACACCTGTCATTAAGTTTCATTAAAGTAAGTGCTTCACCATCATAAGGTTTAGTAATTTGTCCAGCTCTTTGGACTAGAATTGGACCCTTTCATTTTAATACGTGCTATTGCGTTGAAGTGGTGAATCATAGTTCAGTGAGCTAGATGGTTAGTTATCTGCCTGAGGCAGATGTATTTTTTTAAGTTTGAATAAATTGCCATTTCTCTTAGAAAGTTTTCTTTATCACCCAAATCATTTTTCTTACACCACTTGAGATAGTTAAGGTAAAAGACAGACATGGCGAATAATAAATATTTATTACTTACAAATATAATACCTAAGTTATAGATCCAGTTAAACTTCCTGTTAGACTTTTACCAGTACATTGTCTGCTAAACCATCTATTGAAATCCAATCTCAAGAGAAGTTGAGCAAGATGTGTGCCACAAGGTTGAGAACGCAAACTTGCTAGCAGCTGTAATAAGAAACTGACCAAGTGGTCGAGTTCTCTGCACAGCAAAGTAATTTCATCCTCTTGGTCAATTGACAACTCAGTTTCTCCCCAAGAGGCAACAGAGTTGCAGAATCTCTCACACAATCTGAGCAGCCCAGATAGGCTGTTGTGAACCTGTGAGACAAAGCTTACTGAAAAGTAACTCTAAAAACCATTATTGAATTTTTCCAAACCTGAGTGAGTACTTACAGGGTTGTCCTTAAGAGATTCTGGCTTCTGGTATGAAGTTGCAGAGGGTTCATTCTGTGCCTAAAGTTAAAATAGCTTTATAAGAATAGTAGTCTTGATAAAAATATTTAAGAAGATCAGTGCTGAAGTGTACTTACAGATCCAAGCAACAGGAATGTTTGGCTTAAGGTGCTGGCTAAAAAATTCATGTGGGCATGCCGGAGAGCTTCAAAATCTCTGGTGGATTCCACAGCATTTTGAAATATTGTCCACTGACTTTCAAGAACATCAACTTGCAAGTAGTACTGAAGGTGGTCCACAATAAACATGAGCCATGTGCGTATTTTCCAGATTCTTGAATCTTGCCATCTGAGAAATACATCAGTGTTAAAATATTGATAAAAGATCTTCATCCCAAATGACGTACATCAAGAAGAGATACCTTTGAGACTTGTTTGTCATTTGAAAGGTCCATAAGTGATGAAGCTGCCTCTGAGTTTTTTTCACACGCAGTAGAAAGCCAAATAATTGGTTGTAACTATCTAAAACCTCAGGAGTGAAAACTAGGTGTAATGGCCAGCTCACACGATAATGAAGGACTAATGCAGTCCAGCCATTGTTTACTGTAATGGATCAAAACAGATTGTTATAGAAAAGAAACAAATAATCAATCTTACCTTTTTGATCGTCTGTTTTCAATAAATACTTTACCTGCAAGAGTGGTTGAGCTACAGTCTGAAGTGCCAAAGTAAAATTTATCAATCTTCATTTCTTCTTCACTACTTAAGAGAATTTTATGGGCAGCACTTCGGAACGCTTGATTAATCTCTGAAATATTTTGGAAAAGGATTTTCATTCAACAACTTTTATTGAATTTTTTATACATTTCCATCAAGTGCTTTAAGCACACCAATAAATACCTCTACTGAAGTTTGCAGAAGGGGACCGATCGAGTATACTTTCAGCTACTTTTATGAATTCAAGGAACAGTTCACCTCGTCCCAACAAAAACATATCTTTGATCAAACGCATCTGCATGGGTAGCTGAGCCTGTTCTACAGCAAGCTTCCACAGTTGCTGCAAACAAAATACAGTAAGACAAAAAAAAACACTAGAAAACTATTTCAACACCACAACAGGACAAAAGAAGGCCCTGAAAATTCATACCTCAGTTATAAAGCCTCGGATAATTTCCACTGTCTCATCCAAATAACCTATGTTAAGAAGAGAAGACTGGCTGATTTGGCTAAGGCGTTCAAAGTATTGTTGACCGCACTGATCCCACAAGGCAGGGTCCATATCATTGCGGCCCAAGATTGACGCACTGCTTGCATCTAAAATGATGGGGGTGAAAATACACTACTGCATCTTCAAAGAAATTTCATATCTTAACAATAGAAGCAACAGAAACAAACCTGCATTTCTATCCCTAGGATCATTACTTATCATCACAATAGTTTGCCCAATGAAAAGTATTTTATTTGCCAATGACAAGGGAATATAGCTGGGCAATAAATTTGGAGCAATCTTGTACTCCTACATTCATAAAAAAATTAAAAGGAGAGAAAATTGTTGAAGGAATAAGCAAGTAGAAACAGTAAAGACAACACTAAAGTGAAATAAAAATTTACCATGTAAGAAGAGCTCATAGGGTGATTGCTCACCGCCTCAGCAGGTTGAATAAAAAATTCGTGGAGGGAATCTTTCAACACCCCATGCAGCACCCAGCTTGAAAGTTGTTTGAAAAAACAAGTGTGGCATCTTAGAAGAATTCTGAAAAAAAAACACAATGATCTATTCTATAGGAATCTACCCTGAAACATCCGTGCCTTGAAACAAAGCTTAATTTACTCACTTTTTCAAAGCCTCTTCAACTTCACTTACAGCAGTTACCAAATTTTGATACAGCAACTGTAACAGCTGACACCCATGCAGTTTCTGAGTTGTGACCTAAGAATACACAAAAAAAGACAAGCAGTGCTTTAAGTTAAAAGAGGTTCTTGATACCACAGTAAAAACTTATTTAACATACTTCTCTGATGAGTGTGTTCAAGGCTTGGAAAAGAGTTCCGTATGGAGTTACTCTGTATAGCACATAAATGAGTGAACAATGAGGATCAGACAAAAATCTTGACTCGAGCTGGACAATTTCTTTGTGATAAGGGACAAGGGCTTCTTCGATGCCGTAGCAGAACGCCTGCAGATAGAGCCCAGGCTTCAACGCTTCTTTAGGGTCATCTGCAAAGTTTAAGAATAAGCGATAAGTTCACATAATATTCTAAGGTTGATGGCAACCAAACAAGAAGACCTTATCTCACTTTGATAAGGTAAAGGCTTCAAAACTCTGGTTTGATCTTTGTGTACTTCAACAAAGTTCCTGAGCTGTCGATATTCTGCTGCTATTTTCAGTATTTTTTCAATGAGACCTCGTTCTCCGGGATGAATGAAGGCAGAAACTTCTACCATCTGAAAAAAATCAAAACGAACTCACAGAAAATTTTTGAGACACTTACATAAAGAAATGCAAAAGAAATGAAACTTGCTACACACCTCAATTGCGGTGTCCAGCAAGCCTCCAGGAAAGCCTCTTAGGCTGAGTAACAGTTCGTGTAGCATTTTTGTCTGGTCAGTTTAAAGACAGTAGGGCACACATTAACATACTAAGATGCTGAAAATCGAGGGATGAACATAGATTTAAAGTATAGTATATCACACTGGCCTTTATGGCAAGGAAAACATTGCTACCTTAACCTACCTACTCTAACAGAAAGCTTGAATTGTGACGACAGCAAGGAACCAACACATACACAGCCAGGGACATGGTATTCCTAAGCGAAAACGGTTTCAAAACAATAGTTCAATCAGAGGATTCTCCAATGATTCATGTCATTTTGACAGTAAGAAGCCACAATAACAATTCATTTCCATTTGACAGCTACAACGACGAACTGCGCGCCTTAGTGCGAATACCCAGCTTTGCCTGCGCGTTATTTGCACGACGGTTCTGCTCTGCCGATAGCCATGCGGTTCGCTGAACGCTGAAATTTCGAAGAATCTGTGATTGTTGAGTTGCATTTTCTCGTCTCGCCAATCTTTGTTGAACGTCGCGATTGCGGAAGCTGACTGAAAACTTTCGCGGTAAGCACGTCTTGACGCATTTCCCCACTTGGCGGCGCGTCTTGCGTTCTGCTATCGTCGACAAAGTGTTTGCGCGGTTTGTTTTCATGTGCCTGCAGCCAAGGCTCGCCGTGACAATCAAAGAAATCACTCACGGTTTTGTTCCTCATGCCGCTGCAGTGTAATTTAAAATCAAGTTTAATTTCGAAAGTGATCAATGATTTTTTAAACTCACGACTGCGAAGTTTTAGTCTGAAGCATATGTAGGTTATGTCCGTGAGATATTTTGAGAATTTTCGATGAGCAGAACATTAACAATTTAACTTTCAATGAGCGATATGGCCAATTTCTTTCATTAGATTGTGTTTTACGTCTTTAAATATTGTGGATGTTCCATAGCTTCTTTGATATTCAACCTCATAGCAGTCCTTTCGAGACTGTGTCAAATGTAACTAATTAGTTTTGTTTTAATTTGATTCGTATCTGCAGATGGCGGCGCCTATGGGATTAGATCCCACTGAGCACAATGTCGCTGTCTCACAAGTTGCTGCTGAACTTGTCCGAGCAATCGAGATTACCATGGATCCAACAGTGCCTCACCCTCAGCGGCTCGAAGCTTATAACAACTGCGAAGCATTTAAAGATAAATCGCCTTACTGTGTTCAGTGTGGTCTCTATCTTGCTCAACAAAAACAACTTTCTGAACATGTGCAGCATTTTGGTCTTCAATTGATGGAATACTGTATTAAGTACAGGTGGTATGATCTTCCCCAGGGTGAGAAGATCTTCATCAAGGTGAGTATATTTTATTAGGTTTTAACGAGAGCTGAATTTTTTGGTAGTATGCAATATTATTCACAATGTATTTGTATTGTGTTCTAAATAGTGTCTGTTTTACTGTTTAGGAAAATGCAATGAAATTATTAAGTGATGGGATGAGCTTAAAGACACCATCACACATGAAAGATGCTCTTTCTCGAATTGTTGTGGAAATGGTTAAGCGAGAGTGGCCTCAACAATGGCCCAGCCTTATGAGTGAGCTTAGCCAGATAAGCTCTCATGGAGAAAGTCAAACAGAATTGGTACTTCTTGTCTTTTTGAGGCTGGTTGAAGATGTCCATACTCTTCAGGTTAGTAGTTGTGCCAACAATCTGATAGTTATACCATACAGAATGTTAATTTGATCCTCCAATTGCAGACCCTGGAATCAAACCAACGAAGGAAGGATCTCTATCAAGCCCTCACTATGAACTTGAGTGAAATTTTTAGCTTTTTTGTCAGACTTATTGAAAATCATGTCAACAAGTACAGAGAACTTACAGCTCAGGGTAAAGCAGCTGAGGAGGTTCTTCCTCATCAAAATGTTGTGCAAACAGTTCTTCTTACTCTGACTGGGTTCTTGGAGTGGGTTCCTGTTGTCCACATAATGGCAGAGGAAGGCCGTCTTCTTCAAGATCTTTGCCTCCTTCTTGACCAAAAAGCTTTCCAATGTGCAGCAGCAGAGTGTCTATTACTCATTGTCAATCGAAAAGGCAAGCCGGAAGACAGGAAACCTTTCATGGTGTTGTTTGGCAATGATGTTATGGCCTGCATTTACCGTTCAGCCTGCAGTAGCTCTCCCACTGATGAAGATGATTACAAATATCTCAAAATACTTGCCCAGGTAATTTTTTCATTATTAATGAGAGAATGGTTGAAAAACAATGTGTATGTGAACTCAAAAATAAACCAATGCTATAGTTACAAAAATATTTTAAAATTATTTTCAGGTGCTTACAGGCTTGGGCCAGTTATTGTGTGGAGTTTGGGGTAAGGATGATGGACCTTCTGCTCAGCCATCCAGTTTTGGTGTTTTCCTAGAAATTATTTTGAGCTTCACTCGTCATCCCAGTCTCACCTTGACTCACACTGTGTCCCAACTGTGGGGAGCTCTCTTCAGACACGAGTCCATATCGAGGCAGCCAATAATGTTGGAATTCATCCCAAAATGGGTTGAAGCCTCTGCACCAAAGGCAATCAAGGTGCTGTAATCTTTCACCTGTTGTGGTTTTGTTGTTACTGTTAACGAGTTTTAAAACTAATTATCATTTTTTCCACAATTTTAGGTCATGTATCCCAATAAAAGATCAACCGTCATATCACCTGATTCATCATATTATGCTGGTCTCGATTATGACAGTAAAGAAGAATTCAACACATTCAATAGTCAGCTGCGTATAATTATCTGGGAGAACTTCCGCCAGGCTACTTTCATTGCTCCTCTTGTTACCTATGGATATGTTGAGCGTTGGCTTCAGCAGCGTATGCAGCAGTCCCTGGCTGATCCTACACCAGTAACAATTTCATCTCCTGCTTACTTAGAATGGGCTGCTCTTGGAAGTGTGGGTATAAGGACACTCTATCTGTTTAATTTAAGTTTTTTTTTTTGTATAATTTTACTTAATTTGTATTTGTTCAATCTGCGTGTAGGTCCTGGAAAGTGTTCTAAGTAAAATTCTGCTTGTGGCAGAACGTCCATCTCCTGCTTCTGGACTTAGGCTGCTTGAACAGTGTCTTAACTATGAGCCCAAAGACCCTTTAATTTTATCCGAGCTTTTATCTTGTGTGTCAGCACTTTTTGTCTTCCTGTCCATGTCACCTTCTACTCATCTGCTTACCTCGGTAATTTTGACAGTAACAATAATGGGTTTTACCGTTTTAAAAAAATATATTTATTTTTACCAATTTCTTCTCAGGTTCTGAACAAGATCTTTGCAGCTCTTGTGTTCTCTGAGCCAGGGGTCCCAAGGGAACTGTTAAGCAAAGATGTCAGAGCAGTGCGACGCCATGGAGCTTGCCTGATGGTCAAAATAGGCACGAAATATCCATTAATATTGTTACCTATTTTTGATCAAATTTATGGCATTGTGAGCAATTTGAATAGTAAACCCGATTTGCTTTCTTCATTGGAGAGAGTAACTCTACAAGAAAGTCTTCTCCTGATAAACAATCACTTCTATGAATATGAAAGGCAAACCAAGTTCATTGGCGAGGAACTGAAAGGGCCATGGTCGATGTGGCACTCGTTGGGTCAAGAAGCTTTTGTGTCTGCCCCAGCACTGATGCGTGCCATTGGGCTTCTGTATCCCTTATCAGACACAAGCCATGAGGAGTCAACAGGCACTAATCGCTCAAATATCATGACCTGTGTGAACCTTCTAATGGCTGTTGTCAAACGGTGCACCTGGCCGGATGACCCTGACAAGGCAGCTCGAGGTGGATTCGTGGTAAGTTCACTTTTCTTTCCTATTCATATTTCTTTTCAGTGCTAATGTTTGTGCTATTGACGAGTACCTTATGTCCATATTTTTAGGTTCACATGACAAAAAGTGGGAATCCAGTGTATCGCAATCCTGGTGCCCCCCATGTCATTCCAATGCTGCCCAATTTCTTTGCCTTCCTCAGAGTCATGAATGCCATGTGGACTCCTGATGCTCTAGCTCTTTTATCAGAGGTAGGTTCCTTCAGTTCAAAATTTTTGGAGAAATATTTTACCCCAGCTCTGTCATCTCTTGTTGTGGTTTTTTTTCTCTTTCTTTTTAATATGAGGTACTTCTCTTGCAGGACTACAAAGCTGTACATCACATGACAGAAATGGAGCGAGCCCAGCTGCTTGGTACCGGAACTGGCACTCAGTCCACGGACCTAGACATTTTGGAATCAGTGTGTACTTCCTCTAATGGGTCCAGTGCTCTTTCTGGGCCCAGAGCTCCATCCCGGTTGCAGTCATATTTGTGCAGTTTACACGAAAATTCCTACCATGTTCTTGGCAGTATGGGGGTGTCATTTGGTTGGGATCTATACCAACTGCCTGATCTTGCTTCCAATTTGATCAATTCTGTTTTCTGTGGCCTTGAGGTATTTAATTTTTCAAAAATCATTGCAATTTTTTTCTAAATGTAAGTAAACTTTTTTGAAACAATAACATTTTGTCTTGTTGTGCAGTTTATTCCTGATTATCGACTTAGACCTATTGTGAAAACATTCCTCAAACCATTTATTGGAGCCTGCCCATCTGTGTTTTATGAATCCGCTGTTTTGCCAGTGTTAGCAAGTTTCTGCCCCTACAGTAAGTGTTATTACATTGAGTTAGTATGAGCTTGTAATAATTTTGTAATATTTGTAATATTATTTTAACTGATAATTGTTATTTGTCATCAGTGTTTGGAAGACTGAGTAACAAGTGGCAGTATTTGGCAGAGCTCAGAGAAGCTGGCAAAATTGATGATGAAAATACTGAAGCACAGGTAACATACCCATTCTTTGCCTCACTGGTGTAACTTCTTACCTTGTGTGTTTACATGGTTTCTGCTTTGCTTTGGCCTTTGTAGGAAGTAGCTGATGATATGTTAAATCGCAATCTTACTCGAGAGTATCTGGATGTTTTAAAAGTTGCCTTAATTGGTGGTACATCTGTTGTTGAACTCGCGAACAATGACAATGCTGATGGCATGGACCAAGAAGAAGGTAGCCGCCCACCTCCACCCACCCAAGCATCGGAGGTGATAAGTGAACTAGGTCAGCTTATATTGCGGTGCCCTCTGACAAGTCAGTCTGTAGCTTTGTGTGTTCTCAGGTGAGCTTTTTGTCACATTATCTGTATTATTGTATTATCTGTATTTTATCAATATAATATATGACCTATGATTTTTTTTTCTTGTTAGGGCTTTATCATGGCCCGACAGTGGAACGAGTTTCAAAGCTGCCATGCTCACCGCCCCAATGGTGCGGCAGCTTTTGGCCAATGGCAGTGTATCAGACATGGTTGCTTCTCACATCATGACTTCCGTTTTGCAAGGGCTTCAGCTCCATGGGCACCATGATGTGAACCAAAGTGTCCTGGTTCAGCTGGGCACCCAGGTGTATGACATGCTCCGGCCCAGGTTTATAGAAGTTGTGGAGGTAGGTTCAGTGCTTTTGTTTAGGTTCATCAATTCATAGTATAAATCCTCCAGTAACATATAATTTTCTGGGCTTAGGTGATGAAACAAATACCGGGAATAAATCTGATGGAGCTTCAAAAGCTCGATGAAAAGGTTTTGAGTGGAGCTGCAGCAGCAGCAGCAGCTGGGCCTGGAGGGAGAACCACCAACAGCAAAACAGAAAAGGCCAAAAAAGATAACTTTAAACGGCTTACTACTCAGGTAACACTTAGTCAATTTGCTCCTTATTCATCCCTCCCCTTTCTATGAAGTGTTGTTAATTTTGTTCTCCTTCTCTCCTATTACTCAGCTAATCAACTGCAGCCTGAGTCAATTGTTTTGCAAGAAAGCATGGATTGCTGAGCTGCCTCGTCTTGATGTACCGAGGAGGCCAAAACCTGCCAGAGTTGAGGACCTTCCAGGAGACACTGGTCTAGTTGGATTGTTCCATGGAAGTGCTTCATGAGTGTAACCATTCCATCATATTGAGACTGAGTGTTTATATGTAGCATTGTTTTTGTAATTTTGTTCCTGTTTAACTTTTTTTTGTGATGATTATACATGTTGGGTATCAAAAGAAGAGTACTTTACTATGCAAAGCATGGGTGTACAGTTTCAAGAAGGCTACCTTCTCTTCCATGAGCTTTGCTTAAAATTTTGTATGCTGTCGCTCAAGAATAACGTCCATCAAATGGATATGGTTTTTGAAACACTGATTTCTGATAAGTTACCAAATGGAAATGGCAGGATACCATTGCTTTAACTATTTATTTAAGGAGGTGAGTTGTGTGTCTCAACAACACATCTTCAAACTTGTGATGATTTGTTTTGCACAGCAGAAACCTGAGACTTTGATTGTGTGTCTTTTAGTTAGCTTTTTAATTACTGTAAATCAATTCCCAATTCATTATGTTGTGGTTAGAACAGTTCTGTAAATAGGTGATTATATGACATCGAATTTCTTGTTATGAAATCTTTGCTGATTTTATCGTAAATAGTATAATGTGCTCACGGCAATTGATCTTAAAGAGACTCAAGGCTGACTTAAAATTATTGCCTGATGGAAATAATATCCCACCTTACCTCACAAATGAACAAGAATAACCACTGAGAAAGACAGCTCTTGTTTTAACTTTCAATCCAAGCCATCTTTTATTCTATTTGTAAACGAATGCTTAGCTCCAAATGTTTTACTCTTATTCTACTTGACAGGTTTTCTTAGGTTTTTAATATCAGTGCATTGTACCCATTGATAGGGTCATGCATACTCACAGAGGTGCATCTTAAGGATCATAATTAAATTACTATGGGTAAAATCATGAGAGAATGGTGCCTTATTCTCATGGTACTGTATTTAGGGGTGTACTTTTTGACAGCACTGTAGTGTTAAGATACCTGGTAATCTTCTCATTCCTGGGGGTTATGCCCAAATAATTTATTACTAATTTGTGTGCCTATGCTTGCATACTTTTACTTAGTGACATGCCATACTGTATGCACATTGATGCCTTACCTAGTATGTGTGTCCCTCAATTCTTCAAGGAAATCGTGTCACTGAGAATAATTTGCATAGATTTTACTATGACAATATTAAGCTGTTGTGATTTGTAATCTTCATCTTTGCCTCATAAATAGTTTTCTTTGGGAAAATTTGCCTTAATATAAGTTGTCTTTTATAAAGAGGGTCTCTTTTCTCATTTATGATTTTTTTTATAGAGGTGCCCATATTGTTGTGATGATGTACAAGATAAATTTGTTTTGTTTTTTCATTTTTTTATAAAATGGTAAAATAGACAAAGAGGCCATTTTGAGAGACTGATGTTGGAAGCCTATGTTCCTTACAAATGAATTAATTTGTGTGTGTGTGAAATTGTGCCTGCAACTTGTAGATAAATTTTGTAACATTTTACCTGGTTGTGAAGAAATTACTCATCCATATAATTGTGATAGCGTTAGCGCAATGGCCATGACTTTCGGTTCTGTTGTGTAGCACTCCTTATTGAAATCAGCTACCGTATAATCATATTTTTGTGTCCGCTTTTACTTGAGTTATACTGAGCACCCTTGGGTGGGCAAGCACTGTGCATTAAGAGACAATTGTCTTTATTTAATTTGTTTGACTGTTCTTTATCCCTATTATATAGAATCACTCATTTCAACAAGTTGTAAACAAGTTAATAATTGTGCTTGAAATAGTTTCTTACGTACTCTACAGATAAATTATACTTAATGTTGCTTAATAAAAAATCTCCAAATTCATATAAACTTGTTCTGACTTCAAACCGTAACCAACAATAATGAGGCACAAGCAGTTTGCTGTTTTTCTTATCTTTACTGTTCTTAATTTGCTGTTCATTATAACAATGTATATCCACTTCACATATTTGAGCAAAACTTAACCGACGAAATAGGCTCTTATACTTGATGATTAATTAACTGGAATAACTTAATCTAGATAAAATACAAAGTAAAATGGCAAAGGAAATGCTTAAGTGGTGCAGAAACAATGAATTGGTTCTTGTCGTGACCCTCTGCTGGACGAACAAATTATCTCAACAATCGCAACAGGAGATAAATCGACACATTTCTACACAACGTCTGAAAAGTTCTCAGTTGTGTGGCACCACTTGACACAGGTGTTGGGGATGATCATGGCCTTGGTTTCCCACCCTCCATTCCTGGAAAGTGTCCATCTGCACCTCTCTCCTCTCAGCTTGCGCTGCACCTGAGGATGATGTGAGAGGGGCCCTGCGACGAATCCACGCCTCCGGATTCGGAATGTCCCCTCGCTGTCCGGCCTCTCGGGCTGCCGCGGCTCCAGCAAGGCCGCAGTGTGTGCCACACTGTGTGGACCGGGCGGGAGACATCCACTCGGAGGAAGAAAGAGGACCAGAGGACTTGCGGTGGAGTCCTCACTTCTTGCTCGCGGCCTCCACCTCCTTGTTGAGGTAGTGGAGGACGTAGTGCAGCACCAAGTCGTAGCAGTACTTGTACTCCGTCTGCCAAACAAACCGCAAAAAAACTGAGCGCAGCACAGTGGGCCAGAAGACCGGTGCAGGCGGACAGAACTGTATAGACGCGTTTCCAGCTCCAGAATCGCAAAACAGGACTCGAACCGAACGTGTGACCCCACCAATAGATTCCTCGTTCGGAGAGCAATCCATTGGTGGGGTCACACGTTCGGTTCGAGTCCCATTTAGCGACTCTAGAGCTCAAAACGCGACCGGGATTTTGGCCTGGAGGAGCGCACCATGCTGCTGAGGAGCTGCGGCCGGTGGCGGCGCACCGTCCTCACGGCCTGCAGGACGTCCACCTCGCCGTGCTGGATCACTTGCTCGATGCACGCGTTCGCCGCGCAGTACACCCCGTTGCGGCTGTGGCCGTCCCTGTGCGCGGCGAAGAGAGAGAGACACACTCAGTCACGGAGGGAAACACTGCACTCCGTGCGGGGGAGAGTAGGGGAGGGAAGGGGGTAATCAGTCCCGGAGGACGCAAATTTCCTGGCAGGAAGGGAGCGGGGCAAGGAGCGCGTCAACCCCGCACAGTGGGCCAGAAGACCGGTGCAGGCGGCCAAAACTGTAGACGCGTTTTGAGCTTTAGAGTCGCTAAATAGGACTCGAACCGAACGTGTGACCCCACCAATGGATTCCTGGTTCAGAGACCAATCCATTGGTGGCGTCACACACTCGGTTCGAGTCCCATTTAGCGACTCTGGAGCTCAAAACGCGTCTAGAGTTTTGGCCGCCTCCACCGGTCGTCTGGCAAATACTCTGCGCAGTGCACTTGTACTCACTGGCTGATGACCACGACGGGCCCGTAGTCGCAGCGCTGCCGCCACCGCTCCACCATGTTCATGAGCTCGACCAGCGAGTTGGTGGAGGTGGGCACCTTGTGGTCCATGGGCCAGCACGTGAGTTGGAACAGCTGCACGCGGCGCGGCGGCGCCTTGACGCCCGCCATCAGCTCCGTGAGGGACACGATCTGCGGCACGGACAGAACGGACGGTCACTTTGACTACAACAGTTTCACATTCACTGCGAGCGTTTCGTGTTCTTTGGAGAGAACTGCCGAGCCCGAGCACTGCTCTCCGATGTCTGTCACTCTCGCACTCATGGGGCGTCCCGTCAGGGTGCGAGAGAGACAGGCGCTTGGAGCGAGCGCGCTTTAAGTTTTGTTTTAGTTTATTTTTCACTCCTAAGTAGGACTGACCTTCTTGTTGATGCGGAAGACCCACGTGCGGATGTTGGAGTACTCGTTGTGGGAGATGTGGTCGATGGTGAACACCGGGCCGTACTTCTTGGAGTGCCTGCCCTCCGGCCAGAACGGCGGGTAGGTTTGCTGCCGAAGTGGAGAGTGAATTAACACATCTTTCCGCCGCCTTTTTTTGTGTGGTTCGTTGACCCCACCAATGGATTCCTCGTTCGGAGAGCAATCCATTGGTGGGGTCACACGTTCGGTTCGAGTCCCATTCAGCGACTCTGCAGCTCAAAACGCGTCTAGAGTTTCGGCCGCCTCCGCCGGTCTTCCGGCCCACTGTGCGTTGGCGGTCGGCTGGATGCGACTCACCGAGTTCTTGGGCGGCACGCACAGCACCACCACGGCGGCGGCCTCGTAGTCGTACACCATGGACCACAGGTCGCCCTGCGTGTGTTTGAGGGGCCACTCCGTCACGATGTACTCTCTGGGCTTGGTGTAGCCCTGCCGAACCAGAATTGAAATTGAGTGAGGCGGTGCGGCGGAGTCAAGTCCGTCAGTTCGGTCGTTTGGTACGCACGTCCACGAACACGGCGTTGATGTAGTCGGTGAAGTTGTTTCCCTGGAATGATGTGAGGTATGGCCGCGAGTTGTCCGCTGCAAAGGAAAGGCGAATGAAGCGACTGACGCAAGGAACCGGTAGACCCAGACGACTCACAGTGGGCCAGAAGACCGGAGGGGGCAGTCAAAATGTCGGACGCGTTTTGAGCTCCAGAGTCGCTGAATGGGACTCGAACCGAACGTGCGACCCCACCAATGGATTGCTCTCCGAACGAGGAATCCATTGGTGGGGTCACACGTTCGGTTCGAGGCCTGTTTCGCGACTGTGGAGCTCAAAACGCGTCTGGAGTTTTGGCCGCCTCCACCGGTCTTCTGGCCCACTGTGCGGTGGGGGGTATCGCTCCACTCACGCGGCACGACGAGGACGTCCCTGTTCTTCTCCCGGTTGTCCCCGCGGTGTCCGCCGGCGCAGTCCCCGATGGTGAACCGCGGCGTCTGCTTGCAGATGAGCTGCGGAAAGACCTCGGAATCAGTACGGGCACGACAATGTACTGGCAATGCACTAGAAACGTCCATGTTCAGTAGTGTTGGCCCTACCTGGTACTCGCGCTGGTACTCGCTGAGCTTGTTGGTGCCCCGCTGGCCCTTGGCGCGCAGTCGCTGCGAGAGCTCCTTGACGGGGAACCAGCTGGGGCCGCAGATGGCGTGCTCCTCCAGGGTGTCGTACACGAACTTGTACTGGTCCTGCAGCGAGCACTCCGCACTCAGCGCACAGCACACTCAGGGTAATGAACCGACGTACACTCGCTCCCAAGAGCGGGCACACTGTGGGGCATGGCCAAACGGGACGCCCCCTCCCCCTTCCCTCTCCCCTCATTCTCCCACAGGGGCCGGGAAGGCCGCCGCCGCGCACGCAAGAGGCGCGTGTTGCCTATCTCCAGCGTGGCAGGCGCTCCGGCTCCACTGCACGGCGGACTTGCCACAAGACCGGCGCCGGCGGCCGAAACTCTAGACGCGTTTCGAGCTCCAGAGTCGCTAACCAGGACTCGAATCGAACGTGTGACCCCACCAATGGATTCCTCGTTCGGAGGGCAATCCATTGGTGGGGTTACACGTTCGGTTCGTGTCCCACCTAGCGACTCTGGAGCTCAAAACGCGTCTAGAGTTTTGGCCGCCTCCACCGGTCTTCAGGCTCACCGTGCTCTGAAAATCCGATTCGCCCACATTTCTCCGGCGCTCTTACCACGTTGTCTATCATCCCCTTGCGGGACTGCCGCAGCTTCTTGAGGTAGCCGAACACGTCGAAGCAGTCCTCCTCCTCGGCCAGCTCCAGGTTGGCGTCGATCGCCAGGTACACGCCGGAGCGGCCGGCGCCGTCGCTGCGGACAGTGCAAGCGCAGCTCGAGAGCGTGTTCCGGAACGGTGCCTACCCTCACAGTGCACAGTGGGCCAGAAGACCGGTGGAGGCAGCCAAAATCCCGGACGCGTTTTCAGCTCCAGAGTCGCAAAGTGGGACTCGTAACGAACGTGGGACCCCACCAATGGATAGCTCTCCGAGCGAGGAATCCATTGATGGGGTCACACGTTCGGTTCGAGTCCCATTTAGCGACTCTGGAGCTCAAAACGCGTTCAGAGTTTTGGCCGCCTCCACCGGTCTTCTGGCCCACTGTGCAGAGGGGGGGCTCACCTGCAGTGGACGACGCAGGGCCCCTGCTCGCCCTGCCGCTGCGAGGCCACCACCATGCGGACGCGCCGGCGGAACTCCAGGATGGAGTTGGAGAAAGGGCACGTGTGGCTGGGCCACTCAGTGTAGTGGAACTGGAGCAGGGTGCGCTCCTCCAGGATCTCCTGCAATGCGAGGCGCGTTTTGCCGTCACCATGTCAAACCAAACGACGCACAGTGGGCCAGAAGACTGGCACCGGCGGTCAAATTTCTCGACGCGTTTTGAGCTCCAGAGTCGCTTAACAGGACTCGAACCGAACGTGTGACCCCACCAATGGACTCCTCGTTCGGAGAGCAATCCATTGGTGGGGTCACACGTTCGGTTCGAGTCCCATTTAGCGACTCTGGAGCTCTAAACTCGTCTTTTGACCGCCGGTGGCAGTCCTCTGGCCCACTGTGCGTCGTGAACTCCACCGCGCACTCCGTACCTCCTTTGCCAGCTCGGAATGTTGTCCGTCCAGGGTGTTCTCCCCGGCGGGGGGCAGTATCCTGTTGAAGCGGACGACCTTGAGGGTGCGGATGTGGAAGTTGGCCAGCTCCTCCTCCCGGAGCACGGTGATCTCCATGTCGCCGTAGCGCTCCGGGTGGTCCATCGTGGGCGGCCAGTACTGCAGGCACATCACCTGCAGCCAACACACTGTCAATTCTCACATTGTGGCCGCAGCTTTGGGTCCGGAGGGCATGATCTGAGGTCCATCGCAGATTTAGCACTCTACCACACCGCGCAGTGGGCCCGAAGACCGGTGGAGGCGGCCAAAACTCAAGCGTTTTGAGCTCCAGAGTCGCTAAATGGGACTCAAACCGAACGTGTGACCCCACCAATGGATTCCTCGTTCGGAGAGCAATCCGTTGGTGGGGTCACGTTTTAGCGTGTACTCGCCTTGATGAAGTCGAAGGTCTTGGTGAGCATGACGATGCAGGAGGCCCGCTCCTGCCACACCATGCACCAGAAGTCCGTGACCGTGGTCTCCGTCGGCCCCTGCGTCACGATGTATGCGTTGGGCTTCAGCATACTCTGCAAAGAGAAAAACAAAAAATAACGTCGTTTTGTTCAAGCGCGTTTATGGAGATGACACTCGCGCTGTCCATGATTGTGAATTTTAGTTCTGGTTTCGAATCTGGTGGTCGGTCTTTGTTTCCGGGGAGGCATGCGTTGAGTCCATGGGTGGATCCAGAGGTGGGTTCGAGGGGCACAGACAGACACAGACGGATGGAAGGGGGAAGGGGTAGTCCACTCTGGCGGCCTGCCAGCGGCAACTCGTAGTGTGCTGGACGCCTGACCTTCCCGACCGCGTATAGCAAGCACCGAGCACGGTGTTGAGGCACGTCGAAGTCCTTGACTTGGTTTACTCTCGTTTTCCAGACGCCCCGTCCCCTTCCCCCGGCCCGCCCCCGCCCCGCCGGCGTGGCTGCATGCATCCCAAACTTATATTTAACTCGCAGGCGCCCTGCCGGTCCCTCGTCCCTGCCGGCCGATATGGGACGCTGGGCTGAAATTTGAGCTTTGGGAGTGAGAGTCACAGACTGTGAGAGAGTGGGAGGCCTTAAAGCCTAGTTTCCGATCCAAACGAGGGACGAGCAATTCAAACCTAAAGGACAGCAACACCGAAAAAAAAACCTTGAAAATCAGAACGGGTGTGATTTTTTTTTGCCTTGCTTGCTGACTGTCCTTGGGCTCCAGAACGCACTGGGGGCACTGGGCTTCTCTGGGGGCTAAAGGGGCCCTGGGTGTGATTTTTTTTTTGCCTTGCTTGCTGACTGTCCTTGGGCCCCAGAACGCACTGGGGGCACTGGGCTTCTCTGGGGGCTAAAGGGGCCCTGGGTGTGGCCACGCTGCGGCGTCGCCGTCCTGGTCATTGTGTCTGCCCGTCTGTCCACCCGTCTGTCCGCCCGGCTACTGTCTGCCGGCCGGCCTTCCTCGCCTGTTTGTCTTCGTCATTCATTACGGGGAGACAGGCGGAGAGAGAGAGAGAGAGAGAGAGAGAGAGAGAGAGAGAGAGAGAGGAGAGAGAGGGGGGGGGGGAGAGAGTGAGAGTGTGTGTGTGCGTGTGTGTGTGTGTGTGTGTGTGAGAGAGAGAGAGAGAGAGAGAGAGAGAGAGAGAGAGAGAGAGAGAAGAGAGAGAGAGAGAGAGAAGAGAGGGGTCACGCGAGGCCAGGATGATGCTGTCAACAGGACTGCCAACCGGTGGGGCACAGGGAGACTGGCAGGCCACCCTAGTCCTGCCAAAATGCCCACAAATAATGACTATACTGAAAGCCTGATAATTTTTCTAGCATTTTGTATTCTGTTGTTGTTTCTTTCAGCTTCACAATTTTTCTTCGTTGTATAAATTCTTGCAACTTTTGTTGTGTCTTTTTCCGCGAGGTATGTTTGTGTGTTTCTTGGTGATCGAAGGGGTAACCAATCCGTCCTGGACGTCGCCAACAAGTGCCCTGGAGAGTTTTCCGCTCCCCCTCCCCCCTCTCTGTCTGTCTGTCTGTCTCTCTCTCTCTCTCTCTTTCTCTCTCTCTCTCTCTCTCTCTCCTCTCTCTCTCTCTCTCTCTCTCTCTCTCTCTCTCTCTCTCTCTCTCTCTCTCTCTCTCTCTCTCTCTCTCTCTCTCTCTCTCTCTCTCTCTCTCTCTCCCTCTCTCTCTCTCTCTCTCTCTCTCTCTCTCCTCCGGTCCCTGAATCCGGCATCCCTCCCTGACGGAGTGGACAGCGAGGCCGGCGAAGCAGCGCTACGTTTGCGCCACGCGCATGACAAAGTGTTATGCGTTTCTGAATGTGTTTTTCCAATTTATGTTGGCCGCGTTGGCAGCACTGTCCCGCCCTGTCGCTTTCAGTTGTCCGACTCAATCGGCACAAGCACAACTTGCCCCGCTGAAAAGAGGGAGGTTTGTTTTCAACGACATTTCCTTTCTAAAGTGTTTTTTTTTTTTCGTTTCTTGGTTCCTAGATATTTGAAACTTTAAAAAATGATTGTCTGGACTCAGTTTGTGACATTTCACTTTCACCCGGTTGATTTTCGTCGTCTTCCGAAAGCAAGGCAGCGACACACAGTGGGCCAGAAGACCGGTGGAGGCGGTCAAAATTCTGGACGCGTTTTGAGCTCCAGAGTCACTAAATGGGACTCGAACCGAACGTGTGACCCCACCTATGGATTGCTCTCCGAACGAGGAGTCCATTGGTGGTGGGGTCACACGCTAGGTTCGAGTCCTGTTTAGCGACTCTGGAGCTCGAAACGCGTCTAGAGTTTTGGCCTCCTCCACCGCCTGGGAGAGAGAGAGATAGAGAGAGCCGCGTGTCCTGGCACTGCGCGCCAAACCGCCAAACCGGCACCGACACGGCAGGGTGTTACAGTGTACCACCACGCGCGGCGCGGCGCGGACTCGGCTCGGCTCTCTAGACGGCCCGGCTGCGGTACGGCCCGCGCAGCTCGGCTCGTCTCGGACTCGCGGACGCTCGGACCGCATACCGTCGAGAACACGACCCCGCTGTCGGGGCTTGAAGAGCTTTAGGACCTAGCGGGCTCGCGGACGGCCCCCGTGTCCTGTTGAGCCCTGCGCGAGTGTGGGCAAGGCCCCCGGGAAGGTCCCGGGGAATCCCGGGGGCAGCCTTGCCGCGCCTTGCATCCTTGTATCGGTAACCTTGGCGTTTTCTCGCCAATCTCAACCCACCCGTCCGTCCGTTGGTCTGTCTGTCTGTCTGTCTGTCTGTCTGTCTGTCTGGCTGTCTGTCCGTCCGACCGCGCCCCATTGCCACCTCGTGGACTCGTGGCTCCGAGGAGCGCACTCCAATAATTCACGAGAGGGAGCGCCACTTCTGAGTTGAGGACGCGTCCTCTCTCTCTCTCTCTCTCTCTCTCTCTCTCTCTCTCTCTCTCTCTCTCTCTCTCCTCTCTCTCTCTCTCTCTCTCTCCGCTGCAGCCACGATGCGGCGGGTCGGGAGAAACCGTTGCCCCCCTCTCCCAATCCTGCGCCTGCCCAGCCGCGGTCAAGGACATGAAAAGTTTTAAAAATATAATATCGATAAAAAAAGAAGTATGGAAATCGGATAAAAAGGTTGCGTTGCTCGCTCCGCTGCGCTGTTGACGGCGAAGAGAGGGCCTGCGGGTATCGGGGCCCTCGTCAGAGCTGCCAGGAGCGGTGGGCCAGAAGACAGGCGGAGGCGGCCAAAACTCTAGACGCGTTTTGAGCCCCAGAGTCGCCAAATGGGACTCTGGAGCTCAAAACGCGTCTACAGTTTTCGCCGCCTCCGCCCGTCTTCTGGTTCACTGTAGGCGGGACGCGTCCTGCCGGCAGTCCTGGAGTCCTGCAGGACTGCTGGAGTGGAATCGGGACGGGGTCCAATTAACGAAATCAAGCGCAGAGCGGCGCCGAGTGGGACGGAGTGACTTCATGGCTGCGCGGCGGACGCGGCGTCTGGGAGCTTCCCTCCCCTCCCCCTCCCCCTCCCCCTCCCCCTCCCCCTCTCCCCTCCCAGTCTTCTCCCCTCCCCCCTTTCCCGCCTCACGCTCACCTGCGAGAAACTTACCCCCAGCTTCTCCACGTAATGCCTAATTACATCACTGCGCTGTCTCGGAGTGCCCCCTCCCCTCCTCCCCCCTCCTCTTTCTGTGTCTCAGCGGGACTCTCTTGTCGTGGAACACATAAACGAACTCGGCGAGCTTTGCCAAAACGAGGGGGAAATGACACACACACAAGCACACGCCAAGGGAACACACACACACACGCTCACCCACAAACAACAACGATGCCAACACCCGCGCGCGCGTTCGCCCGCAAAGAAAAACTTTATTTTTTTTTCAGAGAGAGAGAGAGAGAGAGAGAGAGAGAGAGAGAGAGAGAGAGAGAGAGAGAGAGAAAGGAATGAAATAATGGCGACCATTAAAGCCGAGACCAAAGGCGACGGTGGCGGAAGAATAGGGGAAAAACAAAAGAGAGAGGGAGAGAGAACAGACACGCCGCGAATGGGAGCGAGTGTGACAGGAGACTATCGCACCTATACATAGAGAAACACGTGTGCTGCCAGCTGCACGTCAACCTCTATTCTCGGCGCCCAGCTCGGTGTGTGAGTGTGTCTGTCTGTCTGTCTGTCTGTCCGTCCGTCCGCGTCTGTGTGTGTACAGTACTCTCTCGAGACGGCGGCGTGCAGTGCGGGTGGGGTCATCCCTGTCATCCAGGGCGCACTCTGTTGTAACAATAATTCACGCACGCGTGACCCAACAAACTAACAAAGAGGAACGCCAAGCGCACAGTGGGCCAGAAGACCGGTGGAGGCGGTCGAAATCCCGGACGCGTTTTGAGCTCCAGAGTCGCTAAGTGGGACTCAAATCGAGCTTGTGACCCCACCAGTGGATTGCTCTCCGAACGAGAAAAGTCGGACGTCGGTACTCACGTCTATGTGGGAGGCGTTGATGTAGTCCCCGGTGGCGCAGGACTTGGACGGGTCCAGGACCACCCGGTTGTAGTCATCTGCGCGGAGAACGGCAGTGTTAGTCGGAAGAAGCGAAACGATGCACTGTTAAGAAAAATCTTGGAAAGTCGTAAAGGAACTTGTTGAAAAATGACCTCGAAATTCCTCCAATCTTTAGAAAATTCCCAATACTCACATGGCACGCATTTGACGGTTTGGTTCTTGTCTCGGTTCACAGCCTTGTTCGCGTGTCTGCACGAATGCACTTCCACTTTGGCAGCAGTCTGGAAAACGAAGCCAATTTAGTCAGTGGGGAGGAAATTCGCGCTGCGAGGAAGCCGTAGCGCAGTGGGCCAGAAGACCGGTGGAGGCGGCCAAAACACCAGACGCGTTTTGAGCTCCAGAGTCGCTGAATAGGACATGAACCGAACGCGTGACCCCACCAATGGATTGCTCTCCGAACGAGGAATCCATTGGTGGGGTCACACGTTCGGTTCGTGTCCTGTTTAGCGACTCTGGGGCTCAAAACGCGTCTGGAGTTTTGGCCGCCTCCACCGGTCTTCTGGCCCACTGCATGTGCCGGAGCGCGGAGCCCGGAGCGCCCGCAGATAGCGGGATAGGCCAGCCCGCCGGACAGACGTGTCCTCGCGTTGCCTATCGCCGCTCCGTAAGGCGCTCGCCTCATGGACTGGAGGACTCGCTTTCGCACAGTGGATGTGCCAGAAGACGGGCCTTCTGGCACATCCACTGTACGTTGTGCTCGCCTTACTCCACGCATTGATCAGCCGGTGGTCTACCCCAGATTCAGAGTCAGACTTGCCCATCGGGCTGAGCTCTAGACACGTTGTGAGCTCCAGAGTCGCTAAATGGGACTCGAACCGAACGTGTGACCCCACCAATCGATTCCTCGTTCAGAGAACAATCCATTAGTGGGGTCACACGTTCGTTTTGAGTCCCATTTAGCGACTCTGGAGCTCAAAACGTGTCTAGAGTTTTGGCCGCCCCCACCGGTCTTCTGGCCCACTGTGCTGGCGGTGTGGGCCGCTCGGCTGCCGTCTACCTTTGTTGTGAGCGGCACTTCCGGCGCACCTTGGCACGGGCCTCTGTGACGCACAGGCCGCGCGTTACAGCCGGCGGGCTGAGCGCTCTGTCTCTCTCGCCAGAGAGAGAGAGAGAGAGAGAGAGAGAGAGAGAGAGAGAGAGAGAGAGAGAGAGAGAGAGAGAGAGAGAGAGAGAGAGAGAGACGGAGACGTCCTCTCGGAATCAGCCCACAGGCCGAGCCAGGCCGAGCCAGGCGGGCGGGAGAACTTTGACACGGCGATCGGATGTGCTGGTGGTGGCCGCACAGCAGCTGGTACCCCCGCGAACGCGCCCCCCCCCCCCCCGCTGACGTCAGAGGTCGCTAGCACAGGCCGCGCGGAATGCCGCCGGGCGACCGCAGTCATTCCTAAGAACCGTTCTGTCGCTCAGGGTTGCTAGAGAGACAACGATTCTGCGCAGGAAAAAAAAAAACACTTTATGATGCCGCGCTTCATCTCGAAGAGTTATTCGCGCACACAGTGGGCCAGAAGACCGGTGGAGGCGGTCAAAATTCCGGGCGCCTTTTGAGCTCCAGAGTCGCTAGATGGGACTCGAACCGAACGTGTGACCCCACCAATGGATTCCTCGTTCGGAGAGCAATCCATTGGTGGGGTCACACGTTCGGTTCGAGTCCCATCCAGCGACTCTGGAGCTCAAAACGCGTCTAGAGTTTTGGCCGCCTCCACCGGTCTTGTGGCACACTAAGCAACGGTTCCTGGTTTTCCAGGTCGCCCCAAGGCAAGGGTTTTTATTTTTATTGTTTAGCGTTTTTCATCTGCGCGCTCCGCCCTGCTTGTTCCGGCGTTTCTCGCTTCCACTTCACTGTAAGGCCCCGCGGCCCCGCCTTGAATTATTGCGAGTTTCACAGCCGCCATAATCATCGCTGGATCGGGGGGGGAGGGGGGAGGGGGGGATAGAGGAAGGGGAGGGGGGAGGGGGGGAAAGAGGAAGGGGAGGGGTAAGAGGGGGTGAAGGGGACTCTAGGACGCCGGCCACGGCCATAAACGTAAACGGTGGTTGTTCCGGACAACTGAGCGAGCAAAATGCGGTGGTGTGCGCGCACATGTGCGCTGCTGTGACGAGCGGGGTCCCCTTGATGGTCCACGCCGTGACAGCCCTGTCACGTGACCTCTTTGAGACGACCACATGTGTTGCCGTGCCAAGTGCACTTTTTGTCCATGACTTACTCAAGCGCGTCTCAGTGGGCCAGAAGACCGGTGGAGGCGGTCAAAATCCCGGACGCGTTTTGAGCTCCAGAGTCGCTGAATAGGACTCGAATCGAACGTGTGACCCCACCAATGGATCGCTCTCCGCACGAGGAATCCATTGGTGGGGTCACACGTTCGGTTCGAGTCCCATTTAGCGACTCTGGAGCTCAAAACGCGTCCAGGGTTTCGGCCGCCTCCACCGGTCTTCTGGCAAATCCACTGTTGCACTCACCTGGAACTCGACCCGGAAGAGGACGGGGAACTTCCTCCGCTGGTCGCACAGCTTCTGGAAGCGAGCCACCGGCACCGGGTCGGACGGCACGGTGGACAGCACGCCGTGCTCCTCGGAGGCTGCGGCAGAGCAACACACTGTCAACAAAAAATCTAGCAAATTCTTGAAAATTTCCTTTTTGAAAAAAAAAAACGCTTCCGATTTTTAGAAAATCTCTTAACGTTTCTGGTTGCAATGAAATTCCAGCAGGGAATTTCGAAAAAAAAAAAAATTAAAACGCGAAGCCTGAAGAAGCTTCAGAACGGACTTAACGGATTTTTTAAAATTTATTTTTAACAGTAGAGACATTTAAAAAAAAGCAAAAAAAAAAAAACGTCGCTACCGCGGCCAATTGTCGCTCTGTCTTACTCTCGCACCGCCACGGAACGTCCCACACGCCGCGCGGGCGCGAGAGGGACAGAGAGAGAGAGAGAGAGACAGAGAGCAGGCCGACACGGGACGTCAATAAAAAGAAGGATGTTGTGAGTAAGGATGCGAGCAACTCGCCGGGGCGGGTAAATACGGACGCCGGGACCGAGTTTTGCTGCATGGTTTGTTGCTGCTTGCCTCCCCTCCCCTCCCCCTCCCCTGCCTCTCTCCTACCTCGTTCCCGCCACCCGAATGCACCGCTCCAAGAATGTGGGCCAGTCCATTTCTCATCGATTGCCTATCCGTGTGGGATGAGCTCCTCCTGGTACCTCCAGACTCGCGCCGAGGCGGATCCAGAGGCGGCATTTGGGGGGGGGGGGAAGGGAGTAGAACTTTTTGCCCACTTTTTAGGCGGCTATCTGGGTTGTGTGTGTGTGTGTGAGTGTGTGTGTTTCAGAGAGATAGAGAGAGGGGGGGGGGGTGAGCAAGTATACTTTAACCGGCCCAGTGGCCCATGCTTCTACATAGGACTAATCAAGTGTATTTTAGCGTGTACTTGCAGGCACACTCTTACTTAGCGTGTGTCCAGCAAGTATGCTGTATACATAAGAGTGTGCTTGGAAGCACGCTCTGATAAGAGTGTACCATGCACACACTTCAGTTTGCAGAGTACGACCCTAATGGCTATGATCGTCTCACCGGGTGGAGCGACCACTCTCCCTCCTTTGTTTTTGTATGGGATGCGTGACGTAACGGTGTAGAGTTCCCACACCACTTTATCCGCACGCCTGCAGGACTTCGCTCTGTCTCTCTCGCGCTCCGGGGGTGAGCCAGGTGTGTGTGTGTGTGTGTGTGTGTGTGTGTGTGAGAGAGAGAGAGAGAGAGAGAGAGAGAGAGAGAGAGAGAGAGAGAGAGAGAGAGAGAGAGAGAGCGCGACGAAAAGAACTCTCGGAATCAGTCTACGCCGTCGACCCAATATCCGGAGCCGCGGCCCTGATAAAGTGCGAGAGAGACAGAGAGCCACAGAGTGGCAGGGCCGGGGCAGCCGAGGGACGCACGGCACGAGAGAAGGGTGCCAGCAACCTGGTGCCCATGACTCGGAAACGGAGCGTTACATTTTTAAAATAGATTTCTTTTCTTTCTCATTTTGAAGTGAGTTTTAATTTTCTCAGGCATTTTTTATTTTCTTATTTTTTTTTGTGGGGGTTTTACATATGAGAGTCTTGTCCATGCCTGCCTTGTTAGTCCGCACGAGGAAGTTCGCTACCCCATCCGCTTGAAGGGACCTCGAGAGACCTGTTAGTTAGGTTCGGTGGCCTACAAAACCAACACCGTGCCGCGGTGCGCGGTCTCAAGAGCACACGTGTGTGTGTGTGTTGCACAAGGTTACGTCCGCACGGGCTAAGCAGTGGCGGAGGGAGAAGAAATCTAGGTCAAGCTCAACGCATTCGGGACGCCAAGGGTAGCAGGGAAGCGTGGTGGAGAGGGAGAGGAGAGAGAGAGAGAGAGAGAGAGAGAGAGAGAGAGAGAGAGAGAGAGACGATTGAGAGTGTGGAGGAACTCAATCAAAGCGGCGAAGCGCGAAGCCCCTCGCGTCGGAACTGGCTTTTGCCGCGATCAGTCGCGGTCGTGATCGGCGGGTCTCTCTTTTCGTAACACGTTTGCGAGTTTTGAAAGGAATGAGAACCTTTTCAGCTTTCGATCTAAAATTATCAACACTAAACAAAAATTAGGCAACAAAAAAACAAAAACAAAAAAAAAACAAGTGCGAAAGGATGATGACGCACGCTGTTGACAGTGACCGTACAAGCGGGGCTTCCCTTCCCTTCCCCCCCCCCCCCCCCCCCCCCCACCCCCCCGACGCACCATTCCCCCTCCCACAACCCCTGCGGCGACCACACAGGGCGCCACACGGCCGGCACAGTGCAAGCAAGCATGTTGACCGTGGCTAATCCAACAGCCTTGCAAACCGCAGTGCATGGGCTGCAGCCCAGCGCAGCACAGTGGGCCAGAAGACCGGTGGAAGCGTTCGGAACCCCGGACGCCTTTTGAGCGCCAGAGTGTTGCGCCTGTGTGCGTACGCGGACGAAACTCCTTGTTTGGAGGGCACATCGTGGGGAGGGGGGGGGCAGACAGCGCGGGCCGAGTGGCCTGCGGGCTCATTCCGCGCAGAGTGTTATTACCGTCGCTCCGTCTCTCTCGCACTCGCGGGGCGTTCCGTGCGAGAGAGACGGAGAAGGAGACGGTCCGCCGCTGCCCGGCCGCCTCTGTACACGAGAGATATGGAGAAAAGTCACGGAAAGTGTGTCGAGAGTGCGGGCGAGGGGCGGATCCAGGGACGGGTTGGGGGGGGGGGGGGTGAAGCGCGCTGCGAGGGCGGGGCGGCGTGCCTCAGTGGCCCGCGATGGATGGCTTTCCGAACGGGCCAACGGGAACGGGGATCGGGGCGCCTTGCCTTGCCGGGCCCCAGAGCCGAGCCCAGAGCCCTTATAAGGGCTATATAGCTCTACCGGGCTGCCCTGCCCAGCAGTTCCGACGGTGTCTCCGACGTTCCCGGCACGCTGGAGCCTGTTTTGCCAAGACACAGTGGACCAGAAGACCAGTGGAGGCGGTGGAAATCACGGACGCGTTTTGAGATCCAGAGTCGCTGAACGGACTCGAACCGAACGTGTGACCCCCACCAATGGATTCCTCGTTCGGAGAGCAATCCATTGGTGGGGTCACACGTTCGTTTCGAGTCCCACTTAGCGACTCTGGAGCTCAAAACGCGTCCGGGATATCGACCGCCTCTACCGGTCTTCTGGCCCACTGTGCGGGGCTTCCCTCCGCACCTGCGGTCCGTCTGTCACCGAGAGAGAGTGATGATCACGGCGAAGTCTTTGGCCCAACCAAAGCTTATCGTCCCATTGCAGCGGCAGACCTGGCAGATAAAGCCTTTATCGGCCGTCATTTGGGCCACCGTCGTCGCTTTTTCTGTTCCAGATAGAATCCTGATGGGAGAAACCTGAGGGGATGGCCGGCGTGGGAAGTGGGGCAACAACAACAGCAGCAGCAGCAACAACAACAACAACAAAAACAACAACAAAATATCAAAAAATAGTAGTCTGTCTATGACAAACATTAACATCAAAATCCCGGTCATCTTTTGAGCCCCAGAGTCGCTAAATGGGACTCGACCCGAACGTGTGACCCCACCAATGGATTGCTCTCCGAACGAGGAACCCATTGGTGGGGTCACACGCTCTGTTCGAGTCCCGCTTAGCGACTCTGGAGCTCAAAACGCGTCTAGAGTTTTGGCCGCCTCCACCGGTCTTCTGGCCCATTGTGCGGGCTGAGGGGAAGCCCCACGGAGGCCTGGGCCCTGCCTCCTCGCTTCGAATCGAGCGCGCCGCCCGCCCTATCAATCTGTCTCCCTCGCACCCCGACGGGACGCCCCGTGAGTGCGACGGAGACAGAGCGATGGAACCACACTTTATAAGCGGCCCGCTGCATGCCTCTACTATGTGCAGCACGACGTGCACGCTATTCAGTCGATCTACTCAGACAGACAGGCAGGCAGGCAGGCAGACAGACACATTGCAAGCAAAGTTGCGGAGCAGTGACTTGGGATTATTGGTCTAAATCGGCAGCACATTGACTCGACAAGGCGTCCCTCGTAGTTCAGGCCGGGCCGGCAGGGTCGGCCGGGTCGCGGCGAAGCGGCGCGAGACGAGCTCCAAACCCATCCGCACACGTGTTATGAATTTTAATGGCGTGTAAACACGAAGAGGGACCGGCGGCGCCCACGTCGCCCTGTCCCTCTCGCTCTCACGGGACGCCGCGCACGGGTGCGAGAGACACGGAACGAACAGTGGGCCAGAAGACCGGTGGAGGCGGCCAAAACTCTAGACGCGTTTTGATCTGAAGCTTGACTAATGTAAGCAGGACTCGAACCGAACGTGTGACCCCACCAATGGATTCGTCGTTCGGAGAGCAGTCCATTGGTGAGGTCACTCGTTCGTTACGAGTCTCATTTAGCGACTCTGGAGCTCAAAACGCGTCCGGGATTTTGGCTGCCTCCGCCGGTCTTCTGGCCCACTGCATCGGGGAAAGTAGACAGTCCTCCTCACCGTGTCTCGCTGTCAAACACGCCTGTTTTGTGCAAAACTTTTTGTAAACATTCACGCCCATGAGTGCGAGAGAGACAGAGCGAGAAAAGCGCCTTTCCGAATCAGCCCTCGGATTGAGAGGCTTCATCGCTTGATGGAGACAAATCCTTTTCAACCCCCTTCCCCCCCCCCTCGAAACCTTCACGCCTTTTCGCGTTCTGACTGATGGGCCGCCATGGCCATGCTGCAGACCGATTCCGAGAGTCTGTCTCTCTCGCACTCGTGGGACGTCCCGTGTAGGTGCGAGAGAGACAGCGCGACGAACACGACCCTCTGAATCAGGCTGCTGCCATGCTGGCGCCTCGTTGAGATAAACCAGGTCGGGGATCGCGCAGCCCTCCCTCCTTCCACCCAGTGGCGGATCCAGAAGCACTTTTTGCCTACTGGCGGGGGCAAAGTGTTCCGAGCGTGTGACCCCACCAATGGACTCCTCGTTCGGAGAGCAATCCATTGGTGGGGTCACACGTTCGGTTCGAGTCCCATTTAGCGACTCTGGAGCTCAAAACGCGTCCGGGAATTTGGCCGCCTCTACCGGTCTTCCGGCAAATCCACTGTGCGCTGCTAAGGTACTAGTGGGAGGAATGGCGGTATTTGTTCATGTTTCTGTTGGTACTCACACAGCGAGAGCAGTCCGCTGTTGAGCATGGACAGCTTGATGGCGGTGGGGATGGAGACGAGCGAGGTGCCGGCGCTCTTGGACATGCCCGCCTTCTTCCTCTTGGGCTTCTCGGCGGAGTACCGCGACGACGCGGACCTGGCGCGGCGGGACGAACCGCCGGCGCCGCTGCTGCCCGCCGCCCGGGAGCTGCTCCGGCCGCCCGCGCCGCTCGCGCCGCCCCGCCCGGACCGGAGGTCGGACCCGGAGGCCGACATGACGCTGTTGGCGGTGGACGGCGAGGCGGGCGCGCCGGGGGCAGGGGGCCGTCGCTCGCGGGAAGCGGAGCCGCCCGTCGTGTCAGCTCCGGGCGCGGCAGGCGCCTCGGACCGCCATGCGGGTCACCCCCAGGGTCACCTCGGCGTCGACAACGCGGCCACCGTCGCCGAGGAGGAGCTCGACGCACCGCACTAGACACACACGGCCGCCATGGCCTCGCGCACCACCTGCAGGACCGCCAGGCCGATGGTCACACACTCGCGGACGCGCGGGGACGCGGCACCACCACCACGACCAGCTTGCTGTGCGCGGAACACCCGGCTGGCTGCTCGGCGCGACGCGGTGCGCTACTACCCCAGGGTGCGGTGAGGCTTTGGCAGTGAGGTGCCGGGTAGACCCGCCCCGCCCCGCCTTCCCCGCCACGCCCCGCCACGCCCCGGCGGCTCAACGCTCACGCCGCGCATGCGACCTTCCCATTTTAAATCAGCAGTCCTGGGCCCCAAGGCCCGCACCCCGCCGCGCCGCGCCCCGCCCGCCCCGCCCCGCCCCGCCCCGCCCCGCCCCGGCACCGCGAGCCACGCCGGCGAAAGGCTGTTGGTGCCGGGCTCTGCCAGCTCTGCCGGCCCGGTCGGCCCCTCATCCCCCTGAGTGCTGTGTACTCCCCCCCCCTCCCCCGCCAAACTCCCTCGCCTAACGACGCCGAGCGTGCGCGTGCCGAGCCAGCGGCCGCGTCTTGACCGCCGTACAGTGGGCCAGAAGACCGGTGGAGGCGGCCATAATGACGGACGCGTGTTGAGCCCCAGGCTCGCTAAATGGGACTCGAAACGAACGTGTGACCCCACCAATGCATTGCTCTCTGAACGAGGAATCCATTAGTGGGGTCACACGTTCGGTTCGAGTCCTGTTTAGCTACGCTGCAGCTCAAAGCGCGTCTTGAGTTTTGGCCGCCTCCGCCGGTCATCCGGCCCACTGTGCGCCGCCCGGCCCGGCCGAACGCTTTCAACTAAAATACCAACTCCTTGTCGCGAGCGGCGTGCGCGCCGATCGGCCCCCTTTTGTTTTTCGCACCGTGACCACACTGTAAATTGGTTCAGTGGGACGAATTACTGTCACGGAATACGTCGTCGCGGAGCGCGGAGCAGCGGGGAGCCTCTATCCCGGCCAAGCACGGCCGTGGCGTCTAATCCCATGGCGCGCCGCGTCTATTTCTTCTATCGGCCTCCGTCCGGCTTAGACAAGGGCCGCACAGTGGGCCAGAAGACCGGTGAAGCCAGCCGAAATTCTGGACGCATTTCGAGCTCCAGACGTCGCTGAACAGGGCTCGAACCGAGCGTGTGACCCCACCAATAGATTCCTCGTTCGGAGAGCAATCCATTGGTGGGGGTCACACGTTCGTTTCGGGTCCCATTTAGCGACTCTGGAGCTCAAAACGCGTCTAGAGGTTTGACCGCTTCCACCGGCCTTCTGGCCGACTGTAGGACCGGGGTGCTCGACGTCGGCGACGTACTGTACCGCCACCGGCGTGCCGCGGGCGCCGGCACGGGGTTGCCGCCGTTGCCACACTACACGGAGGAGGGCGCGCGCGGACTGCCGGGTGGAGGCGAAGCAGGCGAAGCAGCGCGGACTCCAGGCGGAGCGGGGCGGGCCGCACGGAGCCACGCCGCCGCGGCTACGCCCAGAGCGAACACAGAACACCCCATCCTCGTTCTCCTGCCGGCACCGCGGCGCCAGCGTGTGCCGCCGGGCTGCGTCCGCGCGGAGGGTCGCCTGTCCTTGTCTACCTCCCACCCCACACGGGAGTGCGAGTGAGAGGCCGTTGGAACCAACCCCCAGCAGTGCCCCGCCTTCCCCGGTGCCCCCTCCCCGATTCCCAGTGGCGTGCCGGCGGCAGCAGACTGATTCCGAGCGTCGCTCTGTCTCTCTCGCACCCATAGGGACCCCCCCATGAGCGCGCGAGAGACAGAGCGACGAAAACGACTCTCGGAATCTGTCTGCGTGGCGGCTACAGTACCCACCCCTCTGTTGCTCTCTCTCTCCCTCCTCTCTCCCCCCCCCCCCCTCTCTCTCTCTCTCCTCTCTCTCTCTCTCTCTCTCTCTCTCTCTCTCTCTCTCTCTCTCTCTCTCTCGTTCCTCCGAGTGCGAGTAGGAGAGAGCACGCTGCCTCCAAACCGACTCCCTTCGCGCTTAGCTTTGTCTTGGTGCTCCCTCATTCGAAATCGCGCACTTGATGCGGTCAGGCAGACAGGCTGGACCATAGAGTAATGACACTCCGGCTGGACGAGGGCGGAAAACACGTCGGCGCTCAAACCAGTTCAAACTTTGGCGCGCGAGGCGCGAGTCCTTCGAGTCCTGCGTGTAGTTCGCCAGAGCGCCGTGTGGCAGCGCTCCGCGTCGGCAGCTTCCCCACGGCTTCCCCGAAGTTCACTCCGCGGCCGAAAGATGGCGACACTCGCTCCCACCGACAGCGCCTCTAGTGCGGTTGACGAGAACCTCGGCAATCTGTCGCTCTTTCATTCGGAAACTAAGTTTTGACCGCTTCATTTCGGACCCCAGTGTCGTCACTCCACTCGAAATAAAACTTTTTGCGCCTGTCACACTTTTGCGGTATCAGTTCTTCTGTTGGGCTGTAGAGGTTAGGAATCCCAGTTGTTGTTGTGACGATGCTGCCAACTGTCCGCGCGGGCAGTTTTCTCAACGACCCACGAATCCCGCTAGGTGGCGCCACGGGTCACACTGATGCACCCTGTGACGTAACAGCCCTTTTACTTGTGTTGTTTGTGTTGGTGTGTTTGTGTTTGTGCTTTGACGCATCCTGCTGCTCGCCTCGCCAGCCCTTCGGTTATCGTTTGATTTTTGTAATCCGCCCGTTCTGCGGTTCGCGAGTCCAAATAAAAGGGCTCGATCCGATCGTGACGCGCGAGTGTCGAACCGTCGGTCTGCAAAGGCAGCATAGAGGTTAGTGGCGATTGTGACATGCCGTGGTGTTGTGTTTACGTATTTCAAGCGCTGCCAGTTTTCGACACTCGTTCGCTCAGAGGAGCGGGTCTGTTTGATTGAAAGGAGAGCGTTTCCTTCTGGATTGCGATCACCAGCCCGACGAGCGTTTGGTCGAGTTGTCGGATACCGGAAGAGACGGAAGGGCGATCATGACTCTGGCTTGACTGTAATTGCTCACCGTTCTTATCTTGACACCGCGTTTCTCTACGGGGTGTCGAACACCCACGCCCCTTTCCAGCCCACTATCGCCCAGCGCACCTTATTTCAGTTACGCTTGCAAGTAGCTTGACTTCCTACACACTGGGAGCCAGGAGTTGGGAAGGTTATGGTTAGGATACTCTGCTCTGTCAGGGTCAGGAATAATGAGTGTTCCTGCTCTTGGGACCTTAATCTCTTCATTGATTGTCGGCATCTGACATTTGGTTTTGCTCGTGACACCCATCACATTTGGTGAAGGGTACTTGCGTCGTTTGAATTCATTTAGTTGAGGGCTCCACAGGTGGTTGCTCCAAACAATTTATTTATAAATTCGGCACATTGCCGTTATGATTCATTTTCATTCATTTTTTAATTCCTTTTGCTGTCAACATCCTTACCCAAATTTAGGACTTGACCACAAAGTACTGTTAGAAACAATCTCTGTAAAAAACTTACCCGATTGCTAATTTAGGCACAAACCTTAATTTATCGGCAAAAATTTTATTTTTGTATTTTAAATGATTTTATTGTTGCATTATTTTCCTTAATATTCTCAAGTATGCATCTAACATAAACTACAGAGGCGACATTGTGACTTTCTTAAAGCGTTGTTTTTTCTTCTTCAGGGGAAATGGGCAAGTCGGAGCAGGCCGAGGGACTGACAAGTCCACATGCTGAAGCCAGCAAGTTGTTGGAGGCTGCGTTGCAACAAATGGACGGCATCATTTCTGGTAAGCTCTCCTCACAAAAGCGTTCTTTGCAAAATTTTCTGCTTGCCGAATCTCTATTTTGTTTTGATTTTGTGTGTGGAAGGCACTAATGCTGCATACAGTCCCTAATGCCCGCCTATAGGGCTCTAATGCTGCATCTCTCGAATTCGGGTAATCTACCGTATTTTGAGTGTGTAGGGATTCTTATAACAGTTCGTTCTTAAGCTGCGTGCCAAGAGTCTTCCCTTAATGAAGTGCCACACAGTGGGCCAGAGTACCAAAGGAGGCGGAAAAAACTCATGGTCTTCGAACGAGGAATCCATTGGTGGGGTCACATGTTCGGTTCGAGTGCCATTCAGCGACTCTGGAGCTCGAAACGCGTCTAGAGTTTTGTCCGCCTCCACCGGTCTTCTGGCCCACTGTGTGCCAGGTGTTGTGACCAAGATGCGGCCCTTGTCCAATTCGAGAACTAGCCTCATCTAGTTGGTGGTGTCCCCCCCCCCCTTCCGCCCCCCCTTTTTTCTCCGGCTGCTCACTCTATTTTGTATGCCGGTATCGTTGTGGGGATGGAAGGGGGTTGGCTCTGGCGGGGGGGTAGTGTCACACTGCAAAGGGGAAGGGGAGGGGAAGGGAGGGATGACAGTGCCGAATGGAGCCTCCCCCTCCCCCTCTCTCTATTTCTCTCGTCCACTTGACTCCCGTTACCCCGGCAACGTGCAGCACAGCTTCCACGCACAGCGGACTGACTTCGAACACAGTGCTCTCGTCGCTCTGTCTCTCTATGGGGTGCGCCACGAGTGCGAGAGAGACGGGACGACGAACGCATGCTCGCGGATTCAGCCCGCAGCGAAAAGAAATCGCGCCAAATGGAATCCCTTCTTGGCATAGGCCCGTCCGTCCGTCCCCCACAGTGGGCCAGAAGATCGGTGGAGGTGGCGGAAACTCTAGACGCGTTTTGAGCTCCAGAGTCGCTAAATGGGACTCGAACCGAACGTGTGATCCCACCAATGGATTGCTCGTTCGGACAGCAATCCATTGGTGGGGTCACACGTTCGGTTCGAGTCCTGTTTAGCGACTCTGGAGCTCAAAACACGTCCGGGATTTTGGCCGCCTCCACCGGGCTTCTGGCCCACTGTGAGCCTTGTTTTAATTGTCGCGGCTGCATTGCACACAAACGCTCCTTTTATCGCGTCGTTTGGCTGTCGCCACTCAAACGGCGCGACGCACAACGCGTCCCTTCCATTTGGCTGTGGCGAAAAGCTTTGTGCGTTTCGTGCGTTGCCCCACTGAAAGGTTTGTGCCGCCCTGCCGCCGAAACGGCCGAAGCGGCGCGGCGTTGATATGCAGGGGGTGGGCAGCCGATATGCGGGCCACGCAGACATTTACAGACAGACAGACAGACAGACAGACAGACAGACAGGCACAGCAGGGGGAGGCGTGAGGGTGTTAAAATTTCAGAGTCAGTGCAGCAGTTCCCAGCTGGATGTTCTGCGACCGTCTGGGACAGTAGGCAGACGGCCCGGACCCCCTAGGGCGGGGCGGGGCGGGGCGGGGCGGGGCGGGGTGGACTCCAGGGCGGGCGGGGCGGGCATATCGTGCCTAACAGCTGGCCATGGGAATCTCGGCGAGAAAGGACCGTCCCGGGGACCGTCCTTCCTTGCTTCGGCCCTTTACTGCCTGCTCTCCCTCAGTGCTCTCCCTCAGTGCTCTCCCTCAGTGCTCTCCCTCAGTGCTCTCCCTCAGTGCTCTCTCTCAGTGCTCTCCCAAGAGCTAGGTTCGAGTACCAGCTGTTCCTTGTCCCTTTTTCTCTCTCTTCGTCGCCCTTCCGACTTGCTGACGCGGAGCTCTCCAGCGCGCTGCTCTCGGCAAGCCGTGCACCTGTCGGCCTGTCGGATAACCTTCATGCCCTTTTAGCACGACGTCCTGGCCCCGCGGCATGGCCCAACGGGCCAGAAGACCGGTGGAGGCGGTCAAAATCCCGGACGCGTTTTGAGCTCCAGAGTCGCTAAATGAGACTCGAACCGAACGTGTGACCCCACCAATGGATTGCTCTCCGAACGAGGAATCCATTGGTGGAGTCACACGTTCGGTTCCAGTCCTGTCCAGCGACTCTGGAGCTCAAAACGCGTCCGGGATTTTGGCCGCCTCCACCGGTCTTCTGAGCAAGGCATGGCACTGCGGCGTCGTGCTGCAGAGAGCATCCTCCCGTCTCGTCACTCCGTCTCTCTCGCACCTCTTCGGGACACCACATGAGTGCGAGCGAGACCGACCGACGAGACCCCTGTTCGGAATCTGCCTCCTCCTGGCTCAAAGGCTTTTGGGGAGGAGCCGGGGAATGCCAGGGAAGTTACGCTACATGTGTGTGGCAGGGGCGAGGGGAGAGAAAGGGGGGGGGGCAGAAGGGTGTAGAGAGCCCTGCGGCCACTGCGGCTCTCTGACCACGACGACGACACGGCCGGGCCGGCGGCGACAGTGTAAAAATGCGCTGCGGCACGGGGAATGGGGTCAGTGCCGCTGCCCGAATTATTTGGGCCGGAACGAGATGCACGCTTTGTGGTCGGGGACTTTGCAGCAGTCGTCGCCTGCGGTGCGCAGTGGATTTGCCGGAAGACCGGTGGAGGCGGCGAAAATCCCGGACGCGTTTTGAGCTCCAGAGTCGCCGAATCGGACTCGAACCAAATGGATTCCCCGTTCAGAGAGCAATCCATTGGTGGGGTCACACGCACGGTTCGAGTCCCATTTAGCGCCTCTGGGGCTCAAAACGCGACTGGAATTTCGGGCGACTCCACCGGTGGCCCACTGTGCGGTGTCTCTGATGTGCGTATTTTATTTTCTGGCAGAGTGACAGGTGCGTGTGTGTGACAGGTGTATGTACAGCACCACTCCGCCATGGCGCGCAGAGCGGCACAGAGTCGACGCCGGGACGGGCTCAATCTACTTTCACAATCACCATTGTCATTGCACCCCCACCCCTGACTCCCCTCCCCGCTCACCCCACCCCTTCCCTTCTCACACGGCGTTCTTCATAATCACTATCCAACCATCCCCTCACAATAGCGCTCTCCCCCCCCTTACGCCCCCCCCCATCCCCCCACTCCGCCCCCGCTCCCCCCACCGAGCATCTCCATAGACTGAAAAGAAAATGGTCCCCCAGCATAGCCTTTATCCGGCAGTCTGCAGACTGATTCCGCAGGACTCCCCCCGCCTCTCTCTCTCTCTCTCTCTCTCTCTCTCTCTCTCTCTCTCTCTCGCACTCCTGTGGGACGTCTCGTACAGGTGCGAGAGAGATGGACCGACGACGGCCGCAATGCGCGGTCTCCGTGTTCGCCTCGGGCTGACTGATTCCGAGCGTCGCTTTCGTCGCTCTGTCTCTCTCGCACTCATGGGCGTATTGGCCCCGTATTGGTGCGAGAGAGACAGAGCGACGAAAACGACTCTCGGAATCAGTCTACTGGCGCCGCCCCACCGACCCTGACCGTCTTAATTGCCGCGACAACCCCTTAATTCTACCGACTCCTTTCAGTGAGCTAGGGTACGAGAGAGACAGAGCGATGCCGTTCGAATCAGACTGGACTTTGCTCGGCACACTGGTCACTAAACGACGCGCCATGTTCCCTACCTTGAGGAAGCACCTTCCCCCTCCCTCTTTCTCCCCCTTCCCACTTTTTTTCTCTCCGCCTCTCGAGAGGAGACAGTGGAATGGTGAAAAGTTGCCCATGGCTGCGGCGTGTCTTTTGCGTGCGTTTCGCTGAACTTTGCAGCCCCGAGCATGAGAGCACTTGCGGTTCTTGACACCCCCCGCCCCCCCCGCCCCGCCCGACTGCCCTCTGGCAGGCACTCGTTGGCCTTCTCGAGGGCCCCGCCCCACAGTGGGCCAGAAGACCGCTGGAGGCGGACAAAACTCAAGACACGTTTTGAGCTCCAGAGTCGCTAAATGGGACTCGAACCGAACCTGTGACCCCACCAATGGATAGCTCTCCGAACGAGGAATCCATTGGTGGGGTCACAAGCTCGGTTCGCGTCCCGTTTGGTGACTCTGGAGCTCAAAACGCATCTTGAGTTTTGGCCGCCTGCACCGGTCGTCTGGCCCACTGTGCGCCTCTCCCCCTCTTTTTGCACTGCCACTTACTCGCCAGTCGAATGGGGTGCCATGGGGTTTGCCATGGGGAACGGCGCGGAGAGAAGCTTTCGGAAAGCCCCTCGCGGTGAATCGCAGTGAAAGCTGGCGCGGAAGCGTGGCATCCCTCGGTCCGCTCGGCCTGCCTCGGCCTGCACAGCATTGCTTGATCCATTGTCCGTCCATTCCCCCGCCGGACCCCCCCCTCCTCTCTCTCTCTCTCTCTCTCTCTCTCTCTCTCTCTCTCTCTCTCCCCCTCCCTCTCGCTTCATCCCCCTTTTGTGGCGCTCTTCAATTGGAGTCGTCCCGGCGTCCATGCCGGCCGAGCGAGGCGGGCGAGGCGAGGGCCAGTGGCCCTGCAGTGGCCCCACCAGTGGCCGCGCCCCGAACCTGTTGCCACAGATACCGACCGGGTGCCTCGCAGTGCCTCGCAGTGCCTCGCAGTGTAGTGGGGGATGATGCCCCGGAGCCGCGGAAAGACGGAGGAGCGCCCTTGCGGCGCCCTCACTTGAAAAAAAAAATGTCCGAGTCGGACACTTGTTAATTTTTTTGCGAACAACTCGGCGTGTGACCCCACCAATGGATTCCTCGTTCGGAGAGCAATCCATTGGTGGGGTCACACGTTCAGTTCGAGTCCCATTTAGCGACACTGCAGCTCGAAACGCGTCCGGGGTTTTGACCGCCGCCACCGGTCTTCTGGCCCACTGTGCGTTGTAGCCTGGCTTTGATGACGGCTGGGCGTCTTCTTTTTGCAACTAAACTTGAAAATCTGAGTGTGAAATCCATGTCGTGGATGTCGAGATCCCTGCAGTCCGCCACTGGGGGTTGCACTTTTCCCTCCGCTGTCCTTTTCTCCCCCAACTTACCCCTGCGTCAGGCCTACAGCAGGGCTACAGCAACCCCCTCCCCGCCGCCCCCGCCGCCCCCGCCGCCCCCGCCGCCCCCCACTGGCGGCACTGGTCCTGCCGCCCCGCCTGGCTTCGCCGTTTCGCCACTCCTCGTCGCTCCCTCGTCCAGTGGGCCCGCCGCGCTCCCAGCCTCCGCAACCCGGCCGAGCCAGGACGAGGCAGGCCGCCCGCCGCGCGGAGACCGTGCTTGACGTGCTCGCCGTCGCACCCCGAGCACCCCGTCGACGGTCAGGACCTTGTCGAGGCCGAGCTTGCCGGCACCGGCGTCGTCGGCGGCGTCCTGGTCCGCGGCGTTGACGTGAACCTCGGGTGTTACTTGACTTGTTGTCCACCGCGTCGACCACCGCCTCGTCGGCCGCCACCGCGTCGTGGTCCCCGACGCCGTGTCGGTGCCCGTCGCGCCACCCGGCGCCAGCGCTCGCCGCGTCTAGGTCAGTGACTCTGGTCCAGCCTGCCTCGGCCTGCCTGCCACTGCCACCCCAAACCGCGACGCGCCGGGCGCTACACAGTGGATTTGCCAGAAGACCGGTGGAGGCGGCCAAAACTCTGGACGCGTTTTGAGCTCCAGAGTCGCTAAATGGGACTCGAACCGAACGTGTGACCCCACCAATGGATTCCTCGTTCGGAGAGCAATCCATTGGTGGGTCGCACGCTCGGTTCGAGTCCTGTTTAGCGAGTCTGGAGCTCAAAACGCTTCTAGAGTTTTGGTCCAAAAATAAAGAATGTGTTGTGATAATCGACTCTGTTCGTTAGGCTGCATTCGATATCGGCAATTGAAAATCCGATACCCACGAAAGCTGGCAGCTACGACCAGACACTTGCGCGATGACAACTTAGCTGGGGTCTTTTGTCGTCCCCCAAGTGCCGTGCCCGGTCGAAGCGACCAGCGTCAGCGTTTGGTTATCGGTATCGGATTTTTGATTGCAATCGAATTCAGCACAGCAACCAAACAGAGCTGATCAAAGTCTTTTCACAGTCTGGTGAACCTGCCGTGCTGGCTGGGTGTTGTTGGAGCGTGGCGAACCCTGCAATAAAGTTAAAAACGAAAAAAGGATACGTTTGAAAAATTGAATTAAATGAAATTAAAAATACGATACAGGTTGCTCGGTCGCCACGTGCTGCCGTTGACGCGTGCACCGGGCCGCGCTGCACCTGTTAGCGCCGATTAGCGTACACTGTTGTTGTTTTTTCTTTTTGGTTTTGTGGGTCACGGGGACGTCACACTGTGAGCGGAGGGGGACCTATTATCAGCGCAGGTGACAATTGGTTTCCCCGGTGGTTTGCTTCCGAACTATTGCTGGAATTTATCTTTGCTGTTCTTCTTGGCCGCATGTAGTGGATTTGCCAGAAGAACCGCGGTGAAGGCGCTTTGAGCGCCTGAGTCGCTAAATGGGACTCGAACCGAACGTGTGACCCCACCAATGGATTGCTCTCCGAACGAGGAATCCATTGGTGGGGTCACACGTTCGGTTCGAGTCCCATTTAGCGACTCTGGAGCTCAAAACGCGTCCAGAGTTTCGGCCGCTGGCCCACTGTAGGCGCGAGAGAGACGGAGCGACGAAGCACTGCGCGGAATGAGCCTGCTGCCCCCGCCGCCTCGCTGTAGTGCGTCGTTCCGCGGTGCGTGCTGCGCCGTGCTGCGCCGTGCTGCGCCGTGCTGCGCCGTGCTGCGCCGTGCTGCGCCGTGCTGCGCCGTGCTGCGCCGTGCTGGGCGCCAAGGGCCCAGGAATTTGGATACCATTTGCCATTTGCATTCTGTGGAAGCCTTTGCAGTGCAGGAGAGCGTGAGCTTGCGGCAGCATGCCGCAGCACCGCGCGGCCTCATCAGCGGCCAGAAAGAGACGGACTGAGTGAATGGCTGACTGACTGGCTGACTGACTAGCTGACTGACTGGATTACTGACTGAGTGACTGACTGAGTGACTGACTGAGTGACTTACTGAGTGACTTTCTCAGTTACTGACTGGACTGAGTGACTGACTGAGTGACTGACTGAGTGACTTACTCGGTTACTGACTGGACTAAGTGACTGACTGAGTGACTTACTGAGTGACTGACTAAGTGACTTACTGAGTGACTTACTGAGTGACTGACTGGACTGAGTGACTTACTGAGTGACTGACTAAGTGACTTACTGAGTGACTTACTGAGTGACTGACTGGACTGAGTGACTGACTGGACTGAGTGACTGACTCACTGACTGACTGAGTGACTGACTGAGTGACTGACTGCGTGACTGACTGACCAAACAGCAAAATCGGCATCGAGAGGCCTGGCCGCTCAAACAGATTCATTGACGTGGTCGGTTCTCGGAAACACGGATTGGATGCCAAAGCGCACTCAATCAAAGAGAGAGAGAGAGAGAGAGAGAGAGATTTGATTTGATTTGATTTATTGCTTTTAAGGTACAGTACAACGGGACTGGAGAGTCCCACGAGCGTATGTACCGCTCTCAGAATAAACTAAAGATACAAAATTGTAACAGAGGAAAAAAAATAAAAATTATATCAACAATCGAAGAAAATAACTAGTTACATCAATAGCAGCGACAGTATATGATACACAATATCAATATTTAGACAGTAATTGTGCTTTAATGGATCTTTTGAAGGAAGTGACTGACGTATGACTTAGATAACTGAAGCCTGAGAACATATTAAATACTCTAGATGAAGATATGCAGAATGAATTTGCGTACTTTGCCGTTCTATGCTGTGGAATCAAAATTCTATCAGGGTGACGTGACGAGAAGTTAAACAGTTCAAACAGATAGTGCGGCGTTTCAGTCCTTAGAACTTTCCATATCAATGTTGCTAAATTTACTGTTCGTCTGTCTTGGAGTTTTAACAATTCTAGGCCAGCATAATGAGGTGTAATGTGCTCGAACAAATCAGCTCCAGTAACAAAACGAATACATACATTTTCAGCTCTTTGAAGTTTAACAGTGGTGTACTTATTCATATCAGTAAAAAGAGCCGAACCAGAGAGAGAGAGAGAGAGAGAGAGAGAGAGAGAGCCAGTGGATTAAAGGTCGGCCTGCATGCATCGTCTGCCGCACAGGCACGCCATTCCGTTTATTAAAACGATCGCAAAAAAGCGAAATAGAGAACGTGGAGCCGCTGCAATGTGTAACGCAAACTGCGGACTGATTCCCAGTAACCGTCGCTCTGTCTCTCTCGCTCTCACGGGGCGTTCCGTCCGGGTGCGAGAGAGACGATCTAGCTGCGGGAAGAGGCCGCCCTCCACGCGAGAGAGCCTACTCTTTCATGAGTAGCAGCTAGTTTGGGACCAGTAGCCTTACATTGGTCAAAAGGCGATTAATCTTCGTGTGACCCCACCAATGGATTCCTCGTTCGGAGAGCAATCCAATGGTGGGGTCACACGTTCGGTTCGAGCCCTGTTTAGCGACTCTGGAGCTCAAAACGCGTCCTGGATTTTGGCCGCCTCCACCGGTCTTCTAGCCCACTGTGCGACTGGGGGTAGGCGCCCTCGCCCCCTTGGGCCGCCTGGCGGGTAGGCAACCCAACGGGCGTGCCTGTGGGGCGGTCGGCCGATGCTCGTGTCCGCGGGCGCTCGGCTCGGCCCGAGCCGTGTTTCCGTCGCTCTCTCTCCCTCCCTCTCTCTCTCTCTCTCTCTCTCTCTCTCTCTCTCTCTCTCTCTCTCTCTCTCTCTCTCTCTCTCTCTCTCTCTCGTATCGCGGCGCATCCCGTAGGGGTGCGAGAGAGACAGACCAGCTGCAGCTCATTCTCCGTGGACCTCATTTCCACTGCGCCTTTCTTTGGGTTTGCTGCAGCCCTGCAGCTGCGCTGTCTGTCCGGCCGTCCGTCCGTCTGTCTGTCTGTCCGTCCTGTCTGTCTGTCTTACTGTCTGCACAATGGAAAGGTGCTTGCTTCATTCGCCGGGGCCAGATTCAAAAATATCAACTCAGCGGCCGAGCGCGCGAGACGCACGAACAATGACTCGAGAGGTTTTCCCTTTTTCTCCAAGCTGTGTATAGAAGTGAATGCCAGCCTTGTTTTCCCTCTTTTCCAGGAGTGGAACCCCTGGAGTCCGTGCTGGAGGGCCCGCAGCGGGGTGGCTGCGCTGGGGCGGGGTCGAGCGGCCATGGCGGCGTCCACGGCGCCGGCCTCGGCGGCCACGCGGGGGTTGGCGGCGTCCGGGAGCTGTGCACGCGCCTCTGCGCCGTGGTGCAGCCCGCCCTGCTGGCCGGCCGGCCGCCGCCCCCGCCGCCCCAGGACACGCTGCACACCCTCATCGCCTGGCTGCAGCCGCAGGTGAGTCTACCGCCGCACAGTGGACCAAGGGACCGGCGCAGGCGGCCCAAACGCCAGACGCGTTTTGAGCTGCAGAGTCGCTTAGCAGGACTCGAACCGAACGTGTGACCCCACCAATGGATTCCCCGTCCGGAGAGCAATCCATTGGTGGGGTCACACGTTCGGTTCGAGTCCTGTTTAGCGACTCTGGAGTTCAAAACGCGTCTAGATATTTGGCCGCCGGCGCTTGCGGGCGCTTGTCTTCTGGCCCGCACTGTGCAACACGGTCGCAGAAAGAAACTCGGAGCGGGTGCACAAGCTAATAATCCCCTGGCCGGGCGGGGCGGGGCGGGGCGAGGCGCCCTGCCGGTGGACGCGGCGGGACGGGGCGCAGGGCTCAACAGGGCGCCGCAGACTCCAGCACACTGGAGTGACTCCAGGCGGCAGGGCCTTCCAGGCCCTGCAGGGCAGCATGACTGACGTCACCGACGTCCTCCCCCAATCTCCGCGGAGACGGGCTGCAGGCTGGCAGGCTGGAATGGGGACACGCCGCGCCTTGCCGCGCCTGGAGGGCCTGGAGGGCCTGGAGGGCCCCGCCGCGCCGCGTCGCCTCCTTGCGATGATGAGCCGTCACTCTACTGGCGGAGGGTGGAGCCGCGGACCCAGGCACTCGCCCGCAGTGCAGCGGCCTGGGCGACATCGCGCACCTTCTCTCGGATCTCTCCTGAACCGAACGTGTGACCCCACCAATGGATTGCTCTCCGAACGAGGAGTCCATTGGTGGGGTCACACGTTCGGTTCGAGTCCTGCGTAGCGACTCTGGAGCTCAAAACGCGTCTAGAGTTTTGGCCGCCTCCACCGGTCTTCTGGCCCACTGTGCGCCGGTCCTTCGGGCCCTTCGGCTTTACGTGGTGCCGCCCCTCTAATCGAAGGAATTCCATTCCGGCCTGCTCCTGAAAGGCGCCCGGCTGCGCCCAACGAGGTTATCGGCATTCTTAATGCTCGCTGCCGCCGAGGCCTCGAATCAACCCCGGACTTCCTCGTCCGCAGTGGGCTTGTGGACCATGGCACAGTGAGCCAGAAGACCGGTGGAGGCGGCCAAAACTCTAGACGCGTTTTGAGCTCCAGAGTCGCTAAATGGGACTCGAACCGAACGTGTGACCCCACCAATGGATTGCTCTCCGAATGAGGAATCCATTGGTGGGGTCACACGCTCGGATCGAAGCCTGTTTAGCGACTCTGGAGCTCGAAGTGCGTCTGGAATTTTGGCCGCCTCCAGCGGTCGTCTGGCAAAATCCACTGTGCGGTGTAGCGACCGCCCTTTGTGCTCGTGTTCGGCGGCTCCACACCCGACAGTGTGCTGCCGAGCCTTGGCTGCGGCGGCGACGCTGCGGTCGGCCGGTTCCCGTACACTTGGCCAGGCATGCTTGCGGTGCGGCGGGCTTGCTTCTGGAGAAGTTTATCGGATGCAGCGGGCAATATCGGTATCCCTCTTGAGTCTGCCGCCCGCCGTGAGCCCCGCCCCGCCCCGCCCCGAGGCCCGTCCCCCACCCCTCCTCCGTGTGTGTTGTTATGCCCTTGTCGTATTGGCTCAGGTGCGCATGGGACCGTAAGGCTCGGCGCGGTGTGGGGGCGCGCGCTCGGCGCGCTCGCTCCAGGTCCATGGCCGTCTGGAAGTAAGTCCGCGGCTGGAGCGGCTGGCGCGGCGGGTGGGGGGATTTCATGGGAGTCTATCTTCCAGCGGTACGGCCTGGAGTCCAGCGCGCCATAAATAAGGAGGGCGCCTAACCTACCCTGCGCCCTTCTCCAGCCCACAGTGGGCCAGAAGACCGGCGGAGGCCGTCGAAGCTCCAGCCGCGTTTTGAGCTCCAGAGTCGCTAAATGGGACTGGAACCGAACGAGTGACCCCACCAATGGACTGCTCTCTGAACGAGGAATCCATTGGTGGGGTCACACGTTCGGTTCGAGTCCTGCTTAGCGACTCTGGAGCTCAAAACGCGTCTAGAGTTTTGGCCGGGTGCCGTGGTGGGGGCTTGGCAAGGGGAGACTGGTCTGCCCCCTTAATTCACCTCCCCCGGTCTCTCGATGGACCGCGCCGAGGCTTTGCAAGACGCTCTTCTTTTCTCGTTTGTTTGTCCTTTTGAAAAGTCCCGCTTTGATGTCCCGCGCTTGTTTTATCGGACGCGGAAAGCAAATTAGAAAAAGCGTCAGCGAATTCTCGTCCCTGGTTCTGGCTGGGCGTCCGCGCTTTGATGTGGTGGCACACCTTAAAATCTGAGAATCCGAGCCATTCGCGGCGTTTGCGGCCAGCCTTTTCCGTTTCCGCGTTCGTCACTCTGTCTCTCTCGCGCCCGTGAGTGCGAGAGAGACGGCGACGAAACCACCGTTCGGGACCGGTCCACAGTGGGCCAGAAGACCGGTAACGGCGGCCAAAACCTTAGACGCGTTTTGAGCTCCAGAGTCGCTGAAATGGACTCGAATAGAACGTGTGACCCCACCAATGGATTCCTCGTTTGGAGTGCAATCCATTGGTGGGGTCACACTTTCGGTTCGAGTCCCATTTAGCGACTCTGGAGCTCAAAACGCGTCTAGGGTTTTGGCCGCCTGCGCCGGTCTTCTGGCCCACTGTGCGGTCCCCTGTGGACGGAGTCGGAGGCTCCTGGGAAAACAGCTTTCCCGCCTCGCCAGCCTCAGCCTAAGTGGGCACAGCGTGTGTTAAATCCTGGCTTTTCCTCCCTTTTCAACTTGCCTTGCCTCAATTCAATTTTTTTCTTCAGTTTTTTTAAATATATTTTATGTTTCTGTCCATTACACGAGAGGATTCCCCGTTATACTTTGTCGCGAGCCCTTTGGCCGCTGTCCCTTTGCCTTCCCTTCCACAGTGGGCCAGAAGACCAGTGGAGGCAGCCAAAGTTCTACACGCGTTTTGAGCTCCAGAGTCGTTAAACAGGACTCGAACCGAACGTGTGACCCCACCAGTGGACTCCTCGTTCGGAGAGCAATCCATTGGTGGGGTCACACGTTCGCTTTGAGGCGCTTAGCGCCTCTGGAGCCCGAAATGCGTCTAGAGTTTTGACCGCCTCCACCGGTCTTCTGGCCCACTGTGCCTTGCTCCCCTACCCTCCCCGGCCGATAATTAATTGGTTAAAAGCCGGAGGTACTCGTTTGGCTTCACCCGGAATCGCGAGAGACCTCTCTGCTTCCAGTCGAAATATCGATATAAACAAAGTGGGTACACTGTCTGAATGAATGGCCCGCCATTCAATGGGAGAGAAGGAATTAGGGGCGTGCTCGAGGACACTCGTCTCGGTCAAATTGAGGAAGCGACATTCCAATCGGATTAGAGAGAGAGAGAGAGAGAGAGAGAGAGAGAGAGAGAGAGAGAGAGAGAGAGAGAGAGAGAGAGAGAGAAGGCGGACCTTTCTTTTGCCCATTTCTGTTTGCTCTCCGTTTTAGGCTGATGATGACTTGCCCCAATTAGGCTGCGACTTTGAAGGCGGATATTGGAAAGTTTGATTGTCTGCTTGCTCGCAACAGTTGGTGGACTCACGGATGATGATGGATGTTGATGTGGTTGATTTTGGTCGTTAATGATGATGTTTATGTTGAAGAGGATGATGATGTGGGGATGATAATGATGTGAGGGTCATGTACACCCCCAAAAAATGACTTTTTGTATCAAGGAAAAAAATTAACTTTCCATTTTTTTTTCAAGAAAATTTTTCTGTATTCTACCTTTTTTTCTTCAATACAGATCTTGCTTTTTGTTTGAAGACTTTTTTTTTCTTAAAAAAAAAAAAGGAAATTAGAAATCAAGAAACCGTTTTTCTGGGTGTACGATAATGAGACAATAAACACGCTGCAATTAACTTTGTTACTGTCTGAGGGGTGTCCTCTCGAGGGTGGCGTTTTCCTCATTCATTTTTTTTTCAGTGGAGGGAAACGGGGCAGGCTGGCGTTATTGAGCCCGTCCTCGGCGACGCGGCGCCACGCGGCGGCTTGTCTGGCCAAGTTTAGGGCGATGGCCAACTTGTCCAGGTTCGGCCCGGCCAAGTTTAAGGCCCTGGCTGGTATGACGTGGAATGAAGCCCGATGGGATATGAGAAAGGGGCGGAGAGGTACACTGTTGAGACAGGGTTTGTTTTTATCAGTGGATCGCTGTTCCTCCCTGTACTGCACAGTGGGTCAGAATACTGGTGGAGGTGGTCAAGATCCCGCAGGTATTTCGAGCTATATGGTCGCTAAATGGGACTCGAAGCGAACGTGTGACCCCACCATTGGATTGCTCTCCGAACGAGGAATCCATAGGTGGGGTCAAACGTTCGGTAGTCCCATTTAGCGACTCTGGAGCTCAAAACGCGTTTAGAGTTTTGGCCGCCTCCACCGATCTTCTGGCCCACTGTGCTGCGAGTCTCTCGATTCGGAAGTCGCTTGGTCCGGGCAGTCCGTCTGCCACTTCACGCGAACGTTCCCTCTCTGCGGCCTGCAGAGTGCCTAGAGTCGTTTTCGCCGCTCTGCCTCTCTCGCACTGATGTGGCCTCGCCTGTCGGTGCGAGAGACAGAGCGACGAAAACGACTCTCGGAATCAGTCTGCTGGCATGGCATAGGCCTGCCTCGCATCGCCGGCTCGGCCAATCTGGAAATGGACTGGCAACCGAGTGAGGAGGGGGCGGAACCTGTTGAGTCGCAGAGGGGCAGAGGCGCCACAGTGGGCCAGAAGACCGGTGGAGACGGCCAAAACCCTAGACGCGTTCTGAGCTCCAGAGTCGCTAAGCAGTACTCGAACCGAACGTGTGACCCCACCATTCGATTCCTCGTTCGGAGAGCAATCCATTGGTGGGGTCACACGCTCGGTCCGAGTCCCATTCAGCGACTCTGGAGCTCAGAACGCGTCTTGGATTTTGACCGCCTCCACCGGTCTTCTGGCTCACACACAATCTCGCTCAGATGCGACCAGATGTCGGCCCGTGGAATATAAGTCGCCCTCAAATAACGATTCGCTCAAAGTCCTCCTCCCCACCGTGTCGTTCTGTCCTTGTTTGTTGTTTTTCTTCTGTTTTTGGCGCGTCCCTCCCCCCCCCCCCCTCACCCGCCCTAGGGCCCCCGCGCCGCCCCGCCCCGCCCCGCCGAGACGAGAATAGTATTAGTTGTCCGACAGATCGCTGCCGAAGAAGCGGCCGTCTGAGGGAGGAAGGCAGAAAAAAAAAAGTTGTGTTTGGGCGCCGTCTTTTCGATTCTTTCCTCGAAGGCTGAGAAAGCAAACACAGTGGAGGGGGAGGCCTCGCCTCGCGCCCTGCTCAGGTGAAGGGGAAAAGGGGGGGGGCAGCGTTGTGCATATTTTTGTAGTTCTATAAATACCGCACCTGGAGGCCCCCTCTCCTCCTCCCTACCCTTTCTCCTTCTCCCTCCCTCTCCCTTCCTCTGCCTCCCTCTCTGCCTCCCTCTCTGCCTCCCCCTCCCTCCCCCTCCCTCTCCCTTCCTCTGCCTCCCTCCCCCTTCCTCTCCCTCCCTTTCTCTCCCCCTCCCCCTCCCTCCCGCGAGTCGCGCCGCCAGAACCCTTTTGCTTTTCAATAAAATTCTTGTGCTCCCTTTGCTGTACTTTCCGCTCGCGATGGGCAGTAAAGCAGGGCGGACGGACAGACAGACAGACAGATAGGCAAACGGACGGACAGACATGCAGACAGGCAGACAGGCAGACAGAGAGACTCACGGATGCAGGTGTGAGAACTCTGGGAGAACGCTGGGAGGAAAGCGATAGGGCAGGAATAGCCTCCGCGCATGCGATCCGGCTTGCCCTGCTGCGGAGACGGGATGAGAAATCTACACCCCAAAAAACAAAAAGAAACAATAAGTAAATGATCAAACGCGCGCGGAAAAGTGCGGAAATGGCGGATTCTGTTTTCTGCGACGTGTTCGGGTTATTCAGGGTATATGTGCAGTGGCGCGTTGAATTGCTCTTCGCCGGTTCTGGGGATTATTACTTTCAAATCCCAGAGCTCTCTAAACTGTGTCCACAAAAAAAAGTCACAAACGGCGCCTTTCGCTTTTAAAGGTTTTTCTAGAAAACAATTTTTGACGTTGTTTTGGCGTGTACCGCGGCTAGACATCTCCACGGCCAATCTCTGCTCGAGTCTGCTGCCGTGGACAGGGAGGCTGGCGGCGCCGAGGCGGGCCGAGGCGGGCCGCCTTGACAGACCCTCGCCGTCGTATTAGCCCCACAGATAGTGCTCGTCCTCGTCGCCGGGGGTCTCGACGGCGACGCGCCGGCCAGCACACTGATTCCGAGAGTCGTTCTCGTCGCTCTGTCTCTCTCGCACCTATGCCGGGCGCCCCATGAGTGCGAGAGAGACAGAGCACAGTGAGCCAGAAGACCGGTGGAGGCGGTCCAAATCCCGGACGCATTTTGAGTCACTAAATGGGACTCGAACCGAGCGTGTGACCCCACCAATGGACTGCTCTTCGAACGAGGAATCCATTGGTGGGGTCACACGCTCGGTTCGAGTCCCATTTAGTGAGTCAAAACGCGTCCGGGATTTGGACCGGATCCATGGCCTTTCTCATGGGGACATGAGAGCCTGTTCCCACTTGGACCGCCTCCACCGGTCCTCTGGCCCACTGTGCGACGACTGGTCATCTGTTGTAGATGAGCCTGGCCGGCCTCTTGATGGTGTCGGCGACAGATCCTTCGCGTCAAGTCGTCGGTAAAAATAGTCGCGTTATGACAGGTGTGCCCGGCCGTGGCGACTGTCTGCGAGTGATGAGCCGGCCGAGTTCACACACACACACACACTCACTCACACATACACACACACGCGCGCGCGCGCGCGCACAGAGTGTCCCTTGGCAAACCCAGCCGCAGTACAGCATCTCGGCGTGTTTCTGAGTCTCTGTCTCCCCATTAGGGCTTTTAGGGGGTCGTGAACTTTGACCCCGCCCTCTTTTTCCTCTGCAGGCTGATTCGTCTCTCTCTCTCTCTCTCTCTCTCTCTCTCTCTCTCTCTCTCTCTCTCTCTCTCTCTCTCTCTCTCTCTCTCTCTCTCTCTCTCTCGCATCTTACGCGGGGCGCTCCACGAGTGCGACAGAGACGGAGCCAAAGCATACAGGGCGGAACCAACCCTGCCGGCCCCGCCTGGAGAAGTCTGGCCTGGCGCCGAAATCTCGCTTTCGATTGTCTGCACTAACGACCCCTCTATATCGTCGTTGGGCGTTTCTTCTTTCTCTCTCTCTCTCTCTCTCTCTCTCTCTCTCTCTCTCTCTCTCTCTCTCTCTCTCTCTCTCTCTCTCCCTCTCCCTCTCCCTCTCCCTCTCCCTCTCTCTCCCTCTCCCTCTCTCTCTCCCTGCCTCCCTCCCCTCCCCATGTCTCTGTGCCGAGCGAGGAAGTGGCGCGCTGCTCGGGCCCTGTGCTCTACGTAGTAATGATATTGCGCGGGGACAATCATGTTTCTATTTTCCGTGTGTGTGTGTGTGTGTGTGTGTGCGTGCGTGCGTGCGTGTGTGCGTACCAGTCAGTGTGAGTGTGTGTGTTCCCTCGAGAACAGGACCGCGGCTAGGCGCGCTCGGCCTCGCCCAGTCAGCTTCTGGCCCCCTCTGTCGCCTTCTTATTACTACGCACACACACACACACACACACACACACACATACATACACACACTTTTACACTGCACGCGCGTGCGCAGGAAAGTTCCCCAGTGCAGGGCCTGCCCGGCGGAGACAACGAAGCAATAACGCCAGCAAAAAGTTTGGGGTCCAAAATTAAGTAAAGCGGCGACAGCAAGGGAAGGGTGACGTTGCCACCAGAGTCGCTAAATGGGACTCGAACCGAACGTGTGACCCCACCAATGGATTGCTCTCCGAACGAGGAGTCCATTGGTGGGGTCACACGTTCGGTTCGAGTCCCATTTAGCGACTCTGGAGCTCAAGACGCGTCTCGAGTTTTGGCCGCCTCCGCCGGTCTTCTGCGGCAAATCCACTGCGTGCGCCCTTTTGAATCACCCGTCGGTAGCGACGCTGCCTCAGGTTGGGGACCGCAACGGCGACAGTGGCTCTCTGGGCGTCGGCGTCGGCTCGGCCGGGGGGAAGGGGGGGGGGTCGGCCCCTCCCACGCCCTGCTCCGCGTGCATCCTCGCCGAGGGCGTCGTCCCTCGTCCCTCGTGTGTGTGTGTGTGTGTGTGATTGTGTGTGTCAGTGTGCGTGCCCCCTCCCCCGGCCCCGCACGTGGCCCAAGCCGGCGTGGTGGCCGCGGCCTCTGTGAGCTTGCCGGCTCGGTGCCGGCTGCCGGCCGGGCTTGGCTGTTGATGCAGCCTCAGTAACGCGCCGGCCCCTCGGCAACCCTGTTGCACGCACTGCCTAGCCCTGCCGCGCCTTGCCGTGCACTTGGCGTGCATTGCCACGCCCGCGAACCGCGTGTCTCGAACCGCGTGTCTCGAACCGCGTGTCGTGAACGGTCGTCGGACACGACTGTGAGTCTGAGCCTCTGCCGCCGGGGAAGGGCCGACCTGCGCGTGTGTTTGTGTGTA